CCTGATAGTATCATGCATTCTTCAAGATCATGTGCTTAGTGTGCTTGGTCTTGAATGCACATTGATGTCTAAAAATATTATGTTTTGTAGATGGTGAATTTGAGGCTTTAGAAGTCACAGCTCTCTCGAGTCCACCTGAACTCCCTGATGTTATGAAGCCCCAAGACTCTGCCACACACCAACAGGAACAAGCAGCCTCATAAGCACCAGGACTTTTTGAATTGGGACTTTAAGTCCTTGTTTCACATACCTTCAACTAAAAGACATTAAAGACTACAAAATGTTTGAAAAGCAAAGGAGATTCTGTTAATGCCATTTTCTTTGTAATTTGAACAAGTTTAATCCATTTTTTTGGACTGTTACATTCAAAATTGTAGAGTTTAAAGTTATATAGATTGAAAAGCTAAGATTGAAGGTGTTATCTTACATTTCGACTGTGAACCTCTATCCCAAACATATTCAAATCTTTGAAACTAATTGCATCTTCAATGTTTTTTGATTTTCAGTGTTACTTAGAAATTAGCTCTAGGTTAATTGAATTTGGACCGTGTACCTTTTAAGTACAATATTTGAACTGTACGCCACCATATTTGGTCAGAGTATTATATTATGTGAAACATTATTGAAGTCTTTCTTTGGGTATTTATTTTTGATAGCCCCATTCTCAGATGTAATTCAAGTCTGGTTAATATCAAACATGTCAAATGTATTTCTTGGATGGGATACTACTATATTTGCTTTGTAAGATAAAAAGCTGAGATAATCGGGATGTTTTCCATGAATAAAGAAAAATATATACAAATCTAGTGTTTTAATTACCATTCATAATTCATGCACAATTTTTGCCTCTTATATGTTTGAAGTTTGCTTACATGTAGATATGTTATTCAGAATCGTACAAAGAACCAACTAGTTTTTGCTCTATTGTTAACATCTTTAAAGGAGATTAATGGTCTGACCTACTTCCTGTCAACATATGTACATAAAATACCTGAGCTAATATAAGCAAAATTAGTGTAATTTTCGCTCTCTTATTATAGCAGGTATACATTTCCTCCTAATTTATATATATTTTGTACACAATGTAAGCTCAGTGACAATTTTAGAACTCAGATTATCATTATTGTTTTCATTTATACAATTTCAAAATTTCAAATGAACCTCAAAATAGCTTACATACAAGAAACTCATTTAATTGAAAGCTTGAAAGCAATTGGTGCATTAAATAAGCAATGACAGTTTCAAATTTTACAGTGTGATCCTCTTTTATGTGCATCAGAACCTCATGTTTATTGAAAGATAAAAACTTTAAAATGACATTTGATGTAATATGTCACTTAAATGTTAATTATTGTTTCATTATATTATTACACATATATAGGAATAAACAATAAGTTTAATAAATTCTCGTTGATTAAATTTTATTTAAAATAAAACAATCAAACTTGGGAAACATGCGCTTTGTATATCATATACTACCATTCCTATGATGAATGTTTGAAACCAAGGGAGCAGATGGGTAACTAACCTACTTTGTATGTCATTCATTACAAGTTTCACCTACCCACTTATATATCTACCAGATTTTCTCATAATCAGGTTCATTCTTTGTAATGATACATGGACGATTTCTGGGTTATACTTTCAAAATAATGTCCATTGGGTCTCATTTTGAATAAAGTAATGATTCAATGTCTCAAAATGCAAAGAGGGTTGGCTCCAAGACCTCTAACTTGATATTAGAACTTGACCTTGATCGAAGACAACATTAAAAATGATTACAACTGACTATAAATTCATAATCAGCGATTACTTGTGTGTTTTGAATTTTAAGTTTGGAAAGTGATAAAAATGGTGGCTGTTAGATTTCGAATTTTATAACCACATGATTCACTGACTGTGACATGACTCCATATATGGCAGAATATCCAGATGGAACCCTGGGAGCCAATCCTCCTTGCTCAAAATCTGTATGATTTTCTTTCATCACTAGCAGCAGTTAAACTGTATTTTCAATGCCTTTATTGCAAAACAAAAAATATGCCCAAATACTTTCATATAAGAGCCCATGGCCTTATTTTGAGAAAATCATGTTACAAAGACGAATGTTGAAGACAGACATGAAACATAATTATTCCTGTCAAAGTTTTATTTCAATGAAATGCTACAATCCTATAATTTGCATGATCTATTTCTTGTTCACTAAGTTTCTAGTACCCCTCCTATTTATATTATTACTCAGATTTTGTTTTGACAGAAGTTTATGAAACTTTGAAGGGGACACTAAAAACAATTTACATAAGAATTTACATTTTCTGGGACATGATATACAAACATGCAAATATGACAAGCAAGCTAAATAAATGGTCCCAATCTACATCATATATGTGAAGCAAACTATTATAATGTTACACAGCGTGGTTAAATTGCTTAGTTTCAAATCATATCGACAAATAGTTCCTTAATAAAAGAATTTTGTTCATGTGTAGTAGGGCTGGCACAGAACAGAATTATAGTCCGAACATTCCAATTTTACCTTTGAAAAGTAATAATTGTTTTCTACAAAGACAGTCACAGCGAACTGGAATAAACCAAATCAATAAATATATAGGCCCAAAGTTTTGAAACTTTTGAATTGCAAAGGTAAGTTTCGAAATTTGTTCCAATTCCATTCCATGCCAGCCCTACTTTGGAACAAAGCTACAACCTTCATGAGAAATCTAAAACTAAGCACTGAAAACAAAGCATTTTACTGGAAAATTGAATGAATGTTTAGTTCCCAGTAAAACTGCGAGTGGAAGTGGAACATGGGAGCACTGACTACAGTTTTAGTCAGTGAACAGTTTCAAATTCAGTGAGCGACTGTTATGTTTCACTGAGTGGCATATACTTTTAGTTAACTCATATCAGTCTCATTGAGTTTAAACTGAACAAAATAGTTCAGACTGCAAAGAGTTAACTAAAATTCGGTTCAATTGTTAAATTCTTCATTTCATTGTTGTTCTTTATGTGAACAAGCACATGGATGGCTGGCTGCAGTCAACAACAATTACTTGCACATTATTTTAAAAACAAACCATGTTTATGTAAATGATCACAATTATACTGCATTGTTAAAGTTCACAACACACAACCATAAACCTCTACATACATTATATTAAGGCATTAATATGCAAAATCTCACCACCTATCATTTGTTACAGATGCCAACTGCCGAACACAAAACACCATCCACAAAAAGTTGGAGAACAATATGTTACCATTTCTGGTGATGACATAATAAAAATAAAGGCAAACTTATTTATGCAATAATAGGAAAAATGAAATAAACTCCCTATGAAAATTGACACAAAATTTAAAGCAGATCTAGAATTTCAGAATTATTGGAATCCAATAAAAATTATGCTTAATGTATAACATTATACTTTTGATCAAATGGCTATCAAGTATAAATAAATAAGTTCTACAACTACATAATATTTCAGCTTGGGTACTTGGTTTAACAAATTACATAACAATCAATATTTACTTTTCTAATATACAAAATAAGGAATCATGATTACAAAAATCACAATTATGTATATGAATGAATGACATACATTACAGTGGCATAAGGATAACCGTTTCCATTTACAAACATCCATAATGTTTTACATGTACCTTTTGGCCTCTATACATTATACAGCTGTGCATTACACGACATAATTATGGGAGATGATGAAATGATACAAAATAATAGAGCTGTTGTGCATCTGACTTTAAGGTTAAATAATTCAATATATAAACCAGCTTATTAACTTGGATATTTACATGTACATTCACAGACTTATGCACAAACAAGACAAAAGTTGTCCTGCTAGGCCCAACCTGTAGTACTAAAAACTAGGGGTCAGACGGTGTCAAAATTTTTGGTTCGGTGAGGTTCGCTTTTTAAATCCCTCAGTTTGGTTTTCTGTTTGGTTACTCAGTTCTTATCGCTCTATTATATTCTGCTATGCTCATAAGAATGTAAAACAAAACAATCCTGCATGATTGACATGGTAGTACAGTTTTTTGCTATACTTGTATATAGTACAGGCTATGTCTTGATATTTCACAAAAGTAATTACTAAACACTGAACTGTAAAAATAATATATCTTTCAGCTGAACATGATGTTTGGACGCTAATATCTTTCTTACCAATCAATCCGCAGCAGACATTTTTTGATCTTCGCTATTTCAGCGAATGTGCGTTTGCAAATGGTAAATTAATATTCCATTAGAAAAACGAACCAAATGATATTTCCAAACCAAACAAACCATTGAGGCCATCCATGGTTTCTGTTATCTGTCTGACCCCTAATAAAATTGTGTAGCCATGGTGATTTAAAGGATGACATACTTCAAAGCTAAATAATATTTACAAAATTACATGGTAACAGTAAATCATGGCTCTAGGCCAATGTACAAAATCATGGCCCTTGTTCGAAAGCATAAAATAGTGGTGTAAATTGGAAAATAAATATTTCTAAAAGCACATGGTAAATGCAATTACATGCACGTAGGTTTTGATCACAATACATTGGTGTCCCATTCAGCCATTCTAATGAGAAATGACTAGCATATACATATATATATGGATTTCAACTTGGTGAATTGGTTTATCTACATTCAATGTGAAATTAGAGTTGTAACTGGTGATGCAAGCAAATCAGGTAATCAAAGTTACCCAAAACATTCACAACTGCAACCTAAAAATTAAGTTGAGATCTGACTTCATTACTTTTAAAGTGACATCAGCACTATGACAATGAACACTTTTTCAGAGTACTTTAATTTCAATATGTTAAGTATTTCCCATGTCAAACACAAAATGTTAAAGATATTCATACTTCAATTGATTCGTTCATGTTTGGTCTACGTGTCAGCTGTAATCACCATCTATATTAAAAGTAATTTAAAATCACATTGGTAATATGTGTGCAATAAAAATTTTTTCTTATTATTGCACCACTTAAAGATCTCTGAACTTCTAATGCTATTTAGTGAGTGTTTTTTCTTGCTTCAATACACAGAAGGAGACGTTTTGTATGGTATTCAATTGACTGTGTAAAACATGATTCCCCAATTTTTCATTCTTTTTTTTCTTAAATATGGCTTTTAAAGAGACATATGATATTGGCTTGCATGTAAATTTCAAAAATATAACAAATTCTCTAAAACTCAGAAGAATCAAGATGTATGCTAATTTACTCATACTGACTGGTTTACTTGTATAACTACACGTATAGTCAAATTATAATATCATTGTGCACATGTTAATTTTTCTTAATTAAAGCAACAAAAGAATTGACCCAACCAAGATATACATAAAACTGACAATTTGAATTTTCTTAAAAACAATCATCATTTGAGTCCATTATGATTATATATGATCGCCAGATGATTTAACATTTTCAGCCTGATTAGACAATCCTATATCTTCAACCTCCTCTTCTAAAGCATTTTTATCTAAACTAAACTCATTTTCTTCAGTTGATTTCTTTCCACCATTTTCAGAGTCAGACTCAGGATCTAATGCGAATTCATCCTCAGAATCGCTCAAATTTCCAATGGCCATTTTATTTAGTATCATTTTCCCTACAATGTTCATTTCTGATTTTGAATCAGTATCGGGATCCGTTTCTATATCGGAGTCAACATCAAGTGCAAACTCATCATCAGATTCACTGGAGTAATCAAACTCTGCATCAGGATCATCACATCCTGCGTCAATGTCATCAATGTCCTTCAGATTTCTGTAATAATCGCTATGGAGTCCAACACAGTAGACACCAAAGAGACTCAGCACTGAGAAGAAAATAGACTCTCTGTATGAACTATATTTATAGTACACAGCAAGGGTTACACTAATGATTTCATAAATAATTCGTAGGAACACACCAATTATTGTTGAGCAGAGCTTGTACAGCTGCGTGAGAAACACAATCAGGAATCTAAGGATGACGCCGACAATGTGGAGCAGGAGACTAATTGTGCGGAAAATGAAATCCATGAATTGATTAAATCCAAGATGAGCTTGATGAAGGAAATACACTGATAAATTCTGTGCAACTTCAGCAGTTTTGTGCGCTGCTAGATTTGTGAGGTAGCACAAAGTCGACCAAAGCTGGATTAAAATGTAGATGGCGACATTGTAAAACCAGGCGATCCACATGGTCAATTCGTAGTATCCATTTTTTATTCCCATACATACATAACATGTCCCCTCATACAGATTCAGAAAGAGGTAACTGATACCTTGGAGAGAATACTTCAGGATGTAATTGTTCATGACAGTGTAGATACCTTTCCCAAGGTAGAATAAAAAGTATCCTAAACCAGGGAACACAATATTAAGGATATGGCCTATATACTCAAATGTCACTTGAAGATAGGAAGCCGCTATTGCAAAATAATATTGGAGATTCACTCCAAGAATGCAACAATAGGTAAACAGTGTTTCTGCTATGAAGGCCACCCAGGTATAAATAAATAGAGCACATTGTTCCCCAGCTTCATAAGTCACAACAGACCCCTTAGATACTGCATCAAAACCTTCAGTCGCACCATACTTTGTCACTTCAATCACAGTTTTACTCCAAACTGCAAGTTTATCAGCTGCAAGTCCTATTGCGATGGATGACTCATTTGCAAATATTTTGAGCTTCTCGCTTGCCCATACATCAAATTCAGCATAATTTTCAGTTGCAAATTCATAGAATTCATCCAGATTTTCACTCGCTAATTTCAATCCAATTTTAGCCTTCTGTAGGCCTCGATATGAGTACTCCCCCGCAATCTTATATGCAATTGAAGTCTTATTAGCAGCAATTGTTGTGAAGTTATAAGCACCATCTATAAAGATACCCGTCCCATATAACATTCCTTTTCCTGCCTCAACTGTTCCATATGCAGTATACTGCAATCCAATGTAGCCCCATTTTGCAGCAAACTTTGACCCCTCAATGGTATGTGACTTAACTTCAGAGAGCGTATGGCGAATGAATTGTGCTTTTGCGTGAGCATCTTCGTATCTTTCATTGTATACATCAAGTCCAATCAAAACCGTAGGAATGCTTATCACAATAAGTGAAATTAAGCTAATTATGAGGAAGAATTTCTGTATTTTAGAAAGGTTCATAAGTCGCTTGGCTACTCCTTTTACGCTTGTTTTGACATCTGTGACTTTTCGTTTCACAAAGTGTTTAACGCTAGTTTTTACATTGAAAGCACCATTAAGGATCATACGTTTTGTATTTCGTGTCTTATTATATGCAGAAAGCATTTTGTAATCAATGCTTTTATGAATAGCTTTTTTGGAGTGTTTAATACAGTTGCATACTCCATAGCATGTATTGCATGTTACACGCTTGATAGCATTCTTTGTATTCCTGGCTCGATTACAGATACTGTCACGCGTGCCTGTCACTGTGCCTACAACATAACATTTCGTTGAATGGCATCTATTGTAAATGCCATTCTTTGTATTTGTTACAGTGTTCACAATTCCATCACGTGTATTTGTAACTTTGTTTACGATCCCATCCTTTGTCCTCGTTACAGTGTTCACAATTCCATTACGTGTATTAGTAACTTTGGTTACGACCCCATCCCTTGTTCTTGTTACAGTGTTTACAATTCGATCTCGCGTGCTTGTTACAGTATTTACAATACTGTCACGTGTAGCTGTTACTCTGTTAACGATCCCATCACGTGTGGATGTTACGGCATTTACAATCCCATCACGTGTGTTTGAGACTTTGGTATTTATGGCATTCCTCGTGTTATCAATTTTGTTCTGAATAGCTGTAAAATATTAAGAAAGCAATTAAGAATATAAGCTCAGTGATATGCTTGCCTGTAAAACATGTGATGCAGAAGTTTATGAGGCTTTATAAATACTAGTAATACAAAACAATTACTAAACTACATTGGCATCTTCGTTAACATTGATTAATAATTAAAGTTTGGGTGCTGAAATAAAACAAGAGTCCTACCTTCATGAGTATTATTAACTCTTTCACATATTCCATTTTTGATATTATCCCTGGTTGTTGTAATGTAATTACGTGTCGCATCTACTCGAGCCCGCACTCCATCAGCAATTTTGGATAGAATGGTCCCCATACTTTATCATGTCACACGTATTAGGCCTAATTCATCCAATCATATTTTGTACCTACAAGTTACATTACATACAATGTGAGTGTGCAAAGATTTGCCCCAAACTACCAAATTGTAATTCTATTACTTTTTGAATTATATATCTGCCTCTCGCTCAAATGGATTTGTAAGCCCTTTGCAGATAATTGACATGTAGACAAATATATATATTGTACGTACCTACAAGTTACATTACATACAATGTGAGTGTGCAAAGATCTGCCCCAAACTACCAAATTGTAATTCTATTACTTTTTGAATTATATATCTGCCTCTCGCTCAAATGGATTTGTAAGCCCTTTGCAGATAATTGACATGTAGACAAATATATATATTACAGCCGGAGAAGAAACCAAACTGTGATGATAGGAATCAGAGATGCAACTTCTGTATTTTCTGGGAGATTGTTAAATTATTGACCCAAATCATCTCCCAAGGTTCATACAGAATCATGGGCTTTCAAGAGAAGGGTAGGCAACTTCCCATATTTCATCCATAAGCATTATCTTGGGTTTAAGAAATAACCCGAAATCTTGGGTTTAAGAAATAACCCGAAAACAAAAACATGATTATCTGCACACATGTTGATAATTTATAGAAAATGGAATTCATGAATAACATGAAATAAAATGTTTTCATTGTCGAATGAACGAACATGCATTTATTCAGTCCGTACTTAACGTTTACTTCCGTTTTAAATTCGCGGCAAGAAATCAAAAACTGAAAAATAAGGGACACACTTTTTTTTCAAAGGACACACTTTTTTTAAAAAATTGCGTCCTTGGGACTCACAAATGTTCTAACCTAATGCAAGCGCTAGACCTGCAGAGAAAAAGCAAACTTCCCGTCTCCGACTTGAAATTCAATGATCTGATCGTGTTTCAATGTTTATTGTTGAAATCTTCTCACCTCAGGTTATCCGATCGATGCTCCGGCATCTATTTAACTCTAATAATATTTGTATTTTCATGATGAATTCGCTCATTTTGAAGTTCTCATTGTAAAGGATAGGTTTCGATATGGTGAACTGAACTGAATGTTTTTCTTTAAACTGATTATTGAAAACATTCTGTAAAAAAACATGACCCTTTATGTAATGTTTTACTAATTGGCAAAAATTATTTATATATATTTTATATAACTGTTTTTATAACATTATTTTGTTTGTTTTTTAATGCAATTGTTTTTTGTTCCTTTCTACCAATTCTTGAGAATGAAATAAAACGTCTTTCTGAACCTTGTTGGAACAAAATAGCATATACAACATTTTCTTAGACCTCTCATTATTATAGTTATACAAAGGAAATTTTGGTTGATTTAACAAAAAGTATGCAAAAACTTAAAACAAACCTCCCAAAATAGATAAAAATTAAGATAAACCTTTTATTTCATTAACAAGATACTTTTTTAAAATCAACCAAACTTTCCTTTGAACAATTACAATATTGAGACCTAACACATTGTGTTTATGTGTTTATGTTCCAATGAGGTTCGGATAGATGTTTCATTTCATTCCGAACATATGATACCAAGAACAAAAGAAGTGTCTGATGTGTTTTCTAAAACAATGTAGAGAAAAGTATTATATTATAACATTACCATCCAAAAGATGACCATTAAAGGAATATTCCTTGCCAAACCATCTCTCTCCTCATATGGTAGCTAACCATATATATGCTTGCCATGTTTAGCAAAACACGCAAAAATGTTTTGATATGGTCAAATTTGATCACTTAGAAATGTGATGCTCAATTCCAGTAAGCTGCCATCTTTTAAAATTTCACACAGGAAGTGATGTCATCGACTCTCAACTTTGCATATAGCATTAGGTGAGGAGCTATTAAGAATTACAAAACCAGCTAAATATTCTTTTTCAACTTTGTATCTTATTTAATCCTTCTGAAAATCTCTTCTTTTATTCTAAGTTGACAAGCCCTGAAAATATTTTTGCACAGAAAGTAATGATCACTTGTCTAGAAGTGATTTTGTGCTACTTTCCTATACTGTTATGGGCAAGGTTATAGAAATTGAGAGTTGATGACATCACTTCCTGCAAGAAATCTTAAAAGATGGCAGCTCACTGGAAAATAAGCACTAGATTTTTAAATGATCAATATTGACCATATTAAAACATTTTCCCATGTTTTGCTAAATATGGAAACTATATATATGATTATAGCTACCATATCAAGAGAGAAAGGGTCTGGCAAGGAATATTCCTTTAAATTGATGATGTCTAAAATTTTCAGAATGTTTTGATGACTGGTTTAAGAGAATATGTGTTCAAAAAGTTCACCATATCGATACCACTCCTTTAACACAGAGTTGCATACCCTTCTATTGAATGCCCATGATAGAATACTAAAAAACAATTAATTATTAGGCCTAGGTTTAGTCTATCTATTAGCCTACATGTAGCCAAATTCTTTATCACAAGAACGCATAGGCTTATTGCACAAAAAACTAAATAATCTGAAATATGCAATTGTCATTCATGTACAATATGAATATACTTTTCCATATATTATTGCACAATGGTCTCCTGATTTCTTGTTTTTGGGGTTTTGCTGATGAGATAAAACGGTGAAATGGGCTTTAGTCTAATCTACAGCCCATTTCATTGTTTTATTTCGTCAGTAAAACCTAAAAAATAAGAAATCAAAAGATTATTGTGCAATAATATATGGAAAAATATATTCCTATTGTACATGGCATTTGTATATCTCGGATTGCTTCTAGTTTGGCTAATAAAGTATGTGGCCTCTTATATTTTGATGCTTCTCTGCCATAGTATTTTCAAAAAGATTAACATGGCTGAAATTCTTTAAATTACAAGAGGGCATAGGCTAATGCACAAAAAACTAAATAATCTGAAACATACAAATGTCATTCATGTACATTATGAATATACTTTTCCATATAATATTGCACAATGGTCTCCTGATTTCTTATTTTTGGGGTTCTACTGACGAAATAAAACAGTGAAATTTTAAATGTTTGTAAGTAATTTGAACTTAAAAAATAAGCAATCAAAGGACCATATTGTAAAAATAGAAACATTTATAATTGTCCTAACTTTTGTATATTTTAGTTTGTTTTGTAGTTTAGCTATCATATCTGTGGCCTTTTATATTTTGATGCTTCTCTGCCATGTTATTTTCGAAAAGGCCGTGGATGGAGAGCCTTAAATTTTAAGGCTCTTTAGCATTTTGGTAACCCATTTGGCTCGAGAGCCTTAAATTTTAAGGTTCTTTAAAACCACGTATCTACTTACTTATGTTCTATGTTATCTATTGGACTATGTAAATTGTGAAACACAACACTAGAGGCAGTATTCTGAGGTTATAAAATATAGATCGAAATAATCTCCCATTTGTAGTACCTTGGAGACTTCAGGAATGGAACAAAGTAGCAAACATTGCAATCTTTCAACTTTAGTTTCACACCGGAATAGCCTGACAACGGTAAAGTCAGATACCGTTGTCACAAATGGCGGACATTACCGTCGCTTCAAATAGATTTTCATGAACTGTATGTTTAATAGAGCACATAGACTAAATTCCTTTGGAACAACAATCAATCAAAGTGTCTTAATACTCATTGTACAGTTAATAATGTTATACCATCGAAATAAAGTCTTTAATCTAATCGATCAAAATGAGATACGGGACAACGGACACTGTAATTACCATATGCCGTTGTCTTTCTAAATTACTCAAATTCAGATTCCGTTGTCATTGACAATATCGAAGACGCTATATTGTGGCGATTCACGACCCAATTTGTTGTTTTTCACCACTTAATGTGTAGAGTTTTAATTTACTTATTTCACTGCATCATTTCAGGTTTTTATGATTCATAAAATCAATAAGTTTCCTTGCGTAATATCTTGAATAAAGTTGATTTTAAATAGTCAGTAGCTTCAGGGGACCTTCCTACAATATTTGACATCACTATCTTGGAATAGTTTAGTTTTTTTGTGTTTGGCTGAGTTCAACAATGCAACTTACTGTAGTCCTGTAGATGACATAGAACATATTGGTAAGTATATACGTGGTTACATCACATCATTTCGTTATTTTTAACCATATGAACTGCTTCCCAGAATAAAAAATAAAACCTTACTAAAGATAAAATAGAAATCCTAGTGACTACATCAAGTTCATATGGTTAAAATAACGAAATAATGAAATGTAACCATGTGTCTACTTATCAGTTTGATCTATGTCATCCATCCTGCTAGGTTACATTGTGGAACGCAGCCAAACACAACAATGAAGGCAACGACATATCGATACTGATCTTAGCAGAATTCTTGGAAATTTAGATCGTCCATTTTGCAAGCTCACGTGACTGATACGTGACACTTGTCTGATCACGTGACTAGTTACTGTATCGATCATGTGGCTTAATGACGTGTCAATGACGTGTCACGCAAACATGTCTTCAAGGAAAACGGAAGTAAATATTTTGGAAAATGTTTTGCGAGCATTTGCAACGAACGAAACTGCTAAATTTGAATTTTTAGTCTGCTTATTGATCTATTGATTCATAAAGACCTGAAATGATGCATTCAAATAAGACCGCCTCCTAAATTAAAACACTACACATAAAGTGGGGAAAACAACGAACTAAAGTTGAAAGATCGCAACGTTCGCTACTTTGTTCAATTCCGGAAATCTCTAAGGGGCTGCAAATCGGAAATTTTTTAGATTTAGATTTTATAACCTCAGAATACTGTCTTCAGTGTCGTGGTTGGCTGAGTTCCATAATGTAACCAAGCAGGATGGATGACAGAGAACAAACTGATAAGTAGACACATGGTTACATTTCAAAATTTCGTTATTTTAACCATATGAACTAGTTTATCCCGTACCAGGACTTTAGTCCTGCGAACGTCTTATTCTTTTGCCTGTACGATTACAACATGGGAGAATTTTTTACGCTTCTTACACTTAAGATACCTATTTCGATAGATTCCTTGGTATTTTAGCATTCTTTTCGTGTAGTTGAATCCACTGGTTATCCGGGCCACTTCCGGGTCAATCAAACGGGGAATCCCCTTTTAAATCCAACCGCCATCTTGGAAAGTGATGAAATATCTCTCGATGAAAAAGAAAAATGTTCCCATTCTGCCTGTGGATTCAACTACACGAAAAGAATGCTAAAATACCCAGGAATCTATTGAAGTAGGTATCTTAAGTGTAAGGGGCGTAGATAATTCTCCCATGTTGTAATCGTACGGGCAAAAGAATGCCCTCGTTACAGGACTATAGTCCTGGCACGGGATAAGAACTAGTCACTAGAATTTTTGTTTTATCTTTAGGCTTGGCTATAACATTTTTTAAAACAAGATAAAAACATCAATAACTCACGACTCAAGCAATCTTCACCATCCATATTTTGAGTGAGTATAGATCAATACACTTCTTTTAATACAATATAGTCATCCATACTTTTGGATCACAGCGTATAGCACTTATTTGGGGAATAAATAAATGTTTTGACATCCGGAAACGTTCCCTTTAATTTTTATTCCTCCACTTTGAAGAGTTTATTTTGGGTACTACAGATATTTCAAGGGATGGGAATGATAATCAAAACACATTTTAAGTTCAATAAATTGAAAAATGATTTGGTGGCGCAAATTCTGATTATAATGAATGTGAAAACAATCGTTTTGAATGCAAAATTGAAAAAATGTATTGGTATAAATTGAGCAACAGTGTTGTCATGTGTTAATTGATTGCGCATGCGTAGTGCCTAATTTTATCACCAGCCATTTTATGAAAGGAAATTGCCGCTTTTTATTCGCGGAGATGAGCTAAAATATTTTGAAAATTCGTGTTTATATTCTTGGACATAGGTAGCTACAGCAACAAAATGTCTAGCTAATACCCCAATCTTGATGGATTGAGGGTTTTTGACTACGGATGGATGGAAAAACACAGTGAAATTTGTAACTAAAGTCGGGTACGAATTTTATCATCTATTTTCATTATGCATTTGACCTATATTTCATCTGTGAAGTTCTATGGTTTATAAGAATAGTTTGGTCTAGTAAATGATCCTAAATGCAATATAATGTATCCGTCTCAGTGCATTTTGAAAAAAATGTCGCGAAATAATGTTAGATCATGGAGAAATTCTCAAAATGATATCGAACAAAAGTGATGGAGAATCTTAGCCTCGTTTTGGGTTTCATTTAACAATGAGATCATAGAATACCAACAGAAGGAAACATTTATAATACTGCAATGTACATCATTTATTATTTGAATTGTTTGTGATGTCACACACAATGCATGTTCAGTGATTACCTACCTATTCCCTTGTTCATTGTGACATGATTTTCTTCAGGTCTTAGGATCGCGATAAGAATGCAAAGCGGAAATGATAACGATAAGGCACAGAATGAGGGACAGGATATTCCGACAACTTCTGTTCCTATACAGCAACTCATCATGTCTGGCATAGGACCACAGGCAACTTTGCTTGGTTAGTTTATTGCTCAATAACACTAATCACATTGATTATATAACAGATCATTTCCCAGAAGGAATTAAATTTTTGCTGTACCTAGCATAGGCTTTACGAAAGTTCACAGTCCGAAGATTTTATGCGTGATAAATATTACCTAAGACGTTGGGTCAGTATTTCAATATCTGTCAATAACTTAATACGTTGATAAACACTTTTAATTAGGTGACGAATATTGATTTATAGTTTCCCAGTGTTTCGTCTTATGCAATTTCTGCTTTGACTGGCATGGTATGATCATTAGATATACTCAACAGATGTATAAAAAAAATGAATGTATAATGTGTTTCAGATGGTGTATACTGTGGGGTTGTACTTGTTCTCTGCATGCAAATCCTCATTTTGACACATACTATGTAGTAATCAACATTTTCATTTTTTTGACTATTGCTAGAAGGTGAAGGGGGATTAAACCCTTCAACTAAATTAATTACATTTTTGACGGACAATGAGATATTAACTTGGCCCATAAAGAATATTAGTTATTGGAAGAATAATGGAGGGATATTAGATTGTAGTATATCTGTTTGCAGGGCATCTCCAGGGTATTGCTACTCAGCAGGCATCTCAGTCAACTTTACAGCTACCTGGGCAGGCATCACCTCAGCAGGTTATAAATGCTGCACAGTTGAGCCAGTTGTTACGCCACCAGCTTTCACCTGGATTTGCTACACCTGGCCAGGTTCAGCAAAACATAACAACATCAGGGCCCATACAGCAGCAGAGTTTTACATCGTCAGGTCCTGCACAGACACATGAGTCTTCTAACATTCAGCTTTTGAATCAGTTACAGAGACAGCTAAGTAACCCAGGTAGAGTCTTATCTAGTTTTCTTTTTTTCTTCCACAATGAATATAGTCCATGAATGTGCAAATTTAATGCCACATACTCATTCTGGTGAGACTTATCTTGTAAGTTTTGTCAATTACATTGTGGCTAGAGGAATGAGTGCTTGCTTCCAGCATAGTTTAACCTAGCTCTCGCTGGCAATGATACACCCTACATCAAAACATCAGAAATGCATTGTTCCAGTTTAAAAAAATTTATCCTGTACATTTCTTGAAAAGATGTTGAATAATTCTTTATTTTCAGGAATTGCTCCCCCAGTGCCCCAAATGAGCCCTCCTACTTATCAAGCCAGCCACCAGGTGGCAGCAGCTGTAGAGTCCTGTGGGGCAACAGTCCACCATCTTGGTCAAAACCCGTCTAGAGTCGCCATGGTAACTACAGCATCTTTGCCAGCACTCAGCAATCCAGCAACACCAACAATGAGTCTTTCTCAACAACAATTAGCGCAATTACAACATAGACGATTAAGCAGTAGTCTAAATAGTAGCGGAAGTAGTAATGGAACCACAAGAGTATCTGAAAATACTCACAGTCCGATTGCTTCTCCTGATAGAGCTAGAAAACGTATCAAGCTTGAACATATACCACCGCCAAATGACCACATAGCAAATTTCAGGAAAATATTTGGCGAGAAAAAACTTAATGAGTTATCAGAGCTTAAGGAGAACTATATTGAAAATTTAACCGAATTATTTTTTCTTCAAAATGGGGGCAATTACATGGACTATATAGCATGGAAGAAACGGCCTACTCCACAGTTAATTGCATTTTTAAAGAGTGGTCAGCTTGATGGTGATGATGAAGACAGTGTTGGCCTAGAACGACTAATAAATGATGAGGTAATAAAAAAAATTAACAAGAATTTGTTTTCCTCAAGAATATACTGAAAATATGACTTTTTATCTATTAGTAGATATGCCACATACTCATTCTGATGAAACTTTTCCATATGAGTCTTGTCAATTACCTTGTGGCTAGAAGAATGAGTGCTTGCTTCCAGCATAGTTTAACCTAGCTCTCGCTGGCAATGATACACCCTATACTGTAATATCTGAAAATGTTATCTCCTCAGAATCATTTATGCATTAAATTGAGCAATGGTGTCTTCCTGACCTTTTCAAATCCAATTTTCTATTCCAGGTTAAAGTTGTAGTATCCAGTGGAAGTAACATCCCATTGATGACACCTGTTGCTATATCAACCTCCTTACCATCCTCAGTAGCACAGATTTCACAAGGTATAATAACTTTATATACTCATTTAAATGGATAATGTTTTCTTATGATAAGCCCAAAGATCTATTATAATTGAGACTATTGGCTTGTTCAATCTTTCAGCATGTTATGGTAGATCATAGATGTTTGTGATTCTATTCTACACTTTAGTAAACATTTCTATATAGTGATTAGTCAGCTATATATTCTTCTGTTATATTTAGGGGTGAGACGAGTCGAAAAAATCCGATTCGAGTCGAATCCGATTCGAGTCAGAAAATGACGATTCGAGTTTCGAATCCGTTTCGAGTCGCGAAAGTGCGAACAACATCGCTTTTGACCATTCGTATTTTTAATGCGTCAATGGTGGAAAGCCGGAAATATAAACAAACACAATTCGTCGTAAGTTTATTCTGATTTTATTACATATATTCTTTCATTTATGTGTACATACAATATAATGATTTAATACAAGCATATCCAAGTCATTGAAACTTATATATTCAACACAATATCGAGTAAAAACATGCATATTGACAGTATTTTTCTGAATTTTTTTATTTTTTCGAATTTTTTTCTCAACTCGAAAATGATTCGATTCATCAACTTCGACTCGATTCGACTCGACTCGAAGCCCCAAACCCGCGAGTCCTCGACTCATCGGGTTGTCGTCTCACCCCTAGTTATATTGGTAAAGGGTGATAAAATTAACAAGGAAAACATTCATTTGTTTGTGTTGAAGACAAACTGGTAGACTGTAGTTAACAAAGTATTGTTTCACATTTTTCTTGTAGTGGTTCACATTACTGTTCACTTATCTATTACATTTATCATTCAATATGTTGTATCCTTTCACTGAACATATGTGAAAGAGTTGAAAATGAATAGTCATTTTTATTTTGGGTACTGTACTTTTGTTGTAGTATATTTAATACTTATTACAAATAAATATGTGTATGTCATAATGTACCAAATCGAATACATGCAGGTCACGGTTTATCAAATGGAATACATGTAGGTCATAGTGTACCAAATACAATCATACAGGTGGGTTAAACTGTACCAAATAGAGTACATGTAAGTTAATGTTTATCAAATAGAATACATGCAAGTCTGTCATTGCATACCAGATACAGAAATAGAATACAGAATACATGTTTGTCGTAGTTTACCAAATGAATCACATTTAGGTCCCAACATACAAGCATCTATCTTCCCAATGTATACTTTCACCCCTCCCTCAAAAAGTTTGACAAAACTAACTCAGTTTTTGGATCACATGCTAAACCTGTTCATGCAGTGTTAAGTTCAAAAATTTAATTTAATCCTGAACATGATTAAACTAATCAACAGGTAGTCAGGATTGTCAAACATTTTGGAGAGTGTACTGTAGTCTCACAATTTATATTCATTGCGCTTCTGTTTGCACAACAGGTGGAGTCGAGATAGGCAAGAAAAGTGGTGGGCGTCATGGGATGGTGTTTGGTCACCACCCTCCTGGCTCCATCACCCCCACACGCCAACCTACAGGTGACCACGCCCTGCATGCCTCAACCCTGTACACCCATGTGGTAGCCTTTCCCATTCCAACAATTTGGTTTATTTACCCAACCAGTTGTAAATGATATCCTCCGAGTTACTTGAATTAAACTGAAATATGCAAGAAAGTCTTCTATTAATTCAAATGGGATGTATCGGGTGCATTTTTCTGACAATGAGACAAAGCATATTTTCAAGGTTCATGAAAGATTTCCATGATTGACTCTCGGTAATTCTGGTTTAATAGTATATCCATGTGTGCAACCACCACTACTATAATGGTTACCACTACTTTAATGGTTACCACATGAGGGTTGAGGCTTTTGAATGCTAACGCTCTTGATGTCTGTTTAGTTTTAGTGCATGTTGCTAGGCAACTAGATCTGTGGTGACAGGCAGACTGTTGGCAGCCATTTTATCCAGCCATCTATTATCATTGCTGTTATGAATAATTTCAAAATTATACATGTGGCTTCGTTTTTGTTTATATACAATGACTTATGATTAACTGTTCTCATTTGCTTGTGTGTATTTATCCATATTATCATTCGAGAGCAAATGTAAATCATATTGGTGTATCTATTTTTTGCATAGAAGTTACAGTATTGAATTGTTTAGGTTTATATATAGACATATTCCTTCATTACCATTTATAATGACATGTTTTATAAGCCTAATCTCCCTAATCTTAATGCGTTTTGTAGTGTAGCCTTCATAATGTGTTCTGTAGTAATCTAGTTGATGTGCTTGGCTTTAAATTTTGTATGGTTGTTTGCCTTTTTCTGCTTGTATTATTATGAAGACAGAAAGACGCTTTAGAAATATGATTTATGGGAATTGTTATTTCATATTCAGTGACTTCATTGCCAACTGAAATATCGTAATAATGAAGTAATATTTTTTTTGTTTATGATTGTACACCAAGAGAAATATTTTCATATCACTGGCAACCTTGCAAAGGATTGTGTCTGTTTTGTTTAAAATATACACTTGTAATAATCTTTGAACAATCTTTTATAGGCTCAACATTAAAATTAATTGGGTGGGTTTAAATGACAAAAGACTTTGCTGCGCTTTTGCATGGTGTTAAGTATTGCCGTGTGTTTTAACTTTAGAGATAACTAAACTCTTGTGAATTTTAATCTTTAAAATGGTTACCTTATTCTATTTAAATTATGTGGGGGAGACGTCATGAACACTGAAAATGGGGAGGTTTGAAAGGTAAAACTTGAATATGTTAGGACTTGCTTTGATGCGACTTGAAGAATGTAATGAAATATAAATATGGATTTCCTCTCTGTAAAAAAATATACATGTACTCCTATAAAATAAACATGTACTCCAGTCCTATTTATAATTGTAGTTTTTAAATGTCTGAGGGAGGCTTATGGGGTCTTGAAAAATATGAGGGATAAATATGGAGGAAGTTACATATTATTTAGCAAATGGGGGTAAAAAAATCATCAGGATCTCCCCTCCCCAACATTTTAAATCGAGTAGGCCTAACAATTTCATTATTTTCATTTGACATATTTATTTAACATAGACATTTGGTAGAGAAACTACTTCTTTCTCATTATGATTAACAGCACAGGGGAACGATCAGTTTTAACTTAAATAATCACTAATACGTATGAGAGGTGGGCCGGGTATTACCTCCTCAAGTTGGGATGAACAGGCAAATTTCCCTGCCCCAGAATGTTAAAGTACCAGTGCTAGACTATGGCACAGCATAAAGTTCAAAATGTCAAGTCCTATTTCTACAGTTTTGGGTTATAGCCCTGAATTGGAAACATTTGTTTGTTCACTGATTGTTAGCTTCCCACTGATGATTGGCTGTCATTATGCAGCTTGGTCTGTCCAAATTAATCAGACATATCTGACCCACTTCAAGTAAGAAAATTGTTCTGATCTAAGGAGTATCAGTATCTAAATGTTAACTCATGCCAACAAATAATTGTGTTTTCAGGACAAAGTTTAAAGAGTACTGCAATAAAAGGAGACCTTTTGATGTGTTTTATCAATCTGAAATATCTGAATTGACAATTGTATGTGTATTTGCAGGAACAGCTGTGGCTGTTACACCTACTATTGCCCTTCCCCAACCACCACCATATACAGCCATTGTGACAACAGGGGTGACAACAGCATCTGAGAATTCAAATGAGAGTCAGATTGTGAATGTCACGGCTTCAATATCTACACCTCTTACAAGGTAGGGTTTTTACGATACTAAATCAGAATCAATGTTTTGAGTCCATGTGAGACCAATTATCTTTCTGGAGAGTGGCAAAACTTCTTATGTTTAAATCTTGATATGGGAGTGAGTATATATCAGAATGTACTTTGTGAAAGAATATTAACACCAAGTCGTAAGGAATATCTTCAGCAGTTTTCTCTTGTGTCCTCTCATTTCAATTGAAAAAAATACAATACTAAGAATATAGAAAATTTTTTCATTAACAAGAAGTTTAACATCACTACATGTTTGATTGCAGTATATTGCAAAATTTGAGTACAGCCACTTCCACTACCACCAGTGCAGCAGCCAGCCAGGAGTCTGCTGTGGTGCATGCCCCCAAGGCAACTATTTCTGCAGTATATGACAAAGGCCTTGGCTCTCAGGAGGCTATAGTGGAGAGAGCTAAACAGGTACATGTCCTCTCTTTATTCCTCTGAAGCTTTACTTGGGTGTTGTGACCTGTTAAGTGAATATTGATATTTTGTTGAACATACTTATTCAAAAATAATCATCTAAGACTTATCCAGTTGCCAGAGTACACAAAGATGTGTGAGGAAGTCATACTTATTTTTGTGTTATGTTGCCATTGAATAGAGCCACATATTCATTCTGACGAGACCTCTCTCATGATTCTCGTTAATTTCATTGTGGCTAGAGGAATGTGAACTTGTTCATTGTTACCAGCCTAGCTCAAGCTAGTTCTGGCTGGCTATAATGCAGTAGACACTAGATTTGTTGATATCAAACTAATCAGATTGCAAGATTGAGATTGCATGAATATGAGTATTCATACGACAATCATTGTGGAGCCACAAATGTATAAAAGATAATAACTAGGGTTTTGATCACATTTGCATGATTTTAATCCATCATCTCTCTTCGTAGGAGGCTCAAGTAATGCAGCGTATAGCTGAACTACGTAAGAATGGTTTATGGTCTACAAGGCGGCTCCCTAAGGTGCAGGAGCCCCCACGTAACAAGGCACACTGGGACTACCTCCTGGAAGAGATGCAATGGCTGGCAGCTGACTTTGCACAAGAACGCAAGTGGAAGCGCGTTGGTTGTCGTAAGGTTAGTATAACACAAGAAGAGTTTGTAATGTAAGTCTGTTTGGTATTTAATCATGATGTCATACTTTCTATCGTTAGAATAACAACAATGAATTCTTGAATATTCAGAGCTATTAATGTTCTGGTAATGTATCCAAATATATAACTTGTGTATATCTGCCTGACATCGTGCCACATACTCATTCTGGTGAGACTTATCTTCTAAGTCTTGTCAATTACATTGTGGCTACATGAATGAGTGCTTGCTTCCAGCATAGTTTAACCTAGCCATTGCTGGCAATGATACACCCTACATAGTTTGAACATTAAGACTACATATTTCAGTCTTAATGTTATCCTTCATATTCTTTGATTCCTATCTTGAGAAAAATGAATGAATTAAAATTTGTGGATGTTAATGAACTCATTTGACATTTCTGAGCAGGGTACATCATAAGGACCTACTGGTCAAATTGTTATTACTGACCAGCTGCCTTGCTACTTCACTGTATACATGTTGAAAATGAACTTGGTCAGCACCTTTGTCCCACTCCATCTCCCAGACATTGAGTTATGTTTTACGCATTCCAGATTGCAAGTATGGTATCACGCTACCATAAAGAGAGACAAAACAAAGAGATCCGAGCAGAGAAAGAAGAAGGTTTACGTATGAAACGTATTGCTGGCAACCTTGCAAAACAGATCAAAGAGTTCTGGGGCAGTATTGAAAAGGTAGGCTTTGTTTAGATTATCTAGAAATTTATTGAATAATTTTCATCCAGAATTTTGCATTTTTGTATATATTTGTTAAATTTTACTGGTGCATTGTTGGATATTGATGTGATTCTAGGTCTACTGGTGTATTATTGGATATCATTTTGATCTGTTTCTTTTCCAGGTTGTGCAATATAAACAGAACAGCCGTCTAGAAGAGAAGAGGAAAAAAGCCTTAGATTTGCAGTTAAACTTTATAGTTGATCAGACTGAAAAATATTCATCATGGCTCACTGAAGGCCTTGGTAGTGGACCACCTAGTGTGAAGTCAACCTCAGTACATTCAAGCCCATCACATGGGGATGGTAAGAGATTCATATCTGCACACTTATTTAACCTAGATCTAAGTTGAGGTATACATTCAAAGGTCTTGGTTTTCTTCAATAAAAATTAGAGAATAGCATGATGTAAACCAACTTGAAACAATGGAATTCTCATATATTGCTATGATTGTTACAGATGTTGAGTTCAGACCAACAGAGACAGCGTCTGATGATGAAGAAACCATTGAGAAGGAGGAAGAACTGGACGAGGTGAGAGAACGCATGTTATGTTTTCATGCTTTTTTGTTGAAATTTAATTTACTGAACGTTGTCCAATATTTTGCTCTGTAGCAACTTTCAGTCAATTGTTTGTATTTTCTATTTCTGTATATGATAGAATGTTGTTGGAAGAGGTACAGTGAAAAAGAACAACTCATAATGTCTATTTTATCTTTGTTCATCCCAGTGTCTTAAGCCGGCTAAACTTGATAGCAATTCATGTGTAGTGTGCAATCACTGGGTAAAGAAATACAGAGCGTGTGTAAGGCTAGGATTTCTTTTTAGTCCACAGCCCAAGAAGTCTCTGTTATAATTAATAAAAAAAAAAGAATAGCATTGTCAGAATGTAAAAGCTTTGAAGTAGAGCACATCCCCCCCCCCCTTGTACTTTGTACATTATATATATTTAAAGTGAACCCTCTATTCCAGACCAATCATGAAGAGGAGCTGGAAGCCTTGAAGAAAGAAAGTGAGGTGCCAATAGAGGAAATTTTAAAAAATCTCCCATCTGAAATCTTAGAAAAGCCATCAGAACAATCTGGAGGTGAAGAATCAGATGACAGTGGCAATAAAAAGAAATCCAAGGTAATTAAAATGTAAATTTTTGAAAGCACTTGGAACATTGTAGGCTTAACATTTCATTAAAATTTTAACATCATAAAATGAATTCTTATGATCCCAAACATTCCCATGTATTTTAGGGATGTATTTTAGTGATTTTTATTTTTATTCTAAAGACATCAATATCTGTTAAGAATGTGGTTGTATTGTCCCAGACAAACATTCATCTTAGACATCTCATGTCTTTAGTGAATATATGTCATCTGGGTAGATCAGAATATCCGCTATAAAACCCATTGTGATGTCATGCAACATCTCCATGGTTCCTGTCAGTGGAGACAATTATTATCTTTTTTCTTGAAACATGATACAATTGCACATTTTATAAATGTGGTTAAGATAATGATTAATGATATGTTTGTGTTATGGGGAGGGATCAGATAGTTCACTTAAAATAGACTGTGTTGCACATTTTGATAACATAAACTAAACTTGTTTAAAAGAAACAAACATATGAGAAGAGAAAATTAGAGGCTTTGTGAAACTAGGTTTCATGAAATATTAATTATTTAACCATGTCAATGATTTACAGGAAGAAGACTCTGACTTTGAGGCCAGTGATGAGAGTGACGTTGAAGATACTATAGAGAAGCAGGAGAAGCATGAGAAGGCAGATGATCACCAGCAGGAACTGGATGATCTAAATCAAGAAAGTAAGCAATTGAATGTGAAATTCACCCTGAATTAAACTGCATCCATAATTGATGAATGTAATTCTTTTCTTAAGTTCTTTACTAATTATTCTATAATGATTTGTGGGTAATGTAAATTATGAATGAATTAGCAGTGTACAAAGATTGTGAAGATCAATAATAAGCCTCTCCTTTCTTACTCTACCATACAATATTAAAATTGAAATTGAGTCAATATGAAACGCTTGAAGTATGTACATGTATACACTTTTGGCGGTAGCATCAAAAATTGGCTTAGAATGCACCCATTGATAGTATTATAACTGTTGTAGGTGAAATGTCAGTCGAAGAGTTGAGGAAAAAATATGCAGCAGCGTATGATAGTGACTTTGAGATGCCTGATACTCCAAGTGAATCTGAGGAATCTGAAGATGAAACGGAGGAAAGCCAAGATGAACAATCAGAAGGTACAGAGATTTTAAACTTTCTTTTAACTCAGCTCCAGTGCAGATGAAGAATCTGTTAACCAAATTGTCAACAGTTTTGTTATTCCAACCAGGAAGATACATATTGCAATGTTTATACCTTGTTAAATCATGCAAATGACAATGTTGAGTGTGTTTATACATTCATTGCTAACTCCACTGCTATCTGCATTACAGATGAGGAAGAGGAGGATGAAGTTGATGATGAAAAGACAGAGGAAGAACAAACAGAAGATGTTGGCATGGAGTATCTTCTCACTGGAGAGAAAGAGGGAGAAAAGGTGATTATCTCAATTTTTCGTAAAAAACGTAATCTTTGATAACTCAAATACCAGTTAACAGATTTGGTTGAAATTTTATATGATTATGCCTAGGGACACAGTAGCTCTGTTCAAGAAATATTTTTCAAGATGGCGGCTGAATTTCAAGATGGCGGCCCATATTCGTAAAAAACGTAATCTTTGATAACTCATGTACCAGTGAACGGATTTGGTTCAAATTTTATATGCTGATGCCTAGGGACAAAGGAGGTTTATTGATGATGCTTAGGGACACAGTAGCTATGTTCGACAAAACATTTTCAAGATGGCCGCTTATTTCAAAATGGTGGCAATTTTTTGTAAAAAACGTAATCTTTGATAACTCAAATACCAGTGAACAGATTTAGTTGAAATTTTATATGATTATGCCTAGGGACACAGTAGCTCTGCTCAAGAAATGATTTTCAAGATGGCGGCTGAATTTCAAGATGGTGGCCCATATTCGTAAAAAACGTAATCTTTGATAACTCATATACCAGTGAACGGATTTGGTTCAAATTTTATATGATGATGCCTAGTTCACAATGGTATAAACTAACTTTGTGCCAAATTTCATGCTTCTATCACAAAGTGCACAAACATTTCAACATTTACACTAGCTATAATAAGCATAATATGTTTTGTTCGATGGGATTTGGTACTCCGTGGAGTTGCTGTTTTTCTAGTTGGAACAGTTCATCTTAGTCTGTGTGGCGAATCATTTGATCATTCTAGTTCAAGGAAAATCAATGAAGAATTCAGTGAGCTCTATGAATCATCATAAGTATAACCCTATTGATGATTGTTTGTTTCCAGGGTGATGGCTCTATGAATCATCATAAGTATAACCCTATTGATGATTGTTTGTTTCCAGGGTGATGGCTCTATGAATCATCATAAGTATAACCCTATTGATGATTGTTTGTTTCCAGGGTGATGGCTCTATGAATCATCATAAGTATAACCCTATTGATGAATTGTTTGTTTCCAGGGTGATGGTGACAGTGGACCAAATAAAGACTTCAATGATATTGCAGAATTTGCTAAAACCCTCCAACCAACTGGTTACACATTTGAAACAACAAATGTAAGTTCTTGTGGTTCATTACATCAAAACATAGATCATACTATTATATATGACTTAATAATGAACATTTTTTTTCCTATTTCCACCGAATGGCTAATGTGTTTCTCTCAAATATCTGCCTAACTTTGAAACTTACACATTTATTTATTGGATGAATATGGTTATACTTCCTAAAATGTTTTGATGACTACAACAATTGTTAACGTCTTGTTTCTTCAATATCAAGAACTATGTTATTTTGGAGACTAATCCTAACTCTTCATTTAGGTGAGGACTGAAGTCCCCTTCCTTCTAAAGCACACACTGAGAGAGTACCAACACATTGGTCTGGAGTGGCTGGCCACAATGTATGACCGCAAACTTAATGGAATTCTTGCAGATGAAATGGGCTTAGGAAAAACTATACAAACTATAGCCTTGTTGGCACATCTAGTGTGTAAACATGGTCAGTACAACCAATTCTAATTTCATGATATTATAGTTTTTTATGTCCCTTAATTTTCCGTGAATTCTTGTAAAATGAAAGAAATAGAATAATTTTAGAAAATGAAGACCAAGGCAGTCTTTTGATTAAGTAACACTTAACGTTTTATATTAGGTTGTATCTTATATAATCATTGAGTGACAAATAAACAAATAAATCTATTGTAATTGTAGGTATTTGGGGGCCTCATCTTATCGTGGTGCCTACAAGTGTGATGCTCAACTGGGAGATGGAGCTGAAAAAATGGTGCCCCAGTCTTAAAATTCTCACCTACTATGGCAATCAAAAAGAGCGTAAACAAAAACGGCAGGTAAATAAAATTCATTGGAATACCAACAAAATACATTTGAAATATTGAGCCCTATGGTTACAAAAGATTGTGTTATGTCCATAGTCTCAACATTGCAAGGTCTGATTTTAGTCTGGAGTCTTAAACTTGAATATATTTTATAAATATTGTACTTTAAACTTATTTTTGAGATATAATCACTGGTATGTTGTTTGTCAACTTATCAGATCAAGTGTCTCATATAGTAAATCTAGACTTGATCCTCCGATGTCACTTGTACATATGGCGTAGATCTCCAAGTTTTGGTACATAAATACTGACTGGTAACACCAATAGAAAAATAGACAATCAAAGGATAGATCACTTAATTTGTTATGTTTTATCTCTTGTTTGTTGTAGGGTTGGACCAAGACGAATGCGTTCCATGTGTGTATTACATCATATAAACTGGTTATTCAAGATCATCAGTCATTCAGGCGGAAGAAATGGAAGTATTTCATTCTAGATGAGGTAAATAATTCTATACTTTTGATCTCTGATATTCAATTTGATTCTCCAAACATTAAGAGAAATTAAGACTCCGAACCTGTAAAGTAAATGTGTTTCATCATTCTACTTGTTCATTCATTGAAAAGAAAATTTTGAAGTGATTGCACTATATTTATAATTTTGCATTTTATGTCTATTTTTATTATTGTAATTTGTAAGTTTATTTATGTTCACTTGAAACACTTGCTTCATGAAGTTGCTATTTATTTCTTCATTTGGATATACACTATTTATAACAGGTGTATTCTAACATTATATCAGGTGCATTTTAACACTATCAGGTGCATTGTAACACTATATCAGGTGCATCCTAATACTAAATCATATGTTTTGAACATTTCAGGCCCAGAACATCAAGAACTTCAAGTCTCAAAGATGGCAGATGTTGCTCAATTTCTCGAGCCAGAGACGACTCCTGCTAACTGGCACCCCTCTACAGAACAGCCTCATGGAGCTGTGGTCTCTCATGCATTTCCTGATGCCTCATGTGTTTGCCTCTCATAGAGAGTTCAAGGAGTGGTTCTCTAACCCATTATCTAGTATGGTTGAAGGGTCTAGGGAATACAATGAGTCGCTCATCAAACGACTTCACAAGGTAACAACAGTGACTTAGTCATATATTTATTTGTATTCTAATTTCAAAAATAACAAAGTCAGTATTCCTTTACAGGTGTATGATTGACCAAATTTAATATATAATCAAAAATGTCAAATGCTGTTTATTAGAAATTCCAACATGATTATTGCATGAAATTAATATTTATTGTGCCATATTTTGAGATATAATCACTGGTATGTTGTTTGTCAACTTATCAGATCAAGTGTCTCATACAGTAATTGTTGACTTGATCCTCTGGTGCCACATGTCTATGTGGTATTGGTCTACAAGTCAAATACAGTATGATGTACATTAGAGAAAGGTTGATCACAGATTATGTAGATTGGACTACAACCAAGCATATCTCATTTTCAGGTGCTAAGGCCATTCTTGCTGCGACGTCTAAAAGCAGATGTAGAAAAACAAATGCCTAAGAAATTTGAACATGTTGTGATGTGCCGTCTTTCTACCAGACAGCGTTTCCTCTATGATGACTTCATGGGCCAGGGAAAGTAAGTTGCATACCCATAGAAATGTGAACATAAGCACCTCGGTGTCTTTCAAAAGGGCATACCTTGATATACTGAAGTTCAATATATATCTATTTAATTGCATCATAACCAGTGAGTTTTTTTCATTAATAATATTGAAAATGTGAACTTTTTGTTTTGGAACTAACTTGAATCACAGATATGTTAAAAATGTGAGTAGACTACAAGTAGCTGGAAATCTTTCCTTGGTAAAGGTTTTGAACTATACTGTAAAAATCCCTTTTTACTTCCAGAACCAAAGAAACTCTAGCTAGTGGCCACTTTATGAGTGTAATAAACATACTAATGCAGTTGAGGAAAGTATGCAATCATCCAAATCTATTTGACCCCAGGCCCATTGTATCCCCCTTCCAAACTGAGGGCCTCACATACTCTACTCCTTCCTTAGTGCTGAAGGCATTGGAGAAAGACCCTCTTGATGTAAGTTGGCCAATTACATACAATCCAACCTATTCCATGACATATGCTTACTCCCCTTATTTGGAGTAATTGGCAAGTCTAAAAAACACCCCTTTATAAAAAGTGGACTGGCCCAAGTGGCCAATATCGATCCCCAACTCATTATGTATTCATATTTAATTCTTGCCACGTAGGAGTAATTGGAAAATTTTTCAAGTCAATATATATCGTATGATCTATTCACTCAACAAATTTCTGTTACTTATAAGTCAGAATTTGTTTTTTGAATAGAGAGTATCATAGTCATAACATTAGTCTAGTATGGCAGAACAGGGCTCTATTCAGGGTGAAATTACTTCTGAATTGAACTTGAACGGTCCCTCGACCTCGTCAACTTTGACCGGGAATGAAGTGATAAACGACGTCTCTTTGGCTACCACATCCGTCACAGATTATGTCCAATCCTTAGTGGAAGAGGCGGTGACTAGGAAAATGGCTACCCTTGGAAACAGGCCACCAACGAGACCTCCTTCTGACCGTAGAAGCCCGTCTTCAAGCTATTTACACAACTCGGAATACTCGCTTCCGAGAGAGCAGTCCCCCCGGAGCAGTAAGAAGGCCGTAGAGACGGGAAAACGAGGTAACGATTCGCACCGAAATGACACCAAATTTCGTGACTACAACTATTCCGCCACACACCACGTGGACGTAAGTAGGTCAACTTTTCGAAATCGTTCAAGATCTCCCGTTTCTCAGCTTAGAAGCCCTTCTAGATTGTCTCACCACTCCTACTCTCACACTAATAGACCCTCTGATAGTTCGCCGAGTAGGATTTCCGGGACTTCACGTCAGGGAACTCAGAATTCACGATCTATTATCAACAATTTTAGTTCCAAAATTTCACATTCTCAAAATTCAGATTCTAAACCTCGTATTTTGGATTCTGATGACAACGAGCCGTCTAAATCTAAGTCCTCTGAAGAAGAAGCGGTCTTGTTAGTTCGTTCCTTATGGGATTCAACCATATCAGCCTTAGAAATTGACCAAGTCAACAGCTCCACTAATTCTAAAGAATCTTTGACTAGGGTAGCTCTCCAGAAAGTTGATGAATCTTCAGTCACTAAAGCTTCATTACCTTGTCCCCCAGTGTTCCATCAGTTGGTGCAGAATATCAATAATCAGATCTCATCTGCCACTTCCGGTTTCAACACAAAGGGAAAACTCTTCAGAATCAAATCTTCAAATTATAGATTAGCCAAGGGAGATGATTCAGTCGTACGGCCCCTCAAACTCAATAATTCACTTGGAAACTTAGTCCCAAATGATAAAACCTTCAGTGATTTCTTCAAGAATGCTGATACTAAAACTCAACTCTCCAATAAAAACTGGAAGGGTCTCGAAGAGAACTTGAGGGCTGTCCTTCAACCTTTGGTGTACTCAGAGTGGTATATAGGTTCTGTTTCAAAGTTAGTTACCCAACTCACAGCACACTTATCCAACAACACGGATCCACTAGTTACCCAGTTGTTAGATTCCATGGGCGATTTACTCCTTAGGGGTTCGACAGCCTCTGTTACCGCTACTGAAGGTATTCTCAAGACTCTCACCAACTCAGCATTACTTCAACGTGATCTGATTCAAGAACAAGTACCAACACGCTTCCGCGAATCTATGAGGGTACTACCAGTTGAGCATACATCTACCACTTTGTATCCAGAGTCACAACTTAAAGATTTGGTTGACTCAGCCTCCTCAAATCTGACGAACCAAGCACTAGTTACCTTGGCCCAGTCCAGTTCTAGATCTAGTAAAGACAAAGACAGGTCCCAACGCCAATCCAGGCCTGACTACAGGAAGAAATCTTCTAACAAAGATTGGTCCAAATCACAAGACAAATCCAAGTCAGATTTTCGTGATTCCAAGAAGAAATACGACAATAAAGGTGGTAAGCACTTCAACAAAGACAACAGATTCTCCAAGAAGTGACCATTCTATGATCCCAATCTTCACAATTCCTCCATATCCAGGACCTGTAGGGGGAAGATTGATGTTTTTCCTTCCGAATTGGAAGCTGTTAACGGAAGATCCGTTTATACTGAAGATGATCCAGGTAGGATACATCCCACAGATGAATTCAACTGTGACGTTATGCACCGAACCAAACCAGTTCGAGTCTTCAACATCGAGCAAAGCAGCTCGTTTCAGCAGAGTGGTAGAGGACCTTCTGCAAAAGAATGCTGTAGAAGAAGTTCTAAACAGACATTCTCCAGGGTTTTACAGCAATCTATTCTTGGTCAAGAAGAAGAATGGAGAAGACAGACCCGTCATCAATTTGAGAACTTTAAATCAAGTCTTAATAGTTCCCAAATTCAAAATGGAAACAGTACAGCAGTACATGACCTCCTTCCAACAAGGCAAATGGGCAGTATCCTTGGACCTTCGGGATGCTTATCTTCATATAATGATGAAAGAGAACTTCCGGAAGTATCTCCGTTTTGTCGTCAACGGGAAAATTCTGCAATTTCGAGTACTGCCTTTCGGTCTGGCAACAGCACCGATGATATTCACCAAGATCCTGGAACCCCTAGCCTCATTCTTCCACAAGCTCGGGATAAAACTCCACCGGTATTTAGACGATTGGTTAATCCGAGGAGCATCGCCACAGGAAGTCTCAGATCACCTACGGATTGTGATGACGGTGACGGAAAACCTTGGCTTCATCATCAATCACAAGAAATCGCAGTTGATTCCGTTGCAGATCTTCGACTATGTAGGTGTACGGTGGGACCTTCATCTAGGGATGTCCTATCCCCCCCAGGACAGAATAGACAAAATTCTACACCTAACAGACTGGTTCCTCACAGAAAGTCGAGCAACAGCCAAGCAGTGGATGTCTCTTCTGGGATTACTGGCATCAGCAGAGAAACAAGTCCCACTGGGGAGATTACACATGAGGTTCCTCCAACAATGCCTGTCTCAGAATTGGTCTCAACTCAGAGATCCATTGGACAAGATGATAACAGTAGATCGTACTGCAAGATTGGACCTGTTGTGGTGGAATCAAGGCCAGCATCTGGAGAAAGGGATGACTTTAGCTCCATTTTCACCAGAAGTGACAATATTCACAGATGCTTCAACAGCGATGTGGGGAGCTCACATGGATCTGAACATATCGAAAGAGTGCTGTGGAAACTGGTCCCAATCAGAATCCAACAACCACATAAACTGGCTGGAACTAAAAGCCATACAGAAAGCCCTTCAACACTTTCAGACTCACCTCCAAGGAAAGATGGTGTTAATTTGTGCAGACAACACAACTGCGACAACCTACCTCAACAAACAAGGGGGAACACAGTCAGCAAAACTGACAGAGTTATCTCGACAGATATGGTTATGGGCCGATTTACATCAAGTCCGTCTTCGCGCAAGACATGTGCCAGGTCGACTGAATCGAAGAGCAGATCTGTTGAGCCGGGGAAATCAGATAGTTGCGACAGAATGGTCCTTACATCCAGCAGTTGTCAAACAGATGTTCAAGATATGGGGAACTCCAAATCTAGACATGATGGCGACATGCTACAACAACCAACTACCAGTGTATGTCTCACCAATACAAGATCAAGCAGCTTGGGCAACAGACGCTCTATCCCTAAGCTGGCAAAATCTTCATCTGTACATCTATCCCCCCACGCCAGTGATAGGATTAGTTCTACAAAAGTTAAAGGATCACGACTGTTTAGCTCTAGCAATCCTTCCAAAATGGCAGAATCAGCCGTGGTTCCCAGAACTATTAGATCTTCTAGTGGATTATCCAAGGGAAATCCCCCCATTGGAGAAACTTCTCAAAATGCCAAGAAGTCAGATCTTCCATCAAAATCCAGAACTTTTCCATCTTCACGCTTGCAAACTCTCACGAAATCTCTCACTCAGAAGGGTTTTTCAACACAAGTGTCAAAAAGAATCGCATCAGATGCTAGAAGACCTTCCACCAACAGAGTCTATGATGCCAAATGGAAGAAGTTCTCTATTTGGTGTTCTGAGAGGAATCTGGATCCCTGCACAGTCTCTGTTCCAGAAATAGCTGACTTCTTACTTTATCTTCATTCAGTAAAGAAGTTAACAGTGAGTACCATTGAAGGTTATAGAACTGTCATCAATCAAGTCCTTCAACATTCAAGTGGCACATCACTCTCGTCGACTCAAGAAATCTCTGATCTGATCCATTCGTTCAAATTAGAAGATGCTCAGCCTAAAGATCTGATGCCTAAGTGGGACCTAGTGTTTGTACTACACGAGTTAACCAAACCTCCCTTCGAACCAATGTCGACAGCTGATCTCAAACATGTATCGTGGAAGACACTTTTCCTTCTACTGTTGGCTTCAGGGAAAAGACGTTCTGACATCCATGCCATAGACATTAGGCGTATACAATGGACTAGAAACAACTTGGAAGCGGTACTTTTCCCTTTTGTTGGTTTCCTGCCGAAATCATTGAATTGCGCAGAAGGACAGTCCAGATTCCAACCAATCACTATCAAGGCTCTAGCTAATTTCGTTGGAAATGAAACGCCAGATAAATTCTTATGTCCTGTGAGGGCCCTAAGATATTATCTTCAAGCCACAGTTCCTATCAGAGGAGTCAGGAATAGACTTTTCATCCCCTTCAAGAAAGGATGCAGTTCTGATGTACACCCTAACACTCTCTCTAGTTGGGTGAAACAACTGTTGAACTATGTCTACAAGAATGCCTCAGAAGAAAGCAAGTTACAAGGGAAGATACGACCACACGAGACAAGAGCCATATCTTCCTCACTAGCTCTACAAGCCAATGCCTCATTAACAGCACTCTTCAAGACCTGTTCATGGGCATCCCACAACACCTTCACAAGTTACTACCTCAGAGATGTGACAGTACTGGAGAAAGGCATGCACAAGCTGGGCCCGGTGGTACTAGCTGGCACTCTCTGCAACTTTTAGACGTAAGTGTTCTTCACTCACTATATATCTGCAGATGGATTCACGTGGGAAGCTTGGCCTCGACTGTTTTGCAGAAGGGTTCAACTCAACTAGCTTGTGACCTGGACCCTTGAAGAACTGCAACGGTTACCTCGTTTGGTTTAAACGGCCCTTTCTTGGTTAACCAGTCTCTATTCATAGGAGTTGGTCATTACCCTTAAATGGCTAAGACTGCTCACTCTGATAGGACATAACAGTCTCCAGTTGGACATGTAACAGCCTCCGTCTTGGATCCAACTAGCAGATGGGGGTAATGGTACATGTACTATTCTTTGGGTGACATCTCATTAGGATGGTAATATAGTTCTTTTGTACTTTTAGTAACGAGGTCCCCACCTCCTTAACTTTTTATTCAGCATATGTCATGGAATAGGTTGGATTGTATGTAATTGAGAAATTTTACCAGTAAATTTTCTATTAATTACAATACAAACCTATTCCATGACCAGAGGCCCACCCAGCCTCCCCGCCTTTGGGAAAATGGAGGTTATTTATTATTTTGTTAGCGTATTAAATATGAATACATAATGAGTTGGGGATCGATATTGGCCACTTGGGCCAGTCCACTTTTTATAAAGGGGTGTTTTTTAGACTTGCCAATTACTCCAAATAAGGGGAGTAAGCATATGTCATGGAATAGGTTTGTATTGTAATTAATAGAAAATTTACTGGTAAAATTTCTCATTTAAAGCATTGTGGTTGTGTGTTTGAATAAAATAAGCCCAGATATAGTGATTATGTCATAGAGTTCATGGATAAAAGACTTGGAATAATCAACAGTATTAAATAATGTCTACAAATACAACGTTTATATTTGTAAATAGGAAGTGAATCCATTAGACCTTCACCCAAGTCTGGCAGATATGGAGTTGCAGCTACCCGCCTTCATGGCTCACAGGGTGAAGAAGCTTCAGACCCCCAGGCCTCTCATAGAGGAGATAGACAGTCAGCCCCCTCCCGCTCCAAGGCCCAGACCTGTTAGGTTAAAGTTCAGGAGTGCATCCCCTGCACCTAAACCTGTAAGTACTTGAACTTGCAGATATTAAATTGCATGGTATTCTACTAATGAACTTGTGATTATTGTTTGTTGTGTAATAAATTTAAGAATGAAATAAAGGAGAAAATTGAAGTGAAATGACATTGAAATGTGCCTTTGTGCATGTGATCAGTTGTAAGTGTGATCTTTGTTTAAGTTATGATTGCATGTTAGAACTCTTAGATAATGAGGCTTTTCCCAGGATGTTCCTGGTGTGCATTTCCAGTATTGCGAATAGCTATTGACAGAGATGAGATCTTAAGGATGCAGTACCAGGTCAGCGTAGAAAAAGTTCCAGACATTAGATTTTGCTCATATTTTTTACAATGTATCACTTTGATGTTATCATCATCCAAGTGCAATATGAAGAGGATTGACCGTCTGGTAATTACAAAATAAAAAAATTATTTTACCCACCCAAAATGAATCTTTTTACTTTTTTGAGTTTTCAATAGAGCTGTCACCTTTCGAACCCTGGTTTTCGTATCCACTAATTGCGACTCAAGAACAAGTTTTCCCATAAAAGTGAAAGGGATAAAATATGCTTGATAAAATGTTTGCAATTTAATTATTTTCTGGAAACACCATTATCGAAATAAACTATAATTTTTGAATAAGACTAAATGCGAAAATGACGTTCTTGGGAGCTAGCTTTCTCAAACCGGAAGTCAAACCTGCGCAAACAGACGTGAAAACCGACCCGATACTGCATCCTTAAGCTGCTGTACCTTGGAAATAGCCCTCCTGTGTTATTGTATGTAGCGAGAACCAAAATCCCCAGCATGTGTGTTTCCATGGCATCCTGGCGTGAACTTCTCGTAGATTGATTTACTAACAAGTTGCATGTTGCCCTTTGTGTTCCCAATGCAATTGCATTACAGCTTGCTAGTAACACCACCCCTACTCCTTTATCTGTGTTACTTTAGTGAAACTCATTAAAAATACTGAGGTATTGCAGGTATAGCATTTGTGCTAAGTTTGCACTTGTTTTCTGCCATCTAAAATTGCAAGAACATGTATCAAACGAGAGTTCACACAAACTTTCATATGTATTAAGTTTTTCCAAAATTGGTTACTGCTGTTCATTCCAGTAACATTTTGCATATTTTGTCTATAAACTGTTGCTTGACTTAAGAACTGAAGATTAATATTCCAGGGTACCCCAACTGGGCGCAGTTCCCCATTTGCTCCAATTCAGCAACGTGCAGCATCCCCCATGCCTGGTAAACACCCAGTGGCCAGACAGTCACCTGGACTTATGGTGCAGTCTCCATCTGTAGCTAGAGGTGGGTTATGCTATTTTGACAAGAAACTAAATGGAATAAGGGAACTACATACAAAAAACTGGTGGATAGTGAAAACTGAAAATACAGTTAAAAATAAAGCTGTAAAATACTTATTGGAGTTGACCAGTGGGTAATTGTGTATTGAAAATAACTTTTTAAGTCTGTAAAAACCAAAAAGGACTGTTTTGCAACCTATTACCTAATTGTATGATATTCTATCGCAGGTGCAAGTCCCAGGACTGTTGTGCAACCTATTACCTAATTGTATGATATTCTATCCCAGGTGCAAGTCCCAGGACTGTTGTGCAACCTATTACCTAATTGTATGATATTCTATCGCAGGTGCAAGTCCCAGGACTGTTGTGCAACCTATTACCTAATTGTATGATATTCTATCCCAGGTGCAAGTCCCAGGACTGTTGTGCAACCTATTACCTAATTGTATGATATTCTATCGCAGGTGCAAGTCCCAGGACTGTTGTGCAACCTATTACCTAATTGTATGATATTCTATCGCAGGTGCAAGTCCCAGGACTGTTGTGCAACCTATTACCTAATTGTATGATATTCTATCCCAGGTGCAAGTCCCAGGACTGTTGTGCAACCTATTACCTAATTGTATGATATTCTATCCCAGGTGCAAGTCCCAGGACTGTTGTGCAACCTATTACCTAATTGTATGATATTCTATCCCAGGTGCAAGTCCCAGGACTGTTGTGCAACCTATTACCTAATTGTATGATATTCTATCCCAGGTGCAAGTCCCAGGACTGTTGTGCAACCTATTACCTAATTGTATGATATTCTATCCCAGGTGCAAGTCCCAGGACTGTTGTTCAACCAGCTGCAGTGAACACAACACAAGCTGAACAGTTGCCAGGTTACACTGGCCCACCTGCAAGAGCTACATTCACACCTAATTCTACAGGTAACTTGGCCTTAAAGTATTACTCCAAGAGATTTCATAAATGATTTTCTAATATTGTTCTTACCAAAATTGCCTGTTTTGAGAAATTCTGCAACTATTTCCTTGTTGAAATGCTAGATAATTTTGCCTGTTGTTTTTACTTGTCTTGCCAAGTGTCAAAATTCAAATAAAACATTTGTAAAACCCTTCTTTAAAGTTTTAAATGGTTTTGCTCATCCCAGTGTCTTAAGCCGGCTAGGCCTGATATCAATTCAGGTGTAGTGTGCAATCACTGGGTAAAGAAATACAGAGCGTGTGTAAGGCTAGGATTTCTTTTTAGTCCACAGCCTAAGAAGTCTCTGTTATAGTTCAATGAATGAAGTATGCTAGTTGTAAAAACAATGGTAGGGATAGTTATTCATCATATATGTGCTTGAATTTTCAAAAATATGAAGTCTCATTTTTTGTTTTTGTTGTTTACTTTGCAGGTGGTACCACGGTAACTTCATCTCAACCAATCACATTGCAGATCCATCACACAACACAGGGTACTAGATTCATGATTCCTTCAGGCCAGTTGTCACAACTACCAGGTGAGTAAATACACTTGCTAATGCAACATCTTTATTATGGTTGTGCTTTCTCAAGCATTTGTTGACTTTTGTCTATTGGTCTCCACAGGAATTACTCATGATATTATATCTGTCAAATCCAAAGCAGAGACGCAACAAATAACTTATTGAATGTCAGACCAGTCACCAGTTGATGATTTCAACAAATGGTTGTAATAATTTCTTAGTGTGACATTTCATTTGTTAATCCAATATCAGTGCTATATCAACACCATTACATAAAACAGCCAGATATTTGAAATGATAAAATGTATTGTAAACAAGAAATGACAGCCAGGTATTTCATTTCAGCTTGTTACACTTTTCAAATCAATTTTGAGTTCATCAACTCATTCATTTATTCATTGAGTTCAGGCTTTCTATCAAAGGTTGGCAGCTTTCAAACTTCAACTTGTCATATTATAATGTTCCAAATACTAACAATAACATTGCTCTAACACACATTTTACTTGTGTTTCTAGCTGGTTTCCTACAGATTGTTCAGACTTCTACTGGTCAGCAGATTGTGTGTACTAGTACACAGGCCCAGACTGCACAGGTTCAGGCTGTACAACCCCTACAATCAACACCCACCACATCATCGAGGCCAGCAGTTGTTGCCTCGAATACATCTTCTACTGGTATGCTATTTCTTTGCTATTTCATGTTCCTCTAAAGGCAACATTTGTACATTCAGTGGATTAAGTTTAAAAGACATTTGGTTAAATATGGTTCATATTCTTTCATTTTTCTTCTCCAATTTTGCCTTATTTACAATCTCATCAATACAATTCTTCATGATTGAATTGAAATCTACCTAGCCAATGATGAATTTAATGGGACGTAATTCTGATCTTTATGAGGATTCATGTTCTGAGGTTAGACTAGATCTTTTTATCATATGTAGCTTCCTTTTTAAAATCTCATGCCAGATACAAATATTATCACCAAATTGTTGTATTTCAGTGGTAAATGGTCCAAATACTTTGACCCAAGTAACAAGTGGTGTATCTATAGCAACAACTTCTTCAGTGGCATCATCTTCTGCAGTAACCATAGCAACCACTAGTGTCAATGGGGAATCAGTTACCATGGCAGCCCCTGTGATACCAACAGTTCGACCAGTAACTACCTCTAGGCCAGCTGTACAACTACCAACAACTCCTGTAACCTCTGACAACCAGAAACCTGTTGTTAGGGTGTCACCCATGGTAACAACAGGGTCTGTTGCAAAAACTGTTTCCTCAAGTAAGCATATCAACCTTTTATTATGTCCCCACCACATAGTGTGGGGCCATATTGTCGGCCTAGGCACGTCCGTCCGTCCGTCTGTCCGTCCGTCTGTCCGTCCGTACGTCCGGGAGTTTTCTCCAAAACCGATACAGATATCACCTTCAAATTTTCAGGGATAACTTATGAGTGCATACAGATGTGGATGAAAAAAAATTAACTCGATACCTACTTCCTGTCGGCCATTTTTAAGTCAAATGCTAAAATCCTTGTCTGCAAACTTTAAGAAAAACGGCTTCACAGTTGCTTTTAAAACTTTAACATCTTGTTCAACTCACTTCATTCTAGATCTGATTAGGTTTTGGATCTGTTAGCTCAGTCATGTCAGCCATTTTGAATGTCTTAAGAAAAGTTAGCGCACGATAATACTTTGTATCATATTGAATGGTGTTTTTGAGTTTTCATATTCTAACTATTTAGTAGCTTTATAAATAATTTCAGATGTACTTTGTTGTTAAAGCCTATGTTGTTGTTAACAGTATTTATATGTGATAATTTTGTAAAAAGAAATCAGCAAAAACTCATGATCACTTTTTTATTGTCAGCCATTTTGGATTTTTCCGTCCTAAAATCTTGTCTGTGGAGTCTTGTCTACGTGTTTTCAGGTGAACCGTTTGGTGGATTAATTCTTGATTTTCAGGGATGATTCTTAGTGTAAAAATCTAGATCTGATTAGTTTTTTGGCATTCTGGGTAAATGTCAAGGCAGCCATTTTGGATTTTCCGTCCTAAAATCTTGTCTGTAAAGTCTTGTCTACGCGGTTTCAGGTGAACTGTTTGGTAGATCAATTTCAATTTTTCAGGGATGATCCTTAATATGAAAATGTACAACTGATTAGTTTTTTGGCATTCTGGGTAATTGTCAAGGCAGCCATTTTGGATTTTCCGTCCTAAAATATTGTCTGTAAAGTCTTGTCTACGCATTTCCAGGTGAACAGTTCTGTAGATCAATTTCAAATTTTCAGGGATGATTCTTAGTATGAAAATCTAGATCTGATTAGTTTTTTGGCATTCTGGATAAATGCCAAGGCAGCCATTTTGGATTTTCCGTCCTAAAATCCTGCCCGTAAAGTCTTGTCTACGCGTTTTTAGGTGAACCATTTTGTAGATCAATTTCAAATTTTCACGGATGATTCTTAGTATGAAAATCTAGATCTGATTAGTTTTTTGGCATTCTAGGTAAATTTTAAGGTGGCCATTTAGGATTTTCCGTCATCAAATTGTGTCAGTAAAGTCTTGTCTACTCATTTTTAGGATAACCATTTGACAGGATCACCCATAGGTGGGGACATTTTGTACACATTTGTGTTCTTGTTATAGTTTAGAGCTACCCATTCAGAAATCATAAGTATAGAAGTTCAAGAAGGATATTGTAGAGTGGAATATCTTTTGTTATTATATCACTATCTAGCTAGCGACAGTATGATTGGTCAAAACCGGGTCACATGTCGTGGGATATCTGGCGATATTCAATGGCAATGCTAATCAGATAAGACAACCGTGAGATATCTAGCGATATCCCACGCTCCCGGGAATTTTCAAAGAATTTGTTTTCGTTCAGTGTAAATTATTTAGTTCAGTGTAAGTCAAAATGGCAGACGAACTGAGTAGATTTGTAAAAATATCTGAAGACTTAATGACTTAATAATATTAGGGATGTTTAGCTAGACAGTGATATAATAAAACAAATATTTCACTCTATTTTCGGTGAATACCTGTAGCACTTTCACAAGGTGATATTCCACTTGCCCTTCGGGCTTCGTGGAATATCACTTGTGAAATATTGTCATGTCTCAAATGTCCTTGAATAATCTAATAAAATAGAATATACTTGACACGAATATTCCTTCTTCAGGTGATACCACAATTGCAAAGTCCCAGAGCAGTGGTGTGCGACCCTCTCCTTCCCCTCAGTTGACCACTAGGAGTCATACCAAAGTACAAGCCCCAAGGGTGAAATCTCCCCTTTATATGGTAGGTTGCTCTCAAATGATATATATCCTTAGATGTAATATTTATTATGTGCCTTCCTTGTATTCTCAGCAGTGAACATATATTTCATTTTATTCTATCCAAGTTGCATCTTTCCCAAGTGATATTCCATGTAGCCCAGAACTGTATTCATACATTTATATTGGCTAAAACCTTTGTGTATGAGCCATCATTATAATTTTGATCTACACTGAAGGAAATATAGATATTCGAAAAGTCAGCCATTCATACCAAACATTCATTCTTATTATACGTACTTTTATATATTCATGAAGTTACTCTGCTTGTCATTTCTCAAAATTGTGCATCAATATTTAAGATACATGTATATGATATCTAGCCAATGATGAATTTAATGGGACGTAATTCTGATATATATGAGGATTCATGTTCTGAGGTTAGAATGTCATCGTTGTCCACTGTAAAATGCTTAGATATGATAAATATGATTCACCATTTCTCACATGAATCTCCGTCATTCACCAGTTAACAATGTCCTTTGATATTTAAAGAATGCAGAAATAAGTGAAAACTCAAAATTAAACGTCTCTAAATTAATTCAATTCAGCTAGGGTAGGATATATGATTTTCTAATGTTAACGCATATTCCATATTAACCATATTCCTTCCTATTGTTCCCCTCAGGAATCCTTGGAAACAAGACGACTAGAGGAACGCAAGAAAAAATTAGATTGGATTGCAACGAGGAATAAACGTCATTGCAACACACGGCCAGTATATGGACAAGACCTCCACAATGCAGTAAATGTACTTAATGATCTGAAGACTACTAATCTATTAGAGACTCACCCTGGGAGCAGGTTAACATGGGGTGGGGTTAGCCATGTAAACTGTCACAATGTACATAATGGGCGTGGAGACATCTGGAGAGAAACAGACATACTAGCTCAGATGATCCATACGCCAGACCAATATCTCAAGGAATTGCAGGATGTACTCAATAGGTAAGAATTCAGCAAGATATATGAGCACTGGTGCCAAAAGGGGAAATGACTAAAGAGCAAATTACAACACACTACAAGAAAACAATATCTAAAGCATAACCAGTCAGTTTTATGGAAAACAATCCCTTGGTATTCCAAGCTATGGTCTAACACATACATTTCTAAATCATTTTGGAGTATCATATTAGATATTTGAATATAACTTTATATAAATGTGATGAAGCTATGAAATCATAACCAGGAAACTTGGATGTCAATTAGTAAACACATTTTTCATAGTTTTCCACACAAGGATTGAGAATTCTCAAAATTGTGTGATTGTTGTTTAGTTTATTTGTACTACTTGCATTCTTGAATTATAAAAGTTAATCAACATTTTCAGAGATTTGAATTGTCTTTCAGGTTTGTCTTCTGTACGCCTTCTGTGGTGGCGCCACCTATAAGACTCCATGCATCCCATCCACCTCCATCTTTCGTCCAATCAGAATGCTTCAGAAAACATGTCATGCATAATGAGCTTGCCACAAGAATGAAGAATTACCATAAGATACAGTCCAACATGAAGGTGCAGTTCCCAGAGTTGAGGCTTATACAGTATGACTGTGGTGAGTCAATGAATTGAAAACTTTTGTTGTGTCACCATCAGAAGTATTCGTCAGTTGGTAGTTGGTGTTTGGCAGTTGTTGCTTGGTAGTTGGTGTCTGTAACAAATGGCTGGTGGTGACATTTTGAACCTCTGATATAGTTTCATCAATCAGCATTTAAGAAAGTGTATACTGCATCAATTTGAAATTATGAAAGAACACATTGATGTCTTCTTTTGCAATGATGAAAGCAATGCTTAGGTTATTACTCACACAAGCCCTAAATGGTAACAACTTTGAAATTCATTACATGCATGCAAAGAGATGTGAGGCATTGATTTATTCATTGGGCAACTACAAACAGAATGTTGTTTATGCTTGTAGGAAAACTCCAAACTCTAGATATCTTACTGCGTAGACTGAAGTCAGGTCAACATCGGGTGCTACTGTTTACACAGATGACTAAGATGTTAGATGTTCTAGAACAGTTCCTCAATTACCACGGACACAGATACCTCAGGTTTGGAACCATCATGATAACTAATATGGTTATATACTATGTTTTACTTAATGACTAAATTGTGGTTGGTGTTTGGTGTCTTTGGCACCTGTAACAGCATTTTGCAGTTGGCATCTGTAACAAATGGCAGGCTGTTACATTTTGTTTGTTAATGCCTTGTTTAACCCTTCTAAGAAGCTCCTGAGCGGCTGTTAAAGTGAATAATGAAACTATATGTCAGAAATTGATCAGCCAAGCCAATGATGAATTTAATGGGACGTAATTCTGATCTATATGAGGATTCATGTTCTGAGGTTTGGTAACTGTCCAGTGATTTCAGTATAGGTGATTGAAGCAACCATGAGATCCAAACATTGACTGTATGTAAAGTTCAATGCAAACAACACTTCACAGTGCTCCCTTTAAATGCAATGATTTTGTGTTGATAGGTTAGATGGCACCACTAAAGTTGAGCAGCGTCAACAGCTCATGGACAGATTCAATGTGGACAAACGTATCTTTGTGTTTATCCTCTCAACAAGGTCTGGAGGTATAGGGGTTAACCTGACTGGTGCGGATACTGTGATATTCTATGACAGCGACTGGAATCCTACAATGGATGCACAAGCCCAAGATAGGTGTCATAGGATTGGTCAGACAAGGGATGTCCATATATACAGGTATGTATCATAATGAATCCGTTGTCCCATGGTATATGTGCTGCCTTGGAATGGGATTATAATGATGATTAAAAGAATTGCTTTGATATGTATACAGTACACTATATACTAGAGTTGAAAATGGCCTTGTTCTTAACATATCTCGACTTAATTGCAAATATATGTAAAAAATGGCCACACATAAACAGTTCCTCCCATGGTTCTGTGTTATGATTACAATGCAGGGCCTCTCTGTGTTCTCACATTTTATATCATAAAAGATAATTGTTTCAGGCAAATGCTTTAAGAATGCTTATCTGATTTAAGCATTAGGTCATCTTCAGAATATTCTATTGAACATTGAACATTTTTTTGCAGATTGATCAGTGAAAGGACAGTGGAGGAGAATATTCTGAAGAAAGCCAACCAGAAAAGACTGCTTGGAGATGTTGCTATTGAGGGTGGCAACTTCACCACGGCATTCTTCAGGTATGTGTTTTAGAATTGATTGTTAAAGTTCTCCTGGAAATGAGCCGCCTCAGGCTACATAATAATCGTGAAACATATTTTTTAAGATAACTCCATGTGTTTTAGGTAGTCTATGTAAAGGCAAGTTGCCATTTTGTTTTGAAAAGATATGTTTAATTGGAAGACTTATCCCTGATGGTTGATATTTGTTTGTCATCCCAGTGTCTTAAGCCGGCTAGGCCTGATATCAGTTCAGGTGTAGTGTGCAATCACTGGGTAAAGAAATACAGAGCGTGTGTAAGACTAGGATTTCTATGTAGTCACAGTCTAAGAAGTCTCTGTTACATACATTGCAATGTGATATTATGAAGCAGTCGGTATTTAAGTATTTAGCATTGCTATTTTTTTTTAAAACACCAGTCCCCTAGTTTGTTTTTATCAGAATTTAGAATTGTGTGCAAAGTGCAAATTGATTAAATCTTACCCTAAAAACAAATTGTTAACTCCCCTTTGTCATCTAGTCATGTTCAACCAGTTTGTAGGAAAGATGAGACTAGGGGGACCATATTGCATCTTTTGAATGGCATATTTTACTATATTGTATGTATGTGTTGCAGAGAGAACACTATAAAGGAGCTGTTTGAGGAACCATCAGGTCTACTGAGTCTGGCTAAAGAGAAAGAGAGGCGTCAACAGACCAGGGAGGAGAGAAGGGAGGAAAGAGAGAACAAGAAGGAGAGAGCTCCTGAACAAGACTCTAAACTAACTGAGGCTCAGATGGAACAGGTATGTACAAATGGCCACAAGAATTGTTATGGCATCCCAGTGTCTTAAGCCGGCTAAGCTTGATAGCAATTCAGGTATAGTGTGCAATCACTGGGTAAAGAAATACAGAGCGTGTGTAAGGCTAGGATTTATATATTGTCACAGCCTAAGAAGTCTCTGTTACAATTCATAAATACTAGCTATAAAATACATGTCAGAAATAGGAATGTGACAGGTCAAATAGTAAATATCTAAATGTATAATATTCATTTGTAGGCTCTATGTAATGCTGAGGATGATACAGACGTGCAAGCTGCCAAATTGCTTAAATCAGAACAGAAGCAGGAACTGGCAGAGTTTGATGAGACAGTGCCCTGGGACGAACAAGAGGCTGCCCAGATACAGGAGAAAGAGGAAGAGGACTCTAAGGTTGAACAGGAGCTGCGTATGCTTGAGAAGGAGGTAATGATATATTAACTCAGTGCCAGATTATATATGTTTCCAATGGTGCATTTCCAATATGCTAAATAAATATCAAACTAATCTTGTCCATGTTAGAATATGCCTATCCATCTGACTGCGTAGCGTAAATCACTTTGATCTTAAAATGATCATTCTGATCCCAGCTGATCTTTTTGATCCCCTGTCCTTTCAGCCATGAAGAATTGTTGTATCTTTTTGGTTTGAAAACAGGGGTACAGAAATACCTTGTATAAAACCCTGGTTGTCTCTGTTATTGATAACATGGGTTTTGCTGAAGGTGATACAAAGCAATTTTAATTTAAAGTGGCATTGAAGTTCAAAGATGTGAAACATCTCATAGTTAAGCCCATAGAAGTATAATAAACTTGTTTTTATTTTTAGTTGACTCCTGTAGAACGTTATGCTGTCATGTTCATGGAGAAACAGATGGACCCTGTTACATCAGAGGAATTGCAGTTAGCCCAGGTACTAATTTGAAGTATTAATACATATAGAGCCAAATGTGTAGACTCTATGGCTCAAAAAATGTTATTGGAAAACTGTTACATATTTGATAGTTTTTGGAAGAGTGAAGAAAATGTGATTTTGCCCTTAAGAGTTTCATAAGAATTTCACAAATACAGATTCTGTCTAATACATAATCTCTAATCAAACCAGAACTTATGGTTATTTTAACCATATAAGCCAAACTGAGACGTATAAATAATAACGTGTATACCTATTCCAGGAACAAGTGGAGGATGCCAAGAAGAACTGGGAGCTGAATCGCCTGAAGACTCTTCGTGAGGAGGAGGAAAGACGCTGTGAACTCGAAGAGGATGAAATGTTGTTCACATACTCTCGGGAAGATGCCACTAACAAGGTGAACAAAAAATCCAACAAATCTAATAAAAATATGCAAAAAGTAAAGAAAGGGACAAGTAGGAAAAGCAAGAGTGAGCCAATTGTGGTGGAGACTGAACAGAAATCTAAGGTTGTTACTAGTTCTGTCTCACCCACTAGGGCATCTAGTAGGATTAGATTAAGCTCCAGTGGAAGTCTAAGCGCGAGTCAATCAAGTGTGGAATTATCAAGCAGTAAGTCAAGTCTACGAGCTCGTAGATGTCACGTTGTACTGGAAAAGACTCCTCCAAGTGTGCATAGTCCACGGTTACGCTCTAGGTTAAATTCAACAGAATCCAACTCAAGTGGATCAAATCTTGGTGCAAGTGCTAGCAAAATTGTTCTTAATGTTCCAACTGCAAAAGCAGATTCTGCTGTTAAAACTAAACCCCAGCCTATTCCAAAACAAAACAAGTCCAAGTCTCATGTCATAAAAGAACAACCTGAGACAGTGTTGTCCACTAGTGCACCAGCTGCAAATGAAACCACCCCAAAGGCTGCCCCTGTATCTAAACCCACCACCCCTAAGACACTCCAGCCTAGCTCCCCTCTAGCCTGGTCTAACCCTAATTTGGTCATTCGAACTCGTAGAGCTCGACAATGTGGTAATGAAGTTCCCCAGAATATAGTCCCATCATCCCAGCCAATCACCTCCCAGAATGTCACTCAGGTTGGTCCTCAACGCGTCATGAAGGTTGCCACAACCAACCAATCAGGGGCTTCCAATGTTGTCACCATGGTCCCCACAACACTAAATGTTCCAACCCTTAACCTAGCACAAAACAAAATTCGTATCAACCCCATGGGGAACCTAATGCCCATCTCTGCTGTCACTGGTCAGCAAATCTCCATATCTGGTCAAACTTTATCAGTGGGGGGTCAGGCTATATCAGTGGGAGGTCAAACTTTATCAGTGGGAGGTCAAACTTTATCAGTGGGGGGTCAACCAATCTCCATATCTGGTCAAACCTTATCAGTTGGAGGGGTGACAGGACAGCCATCTGTTGTTAGTCTTGGGCCCAATATTGCCCCGGGGATAGTTCAAGCTGGGACAACTTTTGTCCGTATCGCCCCTCAGGTTGTTAACCTGATCGTACCTAAGCCTGGTATGACCACTCAGAGACTGTCTCAGCCACGCCTAGCTGGTGCTCAACAAGTTCGCTTAGCCCAAGCCCTTAGACCTCAATTGTCCACCAGCAGACCCATGCTTAATGCCCAACTATTGCCAAATACTTCAATCATTAAAGCCATTCAGCGCTCTCGAGTGGCAGCCTCTGTTACTAATGGCCCAGCTGGAACCTCTACTCCTGGGGGGTCCCGTACACAGACTCCAACCTTAGGGGGGTCACGTACACAAACGCCTACCCTCCAGCCGAATGGTGCCCCAACTCCTGGTGGCTCTAGAACAAATACACCTACTCTCACAATCCCCCCTTCCCCAACAAGGCTAGCAAGACCTGAAAGCCCCCAGAAACACACTCAAACTGACGCTGGAAATATATTTGATAGAATGGAGAGTCCCACTAAACGAAGAAGCACTGATAGTCAAAATTCAACCAGTAGTAGTGGTGCAACTGGGAATATATTTGACATTATAGCTCAGTTAAGAGGGAGTAGTACCAATACTTGACACAGACAAAATTCTTGAATAATTAATGAGCAATTAAATGAGCAGTTTAAGGTTTCAGCAAAAGGATAGAAAATTATTTTTTATACTGGTTAATGTCCAATTTTAAGATACACCTCTTGTCATAATTTACATGTATTGTAAGTCAAATCATAACAAAAATTCTTAGGAAATATGAGCCCAAAATGAATTTATGGTATGCAGACCTATGGTATGTACTATGTAGTCTTATGCAGACCTATGGTATGTACTATGTAGTCTTATGCAGAGACTCAAGAGTGTATTCATATGAAAACCAAGATGAAGTGGTCGTCAGTGTGTTATAATCATGAATGTAAACTTAATGTACCCATATCAAATAGATAACATAGATGGGTGTGTATGAAAGATATGATCTTCAAGCCTCTCATTTGTAATTTTATGGCTTTAATATTGCTATTACATGTGATCAATGAGGAATGGATACTTTTCAAGAATGTAATTTGTGATTGTTTTCATTATTATTATTTATGATGAAAACATGAAATATGGAACCAGTGAATTATAGAACAATTATTTTTGTATGTTCTTGCATGTCATGATCTTAAAACTGTTTGATTATCTATGTTCATTACATGTTTAAGATACTTTATTCTTGTTAAAGTCAATTGAGAATGCTCTGATTTTCAGTTTGTTCTCACGTTTAATGCTAAGAGTACTGCTAAATAAGTTTAGTTGAATAGAAAAATAAAATTAAATGAAATTATAACTGAATTTTTATGTGATTTATTCCCTTATGTTTTGTGGACTTCACAAACCTGGCCCCAGATTTATATGGAAATTTTAAAAGTTATTTCACTGGTGTTTGTGAGATTTTATTGGATGCTGTTTTGTTTGGTTTTAGGGGTTTATGCATACATAACTTAAGGAGGGTGCCAGGTGGGACTTAAGATATCAGTTTCTTGAATTTTTTATTTGAATTATAATTAAAAATTTGACTTAAAATCATGTCATGCAGTCCACAAACACCAGGGAATAATTTGCATAATCAATTCAGTTCAGTGCACAGCCTCACAAATATGGTCAATGGCCATATGTTAAGAGCAAAATGAATGGAACATGGTTGAGTCTGTGCACATGAGTAACTGAGAAAAATATTGACCTTTACGGATTCCAACATGTTACAAGCCTCCATTACAGGAGAAACTTTCCTCATTTACGCCAATCTTTAAGATAAGTTACATTTTGGTCTGAGATAAATAGCGATGTTTGGTTGAAGATTATACCAGTTCACAACATGTTAATTGCTATTGATAGAATGCAGGTGGCAAATTCTAGAGGCAATATTGAAAACTGGCCACTTGATTGCTCATTTACACCATGGCAAAGCTGGAGATGACATTAAAAACTTAACATTTGAGCGCTTTTTATTTTGATGAGGAATTAAAATCTCATTTCCTGGTGTGATAAAATAATGGTTTCAGAATATTACTTCAACTGAACATTGCCATGCATCTTTCAGCCAAATATTCCTTAAGAAAATAAGTTGACCCTTAAAGTTCTTCCTTTGTCCACCATTAAGTTACAAGAAAGTTATCTGGTGCCAGGACTTAAGTCCTGAAAACAAAACAAGGGGTTGCCCATAAAATAAAATCTCAATACATTCCTGGGTATTTTAGGATTTCTTTTATGTACATGTAGTTCATATCCCCATTCATATGGTTTTATCAGAAGAATGAGGAAACTCATTTTCCAAGATGATGGAAGGGGAATCCCCTTAATAACATCCAGGTTGCAGATAAATAACACAAAAAATGATATTAAATACAAAAATTTCATCATGGCAACTATCTCATTTGATTGGGGATTTAACTACATAAAAGAATCCTTAAATACTCAGGAGTCATATAAGTATGCAAGACATTGTAAATTCTCCCATATTGTTATACTGACAACCTATTGGGATGTTCTCAGGAATCACTTGGCATCTTATTCTAGCATTGCTCAAATCTGCATTCAAGTTTAACTTGAACATTTAAGAAACACCTGTTTCAATATCCTTGATGCTAAAACCATGCACCATTAAAAATTGAATGATACCTGGTTACTTGGGATTGATACGAGATATTCACAATTTATGCAAGAAACAAATCAGCAGTCTTCTGCACAGCTTCAAAGAACTTGGGCAACCCTTTTCTCAGATCAGCAGTCTTTTGCACAGCTTCAAAGAACTTAAACAACCCCTTTCTCGGTAAACAAAACACATAATGATTTACATATTATTAGAAGTTCAATTCAAAAACATTAGCTAATTCTTGAAAATCATGCTCCACATTTTGATATATCATTGTTGGAAACATTCATAAATTCCCCATTAAAAGTGTTAGGGATTCACTGTTTGAACTCTTGCAATAAAAATGATATTTTCAATAGTTGTTAAAATAACATAAAAATATAAATTGGCCAGAAAAGAACCTACCGTAATTCAAAAGTTACAAACCTGCCACATATAGACTGGAAAATTATAAAACTGGCATTAAATGATTTTTTATCTCCATATTTGCCCTTGGAATGAACCTCCTGTGATGCTTGCTCCCTGGTCATCAAGCATGTAATTCTAAGCATGTAATCATATAACACGATGGCACACATCAATCTATCATCACTCATCTTCAGAGGTGTGATTGAGGGACTGATTAGAAAGTTAATAAACTGAACATAAAATCCTAGATTGGATGACAGACTTGTCAGAGCTAACAAACTGCTTATAAATTAAAAAGGATGAAAAGCAAGAAGTAGAAAACAGAAGGCTTGCCATTATTAAATGAATATATACATGCAATATCAGATTATACACAAATATCTCGTCATATATTGTGTTCAATTTCATGTAACCATGAAACAAATTCTTAAAACTTCCAATAACTGAACAAATAATGTTTAGACTGACTTCAATTCTTTTCCAAATCATCTACAAGTTTTCAAAAATTCAAATCTGACTTTTAATTTAAGATTTGACCTTCAATGACTTTCAAGGTCAAAAAAAGTTAAAAAAGGTCCTTTTTCAACTTGCTTCAAATTGACCAAATTCCTTTTTCAATATCATCTACAAGTTATCAGAAGTTCAAATTGACTTTAGATTTAAGATTTGATCTTGAATGACCTTCTCAAGGTCAAAGAAAGATCAAAAAGGTCTAACTTGCTTCAAATTGACCAATTTAAAAAAAAATCTACAAGTTCCCAGAAGTTTAAATCTGACTTTATATTTGAGATTTTACCTTCAATGACCTTCTCAGGGTCAAAAAAAATCTCAGAAATTCAAATCTGACATAAGATTGAACTAATAATATTGTGAGCAACTAGATGGTGACATTTTGTCATGTTAATACTTGTTATTGCCATTGCCGTTCACTGTTCGTGACAGCATTCTGCATTTGTAACAAATCATTACATTCGTTATTGCAACCACAGATTGTTACACTTGTTATTGCAACCAGATGATGTCATTTTGTCAAGACCTAGTAAAACAATGACAAACTATATATACATGTATTCGGTTGTGTTATTTATACTTGTGGTTTTGATTTTAGGTATATGTGGATGAAGACCAAGGAGAACAAATGCCTGTAAGTATTAAATAATTATATAGAAAGCTGAACCCCAAAAATAATTAACGATCTTTTATGTCTTGTACATTCATGTAAACCAAGAAGTTGAAACAAGAATTTCTCTAAACATACTAATTGTAAATATTTACTTCGACCGACTGCAATGCTTTGGAGTTAAATAGAGAAAAATGTAATTTCTTTAACTTTAACCTTTACATGTGTTTAGATGTGGTGTCCACCAACTCCTCCTCAAGATGAAAATGACATCTATGTAGACGAGACCCTATGCTTCCTGTATGAACCTTCAGTTATGTGTGAGACGCAACTACCACAGATCTATGTGAAGAGAGAACCACGACGTATGCGGTTGCACGCTTCTCATCGTAAGTCATTTCATTTCTCAAGCCATATAAACATGCATGCAGCATCAGATACATGCAACATCAGATACATGCAGCATCAGATACATGCAACATCAGATACATGCAACATCATATACATGCAACTTCAGATACATGCAACATCAGATACATGCAACATCAGATACATGCAACATCAAATACATGCAGCATCAGATACATGCAACATCAGATACATGCAACATCAGATACATGCAGCATCAGATACATGCAGCATCAGATACATGCAGCATCAGATACATGCAGCATCAGATACATGCAACATCAGATACATGCAGCATCAGATACATGCAACATCAGATACATGCAACATCATATACATGCAACTTCAGATACATGCAACATCAGATACATGCAACATCAGATACATGCAACATCAGATACATGCAACATCAAATACATGCAGCATCAGATACATGCAGCATCAGATACATGCAGCATTAGATACATGCAACATCAGATACATGCAGCATTAGATACATGCAACATCAGATACATGCAGCATCAGATACATGCAACATCAGATACATGCAACATCAGACATATACAACATCAGACACAAACATGATGGAGAGCATAGCTTTACTTTTATGGTCCATATGCCTTATTTTCTTTTTTCATTTGGAATCCCCTGTACCCAATAACATAAATTAGAAGACTTTTATCACTAAGTCTGTTTTGCATTGTGATGCAGTATTAGACAAAAAATCTATTCCTTTGATAGAATCATTCTTGTTGACACAATGCTTTCCCAAGTTCCAAATTTAACATGAGCTTGACATTTAAACTTTATTTTATTTATAGAATCAATCTTTTTTTAGTGTTATTATGTAATTTATGTAGATTATTTTTATAACTTCCTGAATTTTAGATCACAAACAGAAGGTACGTAAAGAGGAGCAAAATCGTGTTCCGCGATCTCTCTTTGATCGTCCATCAGCTGCCATCTTGAAAATGCGCCGTGACGCCAAGCTGCACAAACTAAAGCAGCACGGATTGCTACAGAAACCATACAGGTCGTCCATGCCTATGATGAACAAACCTTCAATGGATGTGTCCACTGACCAACCAGAGTGGCTTGTACATGAAGATTGGGCTCTATTACAGGTAGGATTACAATCATGCTAAGGGGCTTTAGGTCCAATATCGAAATATCAATCCTAACTTTATCAATCTTTTGTTACAACATTCATGTATGGGTTATTTCCAGGCGATACAGACACTGCAGGAAATGCCACTAAATCTTCTAGTTGTTTCACCAGCACATATTCCCAACTGGGACCTTGTGGCAGACATTGTAAATACCTCCTCCAGAATATACCGGTCCACTAAACAGTGTAAGAACCGCTATGAGAATGTCATTGTCCCACGTGAGGAAGGAAAAATACTCTACGATATCAACCCTAGAAAACCGAAGAAAACAAAGAGTCTCTATAAGGTAAGGTATAAAATGGTATTAAAACAGGCAATTTACATAGTATTTGCTTTCTCAAGAATTTCACTTTATTTGTTTATCAACCCTTTTGAGTTGTTTTTCTTTTCATTTTATATATCTTTTGCAGTATCTTTCTTACCGGACTGTAACTATCTTCTAAAATCTTATTTTATTCTTTTATTTGGTCAAACCATTTCTTCTTATATTTTATCCTCAAATCTAAATATCCTAACTACTTTTTACTCTATTTTTTACAACTCTGAACTTTTTGTAACTCAACTTTGCCATTCTGGTCACTTTCGTAGACTTGAAGAAAGCACAAATAGTAATAACACATCTTTGTTTTTATTTCCCCTGTTAATAGATCCTAACAGCAAATCGACCTAACTTGGTACGTATTTTGTAATTGTGTAATTTTGTGACATTAAGAACATATTGAGTTTGAATATAGATAAGTGTGCTCTAGTTATTCTGTTCATAAGTGTTCTGTGTGAAGTGTGCCAGTTGATTCACAAGTGTGCTGTATTATTATGAGTATATACTCTCATGTGTGCTTGTTATAATCATGATGTTCTTACAAATTGTGATTTTTCTACTAGCAGTTATGCTACTACCCTGATTAAGCAGATCCTCCTTCTTTCAACATTCAATTGCGTCCTTGTTTGCCTCATGAAGCCAATGGACCAGAAGCTTTGTCTCCAGAGTTTAGTTAAAAAACAACCATTTGCCAACATTTTAGTTGCTATTGCATTTCTTGTGTTCTGCAGATTTTGTGAAACTCACTTTTCAAACAGGTTATTGAGATAACATTTTATTGTCTATTTATGATAATGATCAACCCTGAATATATAAGATGACCAATATTTATTGATTATTAATATATTATAAGAGAATTTAAAACTAAATATGCATGTTAAATAAGAATGTATTTGCATTTAAAGTGTATAAGTTAGATAAAACTGCTGCGCTTGATCAAAACAGTCAGTTCTTAAATAAGATATCTTCCAGCAGATTTCGGTCAATATTTTGTTACTTGTATCTGGAATTTATAACATTTCAGAATTTAAGTCAACCTACCAGGAAATAGTTTAATTACTTAGCAACATTTTCATGATTTGACAAAATTTTCACCTGGTTGCTATGATCAATGAGAACATGAATTTGTAAGTAACCCATATAAGGCAATAATGGGATACATCTGTGTTTGCAGAGCAAGAATAATCGACCAATGAGAACAAGCCAATTATTCATGCAGGACAATTACAGCCAAGTGAGCACATTACACACATTTAAGTTTGACTGTATGAAGAACGCAGCTGCCAAACGCACACCTACACTCCGTCCAAAGCTGGTAAACCCTACAACGAAGAATCCAAAGCACGCTGCAGTGTTACAGGAGAGTGGCATAAACTATGATCAGCCATTGACTCCTATACAAGTGGCAGCCATAAGGGCTGATAGGATTGCTAGGGAGAAAAAACAATCTGTAAGTATTGGATGATTAATACAAGAGACAAGCATGCATATACATCTTGATCTTATGACATTATATTTATTATCTCACATCATGTGAGCTATTGTAATCACCAACTTGTCTGTTTGTTAATCTTTCTGTCCATCATCACATTGGTGGCTAATTTTAATCCTCCACAACAATTCAAATGATTTGACTTTTGAAATTTGTTTATGTAAAGTGTTCAGTTGTACCATGAGTGGTGTCTCAAAAACTCACCTCGTTTTTTAAAATGGAGTCCATTTTTACTGTGGAAAAATCTGTTTTTCAGCTCTTTTTGGTTTTGACTTCAAAAGTACTGCTATCTTATTTCTAATAAGTTAACAATAATGTTTACAAGTTTTGACAAAACATGTTATACAAGGATTCAGAATGGCTGTCACTTTTATTGTCATAATATCCCTTTTTGTCATAGAAATCCAAAAGTATTACATTTAACTTTAAATTGTACAAGCAGCTAAGATTATAGTTTAACAATTACATGTATGTCCTATAAAATTAAAAAATGGCTATCACTTTTATTGCCAAAATATCATGTTTTCAATCAGTCTTTTGAATGCATTTTCACCATGTGAGCTCCGTACCCATGATGCTATTTTTACAAAATCAAAGTAGTATTTAAATGTTTGTGATTGTAAAAAATTCAATCTTTAATAGTTATTGAGGAGACCACTAAGAGTAAGAATATACCTGTACTTTGTTTGACTTCTAGTTTAAGTGATGCATTGTGTTACATTATGGGATGTCTAATTTTAAATTTCAGCAACAAGCAGCAGAGCAACTAGCTCAGCAAAGAGCAGCCCAGACAACGACAACAACTGCTGTTGCTACAGCAACTACAGTGACAGCTGGTATCGTGAAAGCAGCAACATCACAAGCTGTTGCCACAGCAGCAGGAGCCACAACAGTTATGGTTAGTGAAGGTCTATTATGTCAAATGTCTGCATTAATTTTGAAGACACTTTAGATATCACAAGTAGGGTTGTATTTTGATCTTTGATTGCTATTTCAGAGAGTACACACCTGTCTCATGTAAGCGCTATACAAGAATTCTATATTTCCAATTTCAGACAGTCAGTGGTACATTAACCCCCGCATCCAGAGCTAGAGTCTCATCTGCTATGAATATTCATGAGTTATCGCAGGCTCTGGCCAACAACCAGCGTGCCCAAGGTCAGGCAGGAACTGCAACAGCTGTGATTACAACTGCCTTGACGGCACAACTTGTGGCGGCTCAGAGGGCAGCACAGTCTACTGCAAGCCCTGCAACAACTGCTGTCGTAACCGCAGGTAATGATTCATCAATTTTTGCGACACCCATTTCATGAAGTGTCCTTCTGTCTTTGTTAAACCTATTGGACTGTATTGTAGAATACATAATCTTCCACCCATTGGCCAATATAACTTTAAATCCCCTCAGAATTATATTTTCATGAAAAATGACACCTTGTTATTTCATCTATCATTACTAATTTCTGTTCCAGGAACCATCAATTCGCAGTTAACACAAGCGACTGGAGTGACCACGGCCAAGAACTTCACCCCAGCTCAGCTGACAATGTACAAGCGCCAGCTAGCTGCAACTGCTAGCAGGACAAACCAGGCTCAACAGGTAGGTTTTGACTGCTCAATAATTTACTTGTACATGTATGTTGCATTATAGATGATGAGATCTTCTAGACCTTTTCAGTAATAAATCAGGTTATTGAAAATATTTAGGGCCTTGGTTGATTCTGTATTATCCTGTCTTTTCACTCTTTTCTTTGAAATGTAATTTTTTTATTAAAAATTTATTTTGATTATTCATTATTCTGAATTGTATTGTATTGAATCTGGTTTTACAAGCTGAACCTCCATGTGAATAATGAAAGACCATGCACAGCCTTTTGAATATATTAATTTATACACATAATCATTTTTTATTTATATCCAGGCGGAAGCTTTAAGACGGGAACAATTGCGTAAACTGGCAGCTCAGGGCAAGACAGTGTCTGTGACATCACCTCTCATCACTAGTATAACCTCAGGCCAAGTAGCAACCAGACCACAGATTGTAAGTGAGCTAGAGCTGCGCATTAAAATACAAATAGATTGTCTTCTGAGCACACTGAGCCTAGAATCATATGGCGAATATAATTTCATTCATAAACAATTGGATTCATATTTCAAAATTCTGGATTTTTACCGTGTCATAAAGCATGCATTGCAGTTATTCATGACTCATTCAATTAATTTTCATAGAGAATTGTATTAGACATATCAGATCACATCAGATCAAGCAGGGGCATTCAATGAAGAATTCAATCGACTTGATTCCCATATGATCAAGCATAATCTGCTGATTATATTGCATTATGGGACACAATTTTATGTTTCAGGCACATCAAATTAAGCAGGGGCAGCAGGCACAGCGTCCAGTGACAGAAGCAGAGATGCAACTTCTCTTGAAACAGCGCCATATACAACAGCAGCAGCAAAAGGCGGCACAGGCAGCAGCGCAGCAGGCCTCAGCCCAGGCACAGGCCCAAGCTGCACAGGTAGGCGTCTGCTTTATGCTATGTTGCATAATGGCACATAATTAATAGAATATAGTTGCCACACACAATGAAATTAAGTTCAGTACAGGGCTTGGGAGATTATTCCCTTTGTAGTATTGCCATTATGGGCATTATTATTAGCCTATATGTGAAATCTGAAATGGTATTTTAGAGCTCTATTTGTAAGTTTCATCTAACCTGACTTGGGCCATGTAGCCAACATAATGTAATGTGATCATTGATATGTGTTGACAATTTATTTCAAGGGTCTCATTCCAAAATATGATTTACTTCTAGGGTCTTACTCCAACACAGATCTTGGCCCAGGCCCAACAACAGGCATCCTCCCAATCACCTGTCGCAACTCTCGTCAAAACTGTCTCCGGGGCTGCAGGCTCCACCTCCATGACAATTCCTGTCAGTGCTGTCAATGTGGGCGGAGTCACAATCCCCTCTAAAGGTGGCACTGCCAAGGTTGTGACTGCTCAACAGCGTTTACAACAGCATCAGTTACTGCAGTTGCAACGGAACAGACAAGCTCAGCAGCAGAAAATAAGTGAGTGATTAACAGTTACACAACCAGATAGAAAGTAGAGATGTTAGGTTGAACTGAATTTTGGAATTGCCCCCCTTTCTATTGGTTTGTACAAAATATTACAAATATATTTCTATTTTATGCCTTCATTCAGGAATTCAAAGATCATAAAGGGAGCTAAAGCAGTCCCTGGGCAAGCAGAATTTTATATGTTCTTTGAAACTGTGCTTATGAAGCATTTATGTTAAGATTTATAAAATTTTCAAATAACAGTTTACCAATTTTAATTTGTTCAACTTATTTTGTGAAAGAGTGCAACTACCATAATCTATTTTATTATGTCACCAAAAAGTGGTGACACATTGTTATGGTCTCCGTTTTTTTACGGCGGTTGGTGGTTGGCGATTGGCGTCTGTAACAAATTCTTACAACTTCCAGTAACTTAACAAATACTGTTTAGACTGACTTCAGTTCTTTTCAAAATCACCTACATGTTTTCAGAAGTTCAAACCTGACATTATATTTAAGAGTTGACCTTCAATGACCTTTTTAAGGTCAAAAAGGTCTTTTTTCAACTTGCTTCAAATTGACCAATTTTTTTTTCAAAATCTACAAGTTATCAGAAGTTCAAACCTGACTTTAGATTTGAGATTTGACCTTCAATGACATTCTCAAGGTCAAAAAGGTATTTTCATCTTGATTCAAATTGCTTCAAAATCATCTACAAGTTCTCAGAAGTTCAAACCTGACTTTAGATTTGAGATTTCACCTTCAATGACGACCAATTTATTTTTTCAAAATCATCTACATCTACAAGTTGTCAGAAATTTAAATCTGACTGAAGATTGAACTCACAATATTGTGAGCAACTAGGTTTGTCATGTCATGTTAATAACTTGTTGTTGACTATTTTACAGCTTTGCAGCAAGTTGCCGGTAAGACACCAATCCCTGTGAACGCAGTCCAGATTATCCAACAACCATTATCCGCTCAGAAGTCTCCAGTTACCGTGCAACAGATTCATCAGATCATGAGACAACAGCAACAAGCTGCCCAGAATCAGGGTAACCATGGCAACCAGGCACAGACAATACAACAGATCATAACATCTGTGTCTCCAGCTAGTTCCCAACCTGCTACTCTAATTGTTACCCAGGCTCAGCCAACTCTAGGTACATTTGCATTTCTTTTATCTATTTCATACCATGTACATACATGTAGATTTGAAGGTCAAAAAAATGCTGCAGGCAAAAATTACATTCATGTGTACTCTTTAATAACAAATTGTAAGCGTGAAACAAAGTTTCTATAATTTTGCAGCCCACGTTTAAATACTTGCAAATTGTGTTTTTAACAGTTGTTTTTCTCAATTCAAATCAATCAATTTGTAATGTTATTTTTTCTGTTTCCAGGTAGCAGGGTCAACCTACCAGGCCATGTAGTGACAACATTATCCCAGCCAAGAGCATCCATCTCTTTGACTGGCAACACTGGTGCCCGCCAGATCACTGCAGCCCTAGGCTCTAGTAGTAGCCTAGTCACTGGTGGCACAATTGTGAAACCTCTAGAGCATTCAGTGGCAAGTCCAGCTCAAACCAAGCCAACCTTGACTACAATAGCTGCACCTAAATCACAGACACAGCCTCAGATTCACCATGTAGCTGTATCTCATGCAGCAGCTGCATCTTTATCTCATCAAGTAGCTGTGTCTCATCAAGCAGCTGCACCTACCACAGCTGTAACTCAGGCATCTCCTGCTACTATGGTGCGAGTGTCCCAAGCAGCTGTGTCTACACAGAGCCAAGCTGCAGCTCAGGCTGTAGCTCAACAGATACAGCAGCAAGCTGCCCTTGCTCAGGCACAAGCTCAGACAGGGGTGAGTCCTGGGCAGGTGGTGGGCCAGGCTGGACAACAATCAAAACAATCACCTTACCAAATGAGACTGAGAAACCCTCCTAAGCATTGAAAGTGGTTTGAGCTTTGAGAAATCTTCTCCCTCTGCTGAGCATTTTGGAAAATGACAACAACATTCATCTAACCAGATAGACAAGCCTCAGAAACCTCCCAACCATAAAAATTAACACTTGCAAACACCCTACTATAGCTAAAATGGAATACCTTATGAAACAAAGTGGAGAAAGGTATAACAGAGGACCTAACAGAGCTCCCTTGGCAAATGTAACCAAGATAACCAATAGTTAGCACAATCATTGTGTATTTTGTTTTGCATCAAGTATCTGGTTGTATTATATTTTCATCTTGTTCAGAGGTAAGGACACCAGTGAGCAATACCAGTCTTCTGTCATTCCATAAAACACTCAGTTTTAGAGAGAATGCTTGGAGATAGTACAAGGGCTTCATGTAAGACTAAATTGCACTTGGCTTATAGACCATATTTCAAAAACTAGTTAATTGTATTTACTTCTGCATGATTTTACTCTGGTCAGATATAAGTGTGCTCTTTTGTCTAACAACTATCTAACCTAGTGTTAAAACGTGATATAAAAATATTAAGAAAACATAATATTTTGTGACCTTGTCCCATTATTTGATGTGTGGTTTAGGCCTACTCAATGATTTATTGCATGGAATTCTTGTTTGCAGAGAAAAAGAGGTCTTATCCAAGTTTTAAGAATCAAGTTTAATATAACAAAATTACCCATGGAACCAGGGCACCAGTTATTTTACTGAAATCAGCAAATCTAATCAATTAATTATTATTAAAATGAAATGAAATTCAAACAGAAATTTTTGCTTGGGCAAAATCCTGGGTTCAGTTTCAAGCCCTAGCCAAACATGAAACACACATGCAGCGATTTTTTCTAATCTTAATGATCGTATTTATAATTGTTTTACAATGTCATATTTTGTCTCATTAATTTTCAGTTTTCCCTTATTAAACATGCTAAGCATTCTTCTATAGCATGGCTATGCTCTTTGTTCTGATTGGCCAGAAAGTGGTAATGTATACCAAGCTTTGTGTGGTTGTTTCTGTTTGAAGTTCACTATGTTGTAGGCCAATAAGACACAGATTTGAGGTATTTTATTACAGTGTGAATAACAGAATAATGAATATAGCAATTTGCGTATGGACAGATCAAACATTTACTTACTTTGATGGAAGAATAGATGTATGTGGAATTATGATATATTTCTATTGTATTTTGTATTAAAATACATAAAATGTAATATGGTCTTGAAACAATTGATTTCATCTTTTCGGTTAAAATGTGCATGTAATATTCATTAAATCATTAGTTTGGATTGTAATTTCAACCATATCCTTTAGATCGGTTTCACGTCTCCTCAAAATTGAATTAAAAATTGAATTATCAGTATGGACTGCTATTTTCTTGAAGCTTCTCATAATCTAGTCCCACGACAATAGTAATACCATTATAATAAATGTGTTCACAATGGAATTAAATGTATGTGTATATATTGTAATACTATTAACAAGGTCATAATATGTACTGTATTAGATTGTAGATAAATAAACTGTACATATAATAGTGATGAGTGTACTGGAGTATGATTATGTACATTGAATTTGAGTGAAATAAAACAGATGAAAATTGTTTTGTAACTTAGTGTTTTGTTTAACATGTTTTATAAAAACAATGAAAAAGTGAGATTCATGAGCCAGGAGGCTTTACATTCTAGTTTCCAGGCTTTCCAATTTTAGACTCTCCACCAGAGGCCTTATCACGCTCGTTGCAAGATTTGCGTTGCGTTTGCGTAACTCCTGAGTTCCGTCTTATCACGTGCTCGTCGCAACGCAGATTGCAACTTAAGTCATTCATGTCCAGAAATGGCCCTGATTTCTGTTTTTATCAATATGTGTAGAAACTGTACACAGAACATTCAGTTTTTACAGGAAATATAAATTTTGAATATCTAAGAATCAGATGTCTCAGATACAACAAATTCTTCAGTTTTTACAGAATGTGAAAATTCTGCACATCCCGAAATCAGATTCAACAGAAAATGTAGATTCTGAATAACCAAGAGTCAGATTCAACAGATTCTACAGTTTTTTACAGAATCTGAATATTCTGCATATCCCTAAATCATTTTTATCAGATTCAACATATTCTTCAGTTTTTACAGAGAATATAGATTCTGAATAACCAAGAATCAGATTTAACAGATTTTACACTTTTTACAGGAAATAAATACTGAATATCTAATTAAGAATCAGATTTCTCAGATTTAACAGATTCTTCTGAGAAAATGTAAGATCTGCAAACCTTGATTTCTCAGATTTAACAGTTTTTACAGAAAATGAAACAAATTCTAAACCTGCTCGTCTTATTTTCTGCTACAAAATAAAGTATGACGGTTTTTGTGTATTTCCTTGCTTTTTAAGGAAAGTATTTATACATTATCTTGTATAGTCAATCTTGTTGCCGTTGGAAATACTGACATTTGAAGAAAATAGCCGCCTTTTTGATTTACCAAATTTAATCTCCAACTTTCTCCACAACACTGGATTGCCCACATTCCATTTCATTCACTAAACACATACTTCATGTCTTCATACTTTATTTTGTACCAGAAAATAACATATGTGCAGTTATAAGAATTTTTCCAAAAAATGTTTTCTTGAACATGGCCTACTCTGCAGTTACTTAATCGTTAATATTTCTCTTCAAGGGCGCCGTATAGAAAAACATGATACATGTGTCCGATATTCAGAAAAATAAGACCAAGAGTTAGACATACAGGAAGCGTGACAATGCTCATTTTGAAGACTTGATGTCTACACCATGGGTTTTCTTGAACGTCCATGGTAACACAAAGTTCTCAGTATACCGCATAAGTTTTTATTTCACTCTTATGTACAATTCCATCTCAAGCATGCATACTGTCTTATTAGGAATGATTCCAATGAATAGTTTCTTAGACTGACTTAACAGGCCATATATGCATTTTGGCCATATATTTTCACAACACGAAGTCACAAAACAGACCATTGTAACACAATGGTTTACAATATTCATAGTACCAAGGCAGCTCAATCTTCTACTCAAAGCCGGAATATAGAGAAGGCTTTGGACCGAAGTAAGCCGCTATGTTTTCTTCGGTGGGTTTTGCTAGGCTACTCCGTAGAGTTGCTGTTTTCTAGTTTGAAAAATTAACGAAAATACTTAGGCTAATCTAATAGAAAGCGTTGGTGTTGACATCAGCCCAGTCAAGGAGCACTTGAATCACAGCGGCTTCTGCCTTGCCACAGATCATATCCAGGGGCGGATCTGGGAACCAAGAAGGGGGGGGGGGCCCAAATTTCAGGTCAGAGAAAAACATGTACGCGCTTGCGCGGAAAAAAAATTTGGGCCCCTAAAACGCAAAAGCGGGCCCAAATTTTGAAATTTTGAGGCCCATTTTCTTCAAAATTTGGCCTGAATTTAAAAAATAAGGCCTTAAAAGGCCCAGTAATGACCAAAAAGGCCGACTTTTTGGGGCCTTAAGGCCTTTTTTGGCCCACCCAAGGGGGGGGGGCGGGCCCCCAGCCCCCCCCCCCCCCCCCCTAATCCGCCAGTGATATCGGTACTGTTGTGTTGCTAAAGCCACGACATTTGTTGTTATGGACTAAGGCTTTTAGATTAAAAATATAAACCGACTGTCGAACGGTGTATTGGAACATTAGTGTAGATTAGGTCATTTATTTTTCGTTAAGGAGCACATCTAGCAGAGGTTCTACTTCTATTTTGCAAAAATAACAACAGTGTTTTGAAGATCCAAAATAAAGCTACGAATTTGCTACACCTTGAAATTTAGAATCGTTCGGTAAATTACTGTAGCGCAAGCATGGGGAAAAAATTTCAAAAAAGTTTCTCCAGTAAATCAAATATTGAAGCAATCAAGCAGTCGGGAAAGGAATTCTTAAGTGATAGAAAACATTCAAACCATTTGGTTGATATACTGACTAAACTGGAGGTAAGATGTGCGTTTCATTGTAACGGAAAATGCATTTTAACCAATTATCGCCCACGAAAATTCTATTTCACTATTTTTACAATTTTGAGCAATCAAAACAGTGGTGCAATATCATATAATCAACCAAAAATTCCTTTGTATAACTACAATTGAGAGGTCTAAGAAAATGTTGTATATGCTTTTTGGTTCCAACAAGGTTCAAAAAGACATTTTATTTCACTCTCAAGAATTGGTAGAAATGGACAAAAAACAATGAGACCCTATCTGTTGCAAGACTAACGCCTGGCGTAACCGTCACCATGTTATTCAGTGTTTTTTAAGTAGCGCAAGGATCCTGCCATGACCGTGGTAATGTTATCGTGAAAGCCTTGTATAACCGCGACAATGCAGTATTATATTGCAATGCCTGCCATGACCGTGACAATGTAATATAGTTCTGCAAGGCTTGGTATGACCGTAACAATGTAATATAGTACTGCAAAGCCTGGCATGACCGTGACAATGTAATATAGTATTGCAAGTTCAGGTATGAGAGTGGTAATGTAGAAATTTACGATTAGGACTGCTATAACCGTGACAATGTGTATTACAAAGCCTGGCATGACCATGCCAATGTAATATAGTATTGCAAGGCTTAGTATGACTGCCATGGCAATGTGATATAGTATTCCAAGTTCGGGTATGAGAGTGGTGATGTCGAAATTTATGATTGCTATAATTGACCGTGACAATGTGTATTTGAAAACCTGGCATGACCATGACAATGTATAATGGGATCGCAAAGCCTGGTATGACCGTGACAATGTAATATAGTATTGCAAGGCCAGGTATGAGGGTGGTAATGTAGAGATTTAGGCTTAGTTCTACTATGACCGTTATAATGTATTGCAATGACTAGTAAATATGTATGACATTAATGCCAGGAATATCCTTAACAATTTTAAGTGATCCTTATTACAATTAAACAGTTTAATATGGTGTTTAACTACCTTAATCATGTCAAAATCAAAATTACTACTATACATTAATATTCACATTCGGTTATAAACCACAATAAAGGCTACGGTCGCGCCAGGCTTCCACGATAACACTTCCAGGGTCATGACAGGCCTTGCAATAGAATACAACATTGTCACGGTTATACCAGCCTGTCACGGTTATACCAGGCTTACACGATAACACTACCACGGTCATGGTAGGATCCTTGCGCTACTTAAAAAACACTGATTAACATGGTGACGGTTGTGGCAGGCGTAAGTCTTGCAATAGATAGCATGTGAAAACAATTGCACTAAAAACAAATAGGCTAATGTTAACAAAAACAGTTATATATAATATATGTAAATAATTTTTGCATTAGATTGTTGCCAATCAGTCAACATTACATAAAGTATCATGTTTTTTACAGAATGTTTTCAGTGATTGGTTTAAGGTTCAGCTGGAAAGTAACATTTTGGTAAAAAATTGCCATACCTGCACATGTTATTTTCTGGTACAAAATTAAGTATGAAGTCATTTGTGTATCTCCTTGCTTTTTTCAGGAAAGTATCATTACACTGTTTACTTTTAGAATATCTGGAAACAGGTCAATGGAAGCTTCTGTGTTGTCTGGAAACTTTGAAAGAAAATTTGGAAAAATAGAAAGTGTGAAATATCAGAATTTCCTGGAGTTCCCATTGAACCCCTACCAGATATTCTAAAAGAAGACAATGTAATGATACTTTCCTGAAAAAAGCAAGGAAATTGACACATGCCTTCATACTTTATTTTGTACCAGAAAATAACATGTGCAGGTATAGCAATTTTTTACCAAAATGTTACTTTCCAGCTGTACCTTAAGGTGCTATGGAAGTTAACAGGAAATGACAAAACAGGAAGTGACAAATTTTTTTGCATTTTTAGACATTTTTTGAACAAAGATAACAGAGTTCTGTTTTGACCTACAGTCAATTCAACTAGTTCCAAATACCATTTACAGGTCCAGGATCACAATGTTCATGGTCGGAATGACCCTAAACATGATGAAATAACCTTTTCAGCCCTCTGAAAACATGACTGAAAAATAGCTAAAAGAAGGAGGTAGGAATAGTATGTATCCAACAGACCGAATATAATATTCGGTCTGTTATGATTGATACCCTTGGCATGGAAATCTCGGCGATATTTTGTGCACATAAATTTCTCGTTTATTACAAGAATGTTCACCTTGAAAATTGGTGAATATGTTGAAGAGATGTTCATCTTAAACTAGATGCAAAAATATTTGTATAAGGAGGGTACAAGTTGATATAAAATAATGAAATGTTCAGACTCACCAAAACTTCAGGATGTGTTCATAAGTAGATCGCGAAATCAATGTCAAGGACGTTTGAGTTCACGAGATCCAAACGAGATATGCAAATTTTTGAACTTTGACTTTTAACTTCAAACACATGACCACTTGATTACCTCGGCCTTCTTCATGAATATTTCCGCTCTATTTACTATAAATGACGAAAATTGTATCAGTTAAAGCATTATATTGGGCACATATTCTGAAAAATTCAAAAGATTCTGTTCAGTGACCTTCCCTAGCTCCTACTTTTAGCTTTTTTTCAGTCACACTTTCAAAGGGCTAAAAAGGTTATTTCATCATATTTGGGGTCATTCTGAACATGCACATTGTGATCCTGGTCATGTAAATAATATATGGAAATAGTTAAATAGACTGGAGGTCAAACCAGAACTCTGTTATCTTTGTTCAAAAAATGTCTAGAAATGCAAAATTGTTTGTCACTTCCTGTTTCGTCATTTCCTGTTAACTTCCATAGCACCTTAAGAGAAGAACATTGTTGAATTCAGTTCACCATATCAATACTTATCCTTTCACTTGTCATTGTCCCACTAATGCTATTGTATTTCAACCAAGGCCACCTCTCAATCTGGTCTTCTGAAATACCTCAATGGTCCCGGCATAATATTTGAATTTAGCACAACCAACATACAGAACGAAGGTATCAGAAAAACGAATGAAACAGATTTGCATATATGAGCTCATTGCATTGACCCGAAAACAATTTTTGGCATCTCGACTGATTCATTAAAATACTGAACGCAACTGATCTGATGAAGTTAATGAGCTTTTCATTGAAACAAAAATAATTGTGATGTCTCATAGGTGAAATTACAAAAGTTGAAAATGGAAAAAATATCTCTGATAATTTACTTTTCTCCTGGCATTTTTTGCGTGTGATTTAGTTATGCGCTTTTCGCGATCGTAGTAATATCACGAAAATTAATCTCTATAAAATTGTCAATTTAATCCCTGGGGATTTGTGAAATTACCTTGGACTCAATAGTATTCCGTGACTTGTAATTCATGTGTTCAGTGTTATTAGGCTCGCCTAATTTTTTTTTCTCGGATAGGTATTCTGGCATATCCAACTCATGGTCATCCAGTATTTGTTTATTACAGAGCTTGAGGATTCAGAGAATAAAGAAATCTCGTCACTCCAGGTAGTCAAGAGATTAAGAGGAATTTTTCCGATATCTCATTTTTGAAAAAGTGGTCATTTTTATGTTTGCTACTTTACATTGTTGCTTTAACTGGAAAAGTAGTGGAGTAGTGATTTTGTTGAAATTTATATGTGAATACTAAGAAGCAATTACACTTCCCAATGAAACTTTGGCTAGTTAGTGGCAATTTTGGAAAATGGTAGTCAATTCGGTATTTGTTATTTTCTGTCTTTTGCAACAACTTAAAGATAAGTGTCACTGATCTACTACTTTTCCAGTTATAGAAGCCACATATAAAATTTCAACAATATTACTCCACAACTTTTTGAGTCAAAGTAAAAACATGAAATAACAAAGCATATTTGTTGAAATTTTGAAATATGTGAACTCTGAAAAGAATATTACACCTAGCTAATAGGCAGCCATTTCAAATAAAGGCAGTCAATTTTATTTGTGTTATTTTACATTTTGCTATGATTGGAAAAGTAGTGAAGCGATTTTGTTAATATTTAAAAACATATTACACTGTCTAATAACAATCTCAATCTAGCTAATAGGGAGCCATTTCAAAAAATGGCAGTCATGGTTGTTTGATGGGATTTACCTTGCCTCGGCATTGCTGTCATCTAGTTACCTAATTGTTTTCCAATTATATTACACAGAAACCACTTACAAAAAGTGATGAATTTTGAAGAACAACCGCAGAAATTTGTCAAAACCTTTCCTGTGTAAGCCCATTTAAAAAAGGAAAATGCTCCTTGTCAACTGTCCAGTTTAACACTCTTGGCTGTCTTGAAAACCCTATGATCAATTCCATCCTTTGCATTTTATCCTGAACTTATTGGATCAATTTCTGATTTCTAGTCTGAGGAGACTGATGTACAGCTGGTATGTGTGCGTGTTCTCCATAAGATCTTCAACCAGCTGTTGGCTTCACAGCAGATGTGTTTACAACAGGCAGACACTGACAAGGACAAAGGTACCGATTCAGTAATCTTTAATCGAATTTATCCAAATTTCAGTATTGACCCAAACTACAATTCATTAAAGAATTGGTAGCGATTGAACATTTTGCTCTTAAAACAGTCATCAAAAAATTCCGAATTTACATGTCATCAATGCACAGTAATGGTAACACGGTCTCGTTTATATCGTTCCGTATTGGTGGTTTTGTTGACATTAATACGGAATAAATCACACCATTTCATGAATGAATAATTGTAATTTCTGTTATTTTCATCTATAGATGTCACCAGTGAGGGAAAGTACAGTAAATGGTTGAAGGAAAGATACGCAGATGCTATCCAGCAGCTTCTAGGCCTGATATCTAGTGAACAGTCCAACCTACAGGAACTCTCCCTGTGTACCCTAATGAAGTTTGTAGCGAGTGAGGGTCAGAATCCACTCACCCACACTCAAGCCACTCATCTTACATTCCCAGTGGTTTTGTTTGAGGTATTATTCAATATTTCTCTCATTACTTTGGTATTGGCTCCATATATACTCTGCTACACATTTCAGGAATATAAGATTAGTGTGAAATGGATCCCTATCATTATTGCTTGTGATTTTCTGAATCCACTTTGAGTTCTTTGATTGCTTGTCCAATTTTATTAAGATAGTTGAAGGTCAATTGTTTTGGCAAATGCCAGATGCAATGTCAAGGTGTGTTACACCAGAAATCTAAATAAATTAATAAAACCTAACAACCTTAAATCCAATTTTATTTTTCTCTTGATATATTTCGAGATTAATATACATATATGCATGTATACTTTAGTGGAAGGATACGCCAATGACATTTCCTTAATCTTTTTTAGATGATTCTTGGAAAGCTGTTATCACAGCAACAGAATATGTCATCTTTAATAGGTCGGTTTCAAGAGTATGTTGAATATGATGACGTTCGATATTTCGTCTTGAAAACCCTGCGGAAACAATTGAAAGATTCCAGCATAAAGGTGAGGGTAATGAATAGCAGCAAATAGTGCTCTGGGAGAAATAGCAGATTCAGTGAGCTCTCAGTATTAAGCCATGGCTCTCAATAGACTTTACTTGCTATAAATTAATCAACATATCGCAAATCTCAAAGATAACATTTCATCATCAATGCCAAAAAACTTGATATTCTTCCTATACAAGGATAATAAAGTTGATAAATGGATATGTAGTTTGATTATCAGCAACTTAGATTATCAACAAAATAGGCATCCAAAAAAAAGAATTTTGTGTGGTTGGGTACAGCAAATTGGAAGTGGAGAGTGAATGGTTATCCGTGAATAATCTGGCTAATTATTGTATCATACCTATTAGGATTGTTCTCCCAGTATTAAGTTATGCTTGTGTTTTTCAGAAAACAGACATCTTCCTTGGGAATGTTTTCTGTATGTTGGAACTGATGAAGGTGCCAGAAGTGAAAGAAGATCAACTGTTGGACAACTTTATCTCACTGAAACCAGGTACATGTGCCCTAAAAATACATTATAAGGTGACCTGTGCCTAACCAGTTATTGCTACCTCCATGGATTTGGTCAAGCAAGCAGATTACACAAATGCCCACTGAGGAAATGACATTATTCTTATACCTCCCCATCATATATCTCTGTACAATTCTCATTTTACTGATTCTGAAATTATTACATTTTTCCAATTATTCACTTTGTATAGTACCCTACTGTTACTACAGTGCTGAGAGATCCATAAAGTGTCAAATGTCCTTTGAAGTTTTTGTGTCTCAGCTTCTCTTAAGCTTTATCAATTGATGTTCTAAGCTTGTTAAACTTTTTTTTGGTCTGTATCCTGTATATTTTCTTTGTAAAAAATCATTTTTATTACACCCTTATTGTTATAGTCTACATCCTGTATATATTCTAAAGACCAATAAACTTATTAATTTCTTCATGAAAAATTATTTTTATTAAATAGTCAATTATTACAGTCTATATCCTGTATATGTTCTTTATAAAAATAATTTTAGGCCCTGAATGTGTAACCAAAGTAACAACCAGGAAGGAACAACAAAAAATCTTCACCAGTGCATGGCTTGAATTCCTCCAAAACAAAGTGAGTCAACTTTTTGTTCATTTCTGCAAATGTCATGCTGACTATGCAAGATCCAGTTGTCAATCTATTTGTGAAATTGTTTTTCTATCATTTTACAAGTAATAACAAATAGAATATATACATGTAATTGTTATATTTTTTAACTGATGAAGATGTATTGATCTTTATCCCATGCCAAGTAAAGTTTTAGGGAGATAAGTTGGTAAGATATACCTGTATCCTGATTTTGAGGTTTCCATATCTTGAACCTCCATATCTCCCGCCATATCTACCGCTCCAGGGCATATCTTTCCGCTTCGAAAAAAAAATTTGAAAAAATAAGAAAAAATTAAAAAAAAAGAAAAAATGTGAAAAAAATTGAAAAAAGAAAAAAAAAGAAAAAATTGAAAGAAAATTAGAAAACTCTACTTGGTATAGGATAAAGCAGTTATGTACGGTCGGTTTGGATGTGGGGTTCATCCTTCGTGAGATATGCACATATACCTTCGGCCCCTACGGTCCCTCAGGTAGAAATGCATATCTCCCTCTGGATAAACCCCATATTCAAAACCTCCCAGTACATAACCCTTATTTATCATGCCCACGCATGATATATAAACAAATTATCACACTCCAGAGTTCCCATGTCGTATAAGCCTGATTTGGTTCAAATATCAAAGGATAACATCAACTATTAAGTAGTTTGATTCAATGAAAACACTAAAAATATTGAAATCGACAATTACCGTCTGCCTTCTTAGATGCGAAGGTTACAGCCGTTACCTTCGCTTGATACTTGCTAGTGTAGTTATTTGGTGGTTTCACTCTGGTGCTCACAGATATGCTCCTTGTTGTTTTCCAGTTAACCATGAGTCTTTACAAGAAAGTCTTGATAATCCTACATGAGAAAGTCATGCCTTATATGACTACTCCAGTTCTATTAGCAGATTTCCTCACTCAATCGTACAATATAGGTATGTAGTCATGTCATGTGATATACCATATAATAAAGGCTTGTAGTCATGTGATATGTCATACATGTAGTCATGTGATATGTCGTGCAATATAGGTATGTAGTCATGTGATATGTCATATAATAAAGGTTTGCAGTCATGTGATGAATATCGGCATGGTTTAAGTCATCTTGCAACACAATATATGAAAGCAGTTGCAATAAAGAGTAACAATACACTAACTATGTATTATAGTTCATCTTATTTGAAAAATCCAATATTTATGATTTCAAGACATGTACAATTCGACTTGGGATTAAATTAGAAATGTAGCTTTATGATTACGAAATAATAAATGTTTGGATGGTATGAACATTCATGGAAACAGAGCATATATTATTTAGCCCCTCCGGAAGTTTCATATTGTCCCTTAGTATTAATTCATATTGAGTCCCTCCTAAAAAATAACCTGTGTACGTTGTGGTATACATGTACACTTATTCATATCTCCTGAGTGTAAATTTGAGCCTTAATGTATTATAGGGGGTGCAATAAGCCTACTGGCGTTAAATGGACTGTTTATACTGGTGAATAAATATAATCTGTAAGTACTTCAATTTCTTCTTTTTTAACAATGTGGATTCTGGTCCTGATCAGTTTTAAAAGTCATTTAAATCATTTATGAGGAAAAATCTAACATCATGTTAAAATTTAATGTTTTTTGACACATTGTTATGGTCACCATTTTGTCTAATGCTTGTTTGTTTATTTATTTATTGTTTCAAATTGTTTCCATGCACTGTGTCAGCATTCAGCATTTGTAATAGTTTATTGATTGACTGCACTTCCCTAAAACCATTGAAATTTTATTTATTGTCTCAAACAAACAAACAAACAAACAAACAGATATATCATTTAATATTGTACAGTCTGTACAATTTTTTGAAATTGTTTAAAAATCATATCAGCTTGTTTTGACATCCAGACTTAGTGAATGTTCTGTGTGAGAATTTACTCTAAGTCTTTGTCCCAGCTCTATTATGAGCTGACTTGAACAACATGCTTTTCTGGGTCTCATGATTTTCGCTAATCTTTCCAGTGACTACCCAGAATTCTACAGCAAACTTTACAGTATGTTTGAGCCAGGTGTTGTCCATGCTAAGTACAGGGCACGATTCTTTCATTTGGCAGATATATTTCTAACATCAACGTAAGTGGTTTGTGATGATACTTCTTATTGAAAACAAATTGTAATCTATTAGACTATCACAGGGAGATATGCTGAGTACTAAATTAGTACAAAATTAGTACTAAACTAGCACTCGTGCCATGAGTACTCATGAGTGCACTTTTGCCAGAGTGCTAATTTATTACTACTTGAGTGCTATTTTAGTACTAATTTTGTGAAAAATAAGGGTTTATTTTAGTACCGTTTTAGTAACAATATTTTAAGTAATGATTTAGTACTAAATGAGTGCTATTTTAGTACTAAAAAATTGCTCATTTAGCACTAAAATATTGTTCATTTACTAAATAATAAGCACTCAGTGGGTATCATTCTAGTTCGGACACAATTCACATGCTACCCTTAATTTTGTTCTTTAGACTTACTCCTATGTCAGCTTGTAATTGTAACACATATAGAACTCACTTACTTTGTAATTTTAGTAACTTCTCATTCAATACAACTTACCTCATCTTTCACTTATTCTAGGTAACAAATCAATGTATATATACAGGGTGTCTCAAAAAAATGTACCCAAAAGTATATCAAGAGCACAGATAAACCTATCAATATTTTCAGACATTTTTTGCATGGTCATGTAGCCAAAACATGAAAGTTTTCTCCCCAATACACCATTTTTATTTCAGTCTTTTCTTTTCGATGCTTTACCCTTTGCCTTTTACAGCAGATAATCGATGTAACCTCATATTTCGATGACAGCCTGTATCCATACTGCTACATTGTTCATCACATTTGATAATAATTCCGGTGGATATGTTTTGGAATTCTCTTTGGATGTTGCCCTTAAGTTGTTCTCGGTCTTTTTGCTTGGAATGAGCATTAAAACACTCCTTCAAATAGCCACAGAGAAAGATGTTTGAGGATGACGATTGCAGAAAAAACACAGATAATCAGATCAATTATCGGCAAATGATTCAGGAGCTACCTTCCAGAGTTAGGCAGGCTTGCCTGGAGACCAAATGATATCCAAATGAAAGCTACAGTGGTGTCAAATTGATACACACAACAAAAGCAACACTGGAATCCCAACGAATACAGTTTCTTTAACCTCTGACCTCTCTGTATAAGGGGGCTATAAGACATTGTGAGGGCCTCCCTATTCACCATATTTGACGGCCCATACTTTTTTCTCTGAGGCTATTTGAAGGACCATTTTTATGCTAAACCCAAGCTAAGAGACCTAGAACAACTTAAGACCAGCATCCGAACAGAAATCAAAACATTCCACCAGAAATATCAAATGTGATGAACAATGTAGTAGTAAGGATGCAGACTGTCATCGAAATATGAGGTTACATTGAATATGTGGTGTAAAAGGTAACGGGTTAAAGTATCAAAAAGGCAAAACTGAATTAAAAACTGTATATAAGGGGAAAAACTTTCATCTTTTATCTACAAGACCATGCAAAAAATGTCTGAAAATATTGATTGGTTTGTCTATGGTGTTGATATACTTTTGGGTACATTTTTTTGAGACACCCTATATATGCACTTTTCTCAAGAATGGAACAGTATGGTGTCTGTCATTTTGTTTCCTAGCTTCAACACGTTACATGAAATAGCTACAGGAATGGGAATTTTTGGAAAAGCTTCATAATATATTTATCCATGTTTTCGTATAATTAAAATGTAATTTATTACGTATTCTATATTTCATTTCATCATTTTAAAAAAAAATTATCAACATTTTAATCTTTGAGTACTATTCTATCACTCGTGAAACATGAGCAATAAATTAGTGCTCATAATATGAGCACTCATTGAGTAATGAAAAATCAATGAAATTAGCGCTACTTTATCACTCATCATATGAGTACTCATTTAGTACTAAAACATGCAATTAATTAGTGCTCATAGTATGAGTGCTCATTGAGTAATAAAAAATCAATGAAATTAGCGCTATTTTATCACTCATCATATGAGTACTCATTTAGTACTAAAACATGCAATAAATCAGTACTCATGTCATAAGTGCTCATTTAGTAGTAATATTTGCTGAAATGAGTACTCAATTAGCGCTAAAATGCCATGAGTACTATTTTAGTACTCGGCATATCTCCCTGTGAACTAATGTTCTTTGAGGCGTTTCAATGATATCAGTGTTTTACCACGATTATTTATCTTTTTATCATACCTAAAGAAAGGTAAGATATTGTCGTCTGCTTAGTGGGCATCTTGGAAGTTTTTAGATAAATTTTGTCATCGCGATTCCAGGAAAACCACTCAACAGACTTATTTCAAATTTTTACACATGTTAAATGGTATGAAGTTCTATAGCTGATTAACTTTTTGGTGGCCATCTAGGATTCTGGCGGCCGTCTTGGACGTTCTTAGATAAATTTTATCATTGCGATTCCAGGAAAAGCACTAAACAAATTTGTACACATGTTACATGGTACGTAAGTTCTAGAGCTGATTAACCTTTCAGCTGCCATATTGCATTCTGGTGGCCATTTTGGAAGCTTTTAGATAAATCTTGTCATCGCGATTCCAGTAAAATAATTTTGGAAGTTTTTATTAGATTAATCTTGTTAATCGCGATTCTATGAAAACCATTTCACAGATTTACTTCAAATTTCTTCCAAGTTCTACAGCTGATTAACTTTAAGTTGGCCATCTTGCTTTCTGGGTCAAATAGCCCACACTACTATGTTTAAGGTACAATATTGTTCCCCTGTGCCTTGTTCATACAAAATGTGACAGCCAAATTGGATTTGTTTTTGTAGGCATTTACCAGCGTATTTGATAGCTGCATTTGCAAAACGTTTGTCCAGAATAGCACTGACAGCTCCCCCTTGTGGCAGTAGTATCATTCTCCAGTTCATATACAATTTGTTAATTCGGCATCCTAACTGTAGAGTACTGCTCCACAGGGACAATCAACAAGAAGGTAAGTTAAGCTTGAGGTGTAGGGCAGCTTGACCCTGAAGTGGGTCAGGTTGACCTTTGGGGCCAGGTCATGTTGACTTTAAAGGTGCAACAATTAGTGCAACGATTCAACGATCATCGATTGGGGTCAAAATATATTTAAGTCTCCAGTCTCAGTCTCATCAGTGTCAATGAATAAATAAAAGCATTTTATCGATTGTACTTAATGTTTAGTGATCTTTAAACATTTTACAGCACACTTAGATTTGCGAATGCACGAAACATGAACCAAAAAAAAGTGAGACGGAAAAAATTAAAATCGGACTCACATTTTTCAACTGAGTTGCATCCCTAGGACTCAGGCTACCATGAATACTGAAAAGTTATATCTTATGGAATCAAAATGGAAATCTGCAACCTTACTATAGTTTCTTTATTTGATAGAATTTGATCTGACCACTGACCCTTACAATATCAATGAACAGGACCCAGCCAAATCTAGAGCCATGGACAGCTCCCTATGGGAGATAAAGGTAAGAATAACCTATTTATTGTAAAAGCCAAAGGCAGCTCATTACTGATCTCCATATACTTTTGACCTATTGGTAGGTCAGTTATATGTGTTTTTATCAATTTTGTCACCATCTATAGATCTGATTCTGCATTGGAATAAGCTAGATTATTTGGTTTTTATGTCACCACCAAAAAGTGGTGACATATTGTTATGGTCTATTTTATTTTGACGGCGGTTGGCGATCGGTGTCTTTAACAAATCTTTACAACTTCCAAAAACTTAACAAATACTGTTTAGACTGACCTCAATTTTTTTCAAAATCATCTTGAAGTGATCAGAAGTTCATATCTGACTTTAGATTTGAGATTTGACCTTCAATGACCTTCTCAAGGTCAACTTGCTTAAAATCGACCAATTTTTTTCAAATCATCTACAACTTATCAGAAGTTCAAATCTGACTTTAGTTTTGAGATTTGACCTTCAATGGCCTTCTCAAGGTCAAAAAAGCATATTGTTATGGTGTCTGTTTTTTTTTGACGGTGGTTGGCAATCGGCGTCGGTAACAAATTCTTACAACTTCCAATAACTTAACAAAGACTGTTTAGACTGACTTCAATTTTTTCAAAATCATCTACAAGTTATCAAAACTTCAAATCTGACTTTAGATTTGAGATTTGACCTTCAATGACTCAAAAAGGTCTTTTTATTTAACTTGCTTCTAGTTGACAATTTTTAAAAAAAAATCATCTACAAGTTATCAGAAGAACCTGCATTACAACAGCACTGTTATCATATCATTGCCTACCCTTAATCATTGCAGATATTACAACAGCATTAATATCATATCATTGCCTACCCTTATGTATTTTCAGACATTACAACAGCACTGTTATCATATCATTGCCTACCCTTATGTATTCTCAGACATTACAACAGCACTGTTATCATATCATTGCCTACCCTTATGTATTTTCAGACATTACAACAGCACTATAACCATAATGTAGCAAACCAAGCTAAGAGATGTGACTACCCACTAGCACACACAGAATCTGACTTTGGAGAAATACTAGAGACCACAATTCTCCAGGTGCAGTAGTCTTGTCTTCAATATCTCAAAGTCTCTTAAGGATCAGTTTCATTTCTGCAGGAAATTCTCCCTCTCTCTTTACTAAAATGTATTACAACATAAATATATACTTAGTATTTATTATTATGTTGCCATATAATAGTTAACACTGATTTCATTAAATTTTTGATTGCTTCTTTAAAGTGTGATTTTTCACATTTACACAGTTTTTCTAGATGAAGCTTGTCAAATGGAAATAACTTTGTGTGGTTGGAAATGATATGTTGACAAATAAATTACACATAGAAATATCATTTCTCTTGACTTTCATTTTTCAGTTAATTGAGAAAGAGACCTCCAAGAAGATCAAAGAAGGGATTCCCACAAACTTTGAAGAACCTAAAAGTTTAGTGATGGATATTGCATCTGGACAACTTTGGGACTTTTCAAGTTAGAAGCTAACTGATTAAAATGAATCACTCTTGAAATTATAAACTGGGATACAGTTGTGCTGTTGGCAAGGGACTTTAAGGGACTCTTCAGTCTCTCAAATTGGAAGCTACTCTGTGACTTTAAAATGAACGGTCACATATCAAATTATAAACTGGGATACAGTTGTTACCTTGGTAACTAGTCAACTGATCTGGTCCCCCAGACATGTCATTCCAAAACAGCTTGTCATAATATAACTGATATAAATCCTTACTGTTAATACAGAATGGGGCAACATGACATACACAGGTATGGATATTACATATTGCTAGTAATCTAATAAAATATATCATATGAATAGCAGAGAAAAGAGTTTGGATTATATTGGACACAAAAGTGAGATGTTTAAGACCGAGATTCTATGAGTTGTCTATCTACACAATTTCGGTCTTTTAAAGTCCCCATGTAAAGTTTGAAAATATGTTTTTATCATTCATTCACTATTTATCATGACTTTAAAAGTCATTTTAGAGATTTTTGAAAATAGAAATTCAACAAAGTTGTCAGCTTTTCATTTCTCAAATATTCAAATCTGATTAATTTCCAAATAAAAGTTGAAATTTTTTAATCATCAAATATTCCACTTAACAGTGCAAAAACAATGTAGGCTTTTAAACACCAGTGCAAAAATCGAACAAAGGATACACTATTAGAATAATAAAATGTCATATCTAATGTGCAACATCAGTCTTTTAGCATATCAAAAATATTTTGCAACCTCTGAAAAAAATGAAAAAAATATTTCCACGTCAATCATTTCTACATTTATAAATAAGAATAAACCAATGTTGATTGTCTTACCAGGTTAAAAGGAAGAGAATATAATGTTTTAAATATTATTGTACGTTGGTGTATAAGAACTAACATTTTGAAATGCATTTTCTCTGAACCATTTTCATACATGATTGTTGGGTTCATTTCTCACTTATTTTATGAACCAATTTGAACCTTATAGGAAAAGAACGCAAAATACCAGTTCACAGAAGTGGTTCAAGTTTTATATGCCGATGCCTAGAGGTAAGGAAGCTCTGCTAAAGAAGGACGTTTCAATATGACCGCTATTTACCAAAATGGCCGCCACTTGTCCTTAAAAATGTCGACGGACTTGGTTCAGATTTTATAAACTTATGCCTAGACATTTATAAGATCGTACATGAATTTCAAAATTGCCACTATTTTTTGAAAAAAAAAAATCTTTGATAACTCAGGTACTAATACCAAATGTGCTCTGTCCAAGAAGAGATGTCCAAGATAGCCGCTACTATATCTATCAAAGCATATTTAGTTCTGTGGTATTAGCCACTCCGTGGAGTTGTATGTGTGTCCATGTCTCCCTCCCGAACGTTTGAAATAAATTGAATCCAAAATTTTATGTTTTTTACTTCAACACCAATGCATTTGAAATATCTGATTAATAAATAGAACCAGCAAGACAAGATGGATTATGACATTTTAGACATTACCTTTATGTTACATTGATAGATAACATATGCTTTATGTTTCCTAGTTATAAAGTAACCTTGTCAATCAAATATTTTTGTTTTTAATTCAATACCTTATATTTTTATGATCGATGATTGGTGTGATGTGATGTGATTTATAATATATATTCATGTCGGTTGGAAGACAAAGCTGGCTGTAGATGAGATGAGTCAGATAACCTTCTCCCAAGACACCATAGAAAATTTTTATCCAGCTTGAGAACTGGTCAGAATCTCTAATCAGCTTGCACAAGCAAATACAGTAGAACGTTTTCCATGATTATCTTTATTATTTCCACTAGAGATTGTTGAATATCGATCTAAACACAAGTTTTAGCCGGGGGGGGGGGGTTCGACCCCCGGCCACTTGCTACGGGCCTGTACCTTGTGTTTTTAATTTAATGATAGATCATAATTTTCGTGTAAAAGTGAGAATAAGGAGAAATGTTAAAAAGAAACAGAGATTGACGTGTGCAGAAAACTTGCTGAAGCTTTTTTGGTGAAATGGAGAACATTTTTAATGTTGAACATTTCTTTCATTCGTTATTGACTATTGACGCCCAATTGAAAAGTATAGTATTGGACTTACCTTATCATAATTTAGTGTTATCAACTTAAATGTCGATTTTGAATCATTGAATGGAGAATACTAGTAAACTCGTATTGATCACAGTCAAAACTCCGTTCCAAGACAGCTTACAATCGTATCCTCTAAAAGTTACAATTATAGTATTTTCCCAAACTTTGAACATGTTGTTTTAGGAGGAGGAGGCTACATTCATTTAATAATGAATGCATAGTTTTAGTCATATATTACATACACGAGGGTTGATCCGAATTTTCTTCACCGTTTGCTCTAAAAATGAAAGGACACCCATAACATGTGCCAAATTGTGCAAAATTACGCTTTGTTCACTTGTTTAAAGATGTGATCATTTATTTCGTAGCTCTATACGTCCATTAATGTGATATTCTTAGGTATAGACTATACGTAAGAATATACACAATAAATTAAGACGTAATCAAACGCTTCATGAATAACGTTATATGGGAATAATAAATCTGTTATAAGTGAGTTGTGAAATCTCTCCAATTCCCCACAAAATGCAATTTATTGAAACGAAACTGTCAACCTCTGAAATGTTCGCAACACTGCTCTCGGACTTTTTGAGGTCATGTGACCATGACAGTTTTGACGTGCCAATCGAGGCAGTAAATTTTGGCGCAAAATCTAAAAGTTGCTGTCGCGAAGGCTGAATCGAAGTAGAAATATACATAAGTTTTACATTCACACGCATTTTGATAACAAAAACTATTTTAATCGATTGACTTCACATGAAAATAATTCCAGTGGAAATAGCACTGCAAAATTTTTCATTTTAAATACAAGAAATTGATTGAAATACATGTGATGATTACAGGGGCGGATCAGGAAACCAACAAGGGGACATTTTCAACTGATAAAAAAAACTTTCGCGGAAAAAACGTTAGCTCAAATTGTGAATATCCGAGGCCAATTTTTTTAACAATTTGGCCTAAAATTAAGAATAAAGCCTTAAAATTAATCGCGGCCTTAATTTTTTTGGGCCCAAATGCGTAAGCTTGACGTTTTCAACGCACAAAATGCCATACTTACATGTAGTCAAAGATAAGGAAACGGAAAATGTTTGAGAGTGGTATTTTGTGTAATTCAGTTTCATGTTGACTTACTGAGGATGCCATATAATAGACATGGATAGACATAAAGATTGATACTCGTATATCTAAAGCGTGAAATATATCATCATACACAATGCATGTCATTCGTGTGTAACGATGCTCTTTGATCCATTCATGACAGAAATCAACTATATTAATTTTTCACGCCAAAATCTGAACATAAATTCTTTTCATCAGCGATTTATCGCACTATAAGGCAATTCATATCCGTGATCAATGTAATGTTGAAATACATTTACATAAATATATCAATGTCATATTATCATATTCATCAATGCCATGGCAACCATAATATTGTGAAGAACTGATGCATTGTGTTTTGATTGACACATCCTGTGCTTCAACTTGTCCGTCCTGAAATTTGAAAATCTCAGTCTATCTATCTAAACCCATTTGGACGTTAGTGTAAAAAGAACATTTTTCGTCCTTCTGATACCGTTTTATCAGCTATGATAGTTCTTTGTGTTTGGCACCTGATTTCCGCAAAATGATCATATTTTGTTTGTATGGCGAGTAGAAAAAGAATCACTGTGTTTTTCACTTTTGGGCCACCAGACGTGTATTGTTTAACCAAATGTATTCATGCGGAGTTAACATTGACAGGTCCCATAAACCATGTTTTTAGCAAACAAATCAATTTTGATATGTTCATTTTTTTCAATTTGTCACCAGAGACAGATATTGTTTCAAATGGTATATAAGGGCCGGTGTTATGAACAACCAGCATCATTTCTTCGAGATGAGACAACAAGGCAACTATCTAGCAGCCTTGATCAGCATAGCGCTTGCGGGTAAGTACATTTTTTCATCATCTGAAATTAAAATGGTATTTTATTTTGTGCTAATCTTGTAAAATTATATCACTCCATTTTGCGAAACGATGGACTTTTTGGTTGGTCGTGAACTTTTGCATTGATCATGAACTTACACTTTTTGCCGTTACTTCACTTTCGTTTAAAGTTGCCTAAAGTTGTGAGGCAGGAATGCATTTACTGATTTTTAACTTTTATACAATTCATTCAATACCACAATCAGAAATAAATATTTTGGAATAAATAATATTTGGATGGATTTACATGGATTATGAATTGGCATTCGTGAAATCACTTTGATTTGCCGTTATTGAAACGACTAAAGAGTACACTAGCCAAGCTGGTATTTGACGAAAACATCTAGATTCAAATTGACTTTAGATCCAAGATATGCGAGAGTTGATCAGCTTGCGAATCGGGCACAACAGTGACATCTCAGCACATTTTATCATTTCCAAATCTTGAAAAACAAGGCAAACATTGGTCAATTTAAACGAGCCGTGCTGGTATATTTGACTAAAACATCTAGATTCAAATTGACTTCAGATCCAAAATATGCGAGAGTTGATCAGCTTGCGAATCGGGCACAACAGTGACATCTCAGCACATTTTATCATTTCCGAATCTTGAAAAAACAAGGCAAACATTGTTCAAATTAACAATCAGGGATTTATGGAATTATTACCGATAGATTCCAACCCCTTTATGTGAACGAAGGAAACTTGCCTATGTTTGCTAGACTTTGTCATACTTTGCAGCAGTGCTGTAAACAAAGTTACGTTTTTGGGATGAGTTAATCCTATTTGAACGTTTTCGAAACGAATTAATCCTATTCGTACGTTTTCGATCGAAATGAGTTAATCCTATTCGTACGTTTTCGAAATGAGTTAATCCTATTCGTACGTTTTCGAAACGAGTTAATCCTATTCATACGTTTTCGAAATGAGTTAATCCTATTCGTACGTTTTCGAAATGAGTTAATCCTATTCGTTCGTTTTTGAAATGAGTTAATCCTATTCGTTCGTTTTCGAAATGAGTTAATCCTGTTCGTTCGTTTTCGAACTGAGTTAATCCTATTTGTGTATTTATAATATAAATGACATTTTATCAATCTGTGGTATATTCAACTGGATTGGTCCATTGACTGACTGATCAAGCGACAGAAAAAATGTAAACGTAATTGAAATGGTTCCACTGAAAACATTTAGTTTAGAGCTAATGTAATTCAACGTCCTGAGGCATTTTAAAGACCCCATTTATACAGTTGAAATCACTTTGACCTATACTTTATATAGTCGTCCCCAATTTTATCATAATGTGGTATGTGAAACTTTTCACTTTAATTTCAAGAAGTTGATTTTGAAGAACTATTTGTTCTAAAAATTGTTTTATTTCAGATAGAAGTTTATCACACACATACATGTACATTGTTCAACAATATTTTACACCAACGCATAACATTGATCCTAACCTACTATCTATTTTGTGTTGAAAGAATTAAGAAAATTGATTGATTGATTGTAGTAAAAAATAAACTCAAAGGCGCAGAAAAGATTTTCAGAGAAAAATGCATTTAATTTTTTTTCTCATTTCAAATTAAAACATAATAAAACTTATTCTTGACCTAGATTGGCATTAGTTCATTTTGAAAGATTAAGCATATATAGAAATTATTTGTTCAAGAAAAAAATTGACAATTTTTGAAAAAGATATTTTGCTTCGTGATTGACATCACAGCGTATCCTCGTGACATCACAAATTAAAAATTTGTATTGAATGTTTGAAACAATATGACTTTTGCAAAATCAATAGAGTAGGGAAAATACTGTGTCTAAAAAATGTCTCTAAAAATGTTTTTTCAAGTCATGTGTACCTCTGTGTCCTTTGTTAGCAAAAACTACTCGTTTAAAGAAATATTAGTTAATTAAAAGTCAATTCTTATTGACCAGAAATGGTCGCATATTTTCAAGTTATCGAAATTGTTCGATGACAATCTAATTTTGTATATGTTTCAGGCTATGTCCATGCCCAGATTTCAGGCACTGTTAAGCCATGTAGACAACAGTGCAACAGGTTAAATCTGAATTGTGGAAAGACTTGCAAAGTAGACGATGTAAGGGGCATTGGATTCACTATGTCATCAAAAATATAAATATATGTATGAACAGAAACTTTGAAAATAAATGTTTCAACTCGTTCTTTTAAAGAAAATAGTCTCATTTTTCATTCATTATTCTTTGAATATTATATCACTAAATAGTAAATGCTATTAACCAGCATTACTTATATTCATTAGTTATTTCATTCATTAATTTCACATCTTCTACTAGTATTTATTCTTTTCTATTTAACAGCTGGCTGCTATAGACGAGGCGTGTTTTCGAGCCAAGACAAATGGAATAGAGGACCTTCCAGAAGAACAGAAAGTACCAAAACTGAGTGAGATCTTAGCTTTGTGTATCAAGCCAGGTGCAGTCCAAGCGGAGAAAACACCCAAAAAGGGTGGAAGAAAGGGTGGGAGAAAGAATAAAGGTGATTTTTTACTATGTTGTTCAACAGGCTAATGCCAGGTAAATGGATTTATTTTTCGAAGATCTGCAATGATAAGCTGAAAAATATAATATTATTTTATAGTTTAGCATGGCGTAAGTTTTAAGTTCTCACTAGTAGTAAATATACAGACTTTGCTCAAGATAATTTGTGCTTTATATTGAAAGTTACTTTTATGTTTGTTTGTTTTTATTTTTTTTATTTATAGTGGTAAGTCTATACAAAATAAAGTCAAACAAAATAAGTTTATGTAAAACAACCCAGCCCACTTTGGGCTTATTAACCACTTCTAATAACATTTAATAACAAATTCAAAATATAAATATAAGTAACAGGTTCATGGATCATTATAAATCAGCTGCTGTCTTCTTACATATGCCTCTCTGATATATTTAACAATGTTACAAGTCTTATTTTCAAAAAGATATTTAATTCTTAAGCCATCAGGCTGTACATGATGATTCAAATTACCAAAACATTTCTCCCGAAGGTCCTTATATACCTCACAATGAAATAGAAAATGGGCCTCTGATTCAACCTCATTATTGCTACATAGAGTACAAATTCTATCTTATTTTCTGCTTTAAAATCTGTCTTGAATGTTGCATATGTTCTTAATTTAGGTTTTGCCTTTACATTATTTCACCATTCTAGAGTATAATTATTTAAGAGCCCCCTTTTTAAAAGGGTTAAATCAACAAAATTAGTAAGGCGACCACTTTCAAGATTCACAAACCTGTTCCACAATCTTATAGTTTCTATCTTATGTACAATCTCTAATGGGAGAAACCCCGTCTCTCCCTGAACACCTACTAGAGGGGCAAAGCGATGAACCCCAAGTAAAAATCGTTGTGCCCTATTATGAACATTATTACATACTTTAAGCATGTGTTGGTCACATCCCCAGACTCCTACAGCATAATTTAAAACAGGGATAACACAAGAATTGTAAAGTTTTGTGAATGTCTTAAAACCTATATCACTGACACCCTTACAACGATTAATGATAGAACCTACTGCCATGGCTCTGCTTGCAGCATCAGACAATGTATTGGCGGTTTTAACAAAATTTCCAAACTCACTGAAGAAAATCCCTAGGTATTTATAATCACTAGCAATTTTAAGTCTTTTACCCTCAAGTGTAAATATGTAATTAGTTACTTTATTGTTTTTGGGTCTAAAGTGTAAAATATTTAATTTGTCAATATTTGTCCTCAATCTCCATTTGAAGCTCCATTTACTTACAATATCTAGCATTTGCTGCAATTTCTCTGGAGAGTCTGACAGCAGTACAATATCATCAGCATATGCTAAAACTGATACATTAGTATCTTTATCTATATTTAAGCGCAGCCAAGCTTTGACTGTTTTATCTCTTTTAACAAATCATTAATACAAAGGGCAAAAAGACTCGGATATAATGTATCTCCTTGCCTTACTCCTGACTTTGTAGGAAACCAGTTATTTAGCATATCATTAATTTTTACAGCAGACAGAGTTCCAATATACATACTCTTTATAGCATTATACATTTTCCATTAACACCATGTTTAAGAAGTAAGTAAAAAAGTAAATCCCTATTAACTAAATCAAAAGTGAACTTTTAAGATGTCTTTAGTTCTGCAATCAAAGATTAAAATTAAAGGAATATATTGTTTTCATATAATTATTTATCCCAACGACATCACAATAAATAGCTACAGGAAATTAGACCTGACGTCATTTCGTAACTTGGTTCACTGTATAAAAAATTGTCTCTTCTGGCCCAGCAAAGCGCCGTCTAGTGTTAGTGGTAAATTAATCCCGATAGGGTAAGTGCTAATCTATCAGGAAACACTTAAGTTCGGTTAGAAACAGAAATTCTACAGATGGCGGAGTGATTTTTGAGACTATAGAGCAGAATAATTTTCTCAAACAGCTCGTTTTTCGGTACCTCCTCGAGGTTCATTTATTGCGAAACCCATGTTGTCAAGGTATCATATGCATTATCTTGTAATAGCAAACTAGAAAAAACTGAGCTAGAGCTGTAGCCGTTCAACAAGTTATGGATTGAAATGTTATAATGGTCATCTCTGGTATTCTTAACGCTTAACCTGAGCCGAGATATATGATTATTATGAGCTTTATTATACTTGTATCCCACATTTGGGCAAAGTGTACAGCTTAAACAGAAAAAAATGAAAAAGCTTAACTAATTATCTATATAGTATATTAACTAATCAAAGGGTGCTTGATCATTGCAAGATTTTATTGGATGCATTTCGTGTTTTTTTCTCTCTCGATAAAAATATTAGATATATATTTTGCTAGTATATTTAATATTATTCCCTCTGAATTAAATAGAAACATTAATTTATGTTCCACGTTATTCATGTTTTCTAAATTTTGACAGTGTTTTTTTTATTTTATCCATGTAACTTGACCGAACATCTTTTAACTTATTGCATTCTAATAGGTAATGACATTCTGAACCGGTTTTCTTGTTACACATTAAACATTTTATTTCTTCAATAGGGGTAATTGGTTTTGTGTAACGACCTGTTTCGATTTCTAATTTATGTGCGCTAATTCTTAGCTTTGTCAAGTTATTTCTGTCTATTTCATTTTTGATTAAATCCAAGTAGGGTTCCTTGTTCCATTTTGCTTTTATTATCTTATAAAACCTCAATTTACCATTATTTGATTTTATTTTAGTTTCCCAAAATTGTATGTATCTATTTTCCAGTAATTTCTTAATTTCTCTTGGTTTTAAGTTTAAATAGTTTGGTGAAGTACCATTGTAAATATATTTAAGTACATCATTGATGTGCGTGAGCCATGATTGTTTATTCATATCTGTCAGTTGTTTATTTACCTCAAGGGCTTCACGTAGAAGCGAGTCGGTTCCTTTATTGTTAATATGATTAAGATATTTCATTTGTTGATAAAACAAAGAAATAAATAGTGGAAACCTACCTAAATCGCCTCGTGTAGCGTCATTACTGGCCTATATGAGTATACACATATAGCAGCTTTGAAATCTCGCTAATTCTCGTTTTTGTGAATTTTTAAGACACTTGCATATTAAACCTCTAATGGCTTACTTTTCCTTCTATTCTTTTTAATAGCATATTTTTATTTTATTTTTGTGAAAAGTTTTCCACAATTGTAACTTTAAAATCATATTCTTTAAATATCATTTCCATGACTTTTCAACTTTTCTGAAAAGAATGTGAGCCAAATCTCCATTGATGCAATGTTCAAAACCTCGGTTTATTCGTTTAAACAACATTTTTACAGATTTAGACAGATCATCCAACACTTTTTGATAAATCATGAAATTAAGTGACTATGTTAAATTTTCACCATTGATGCCTTTTTGGCAGTCTGGCCCAACTAAAACAAGTAATAACAAGTGGTGACATCTATTTATTAAGCTTTGTTCAGATAAGTATATAGCAATGCCCTTATTGAAAAATACAAAATATACTTCTACATGCGATTGTGTAATATGATTGATTTGATATTTAAGGAAATTATTTGTGAATCGTTGCTTTATCAATGCACTATTATATGAATTTTTCTCTTTTTATAAATAAAATAATTCTGAATTTCAGGAGGGAAGTTTGTATATGGCCCCTGCAAGACCAGATGTAATCAATTGAACTTGAAAAAGTGCTCAGTCATTTGCAAGTTGAATCCTGTAAGTACTGCTAATTGAAAGCCCATGATCAGGCATAAGAGATACAAATCATCAAGTTAATAATCATTATATTATTAATAAGCATTTGCATGCCAGAGGCCCAATTAATTTACAATATACATTTTCTCCATTTTCATCGAAAAACTAGATTTTCTCAATCAAACTCAATTGTAAGCTGCACACTATTTTATATGAATCTATTTATTTGTATATAGGGGGATACAATTGACGGACCTTGCTTTACACAATGTGCAGCAGCTGTCCAAGTTAGAAACGGGAAAAGGGGCCTCCCTAATTGTCTCCGACAATGTAAAACTGGAGGTGCAGTCATAAGCCCAGTCAGATGCGGAACCGCCGCAAACCCATGTAAACATTTTACACAATTTTCTTTCACATGGAGGTAGCCAAGTATATTAAAGGCAGGCGAGGCAAAGGTTGAGAGAATTACATATCAATACAATGTAGACATTTTTTCAATGTGCCCTTTTCACTCTTTTCCATATAGCTTTGAAATCTCGTTTTTGAAGTCTTGTTTTTAATGAGATTTTAGGAGATCTGCATTTTTAACCAGTAAAAACTAACCTTTTCTTCTATTCGATGACATATTTTTTTTATAATTTTCTATCAATACAACTTTGATTTGCAGCATTATTTACCTTTATTCAAATTCTAATAATTCTTTTCTAGTTGTCTAAAAAGGCCGGGCTAAATCCCCATTGTCATAATGCTCAAAAACCTTTAAAAGTTCATTTACTCCTATAAGGATCACGATTTTATTATGAAATCACAATTCACATGTCAATAAGATCACATAGTTACAATCCAATGGTGTTTTAAGTTGATCCAAATGGAATTACTTCTTAAATCAAGAAATTAAGTGACACTGGCGATACATTTACATGTATTCTTAATTTCTAGCCCTACCCAAGCCCTACCAATACCCATGATGCTATCTATTTTTCATTTTTATGGAAAAGGGTCAATTGAAAGCATGTAAATATGGAAACCTTGAACTCGCTTTTTTGAAATCTTGACTACGCTCATGGGCATCTATCATTACTTTTTCAACATGGTTGCTTTTTCCTATTTGTTACTGTTACACTATTCAACTTAATCATCGTGACACAATGCACGCCATGCACCTCTTGAGAAACGCCTTAAATATCGATTTAAATTGATTGTCGATCTAAATCTTTTAATGGGTATACTTAAGTTTTTTATTGATATCGTAGATTTACATTACCTTGTAAAGAGTTGCGTAAAGATTCTGGCGTAAAAGCAATATGGCCACTCCAAACGAGTTTATTGAAATCGTCTTCCTCAAGATAAAACAATCCGATGAAAGTCAGATCTGAAGTAGACTATATAAGTAGCGCTTGTTTTGTATGCGCGCTATATATGTACTTACTGTATTGATTCATGGACTTTGCGTTCACGGTTACGTTGTGAAAAACATCGCTAACTAAAAGTCTCCATTTACTAATATGATATATCCAATATGGCTAACTTGGTAACATTTAACCAGTCAGATTGTTTTAAGTTAAATATGGCGAGAAAATATTTTTTAATTTCATCTTCAGGCTGTAGATGGGGAATGTGGAGCCAGTGGGTAAAAGAACCATGTACCAGAACCTGCGGAGGTGGAACCATTCGACAAACTAGAAGACGAGTGAAATTGTTTGGGTCAATAGGCGAGCCACAATGTCAAGGGAAAGCTTTTGAAGTATTTTCTGGTGTATGCAACCCACAAATCTGTGAAGGTAGAGCAGCTTCTACATGTAGTTCGTTCTATGCATTTTTAATATGTATTTGAATGACATAAGTATGAGTGAAAAGACACATTGTCTTGTCGATTTGGATAATGAGGTATTCCTTAATCCTCAACATGTATATAGGTTTGGATTGTAAAGTATTCCATCATCTCCAAAATGTATTGCAATGACTTTAGTATCAATGAAATGACACGTGGTCTTGTAGGCTTGAATTGTAAAGTATTCCATTATATCCAACATGTATTTCAATGACTTTAGTATGAATGAAATGACACGTGGTCTTGAAGGTTTGAATTGTAAAGTATTCCATCATCTCCAACATGTATTGCAATGACTTTAGTATGAATGAAATGACACGTGGTCTTGTAGGTTTGAATTGTAAGGTATTCCATCATCTCCAACATGTATTGCAATGACTTTAGTATGAATGAAATGACACGTAGTCTTGTAGGTTTGAATTGTAAGGTATTCCATCATCTCCAACACGTATTGCAATGACTTTAGTATGAATGGAATGACACGTGGTCTTGTAAGTTTGAATTGTAAAGTATTCCATCATCTCCAACATGTATTGCAATGCCTTTAGTATGAATGAAATGACACGTGGTCTTGTAGCTTTGAATTGTAAAGTATTCCATCATCTCCAACATGTATTGCAATGACTTTAGTATGAAAGGAATGACACGTGGTTTTGTAGGTTTGAATTGTAAGGTATTCCACCATCTCCAACATGTATTTCAATGACTTTAGTATGAACGAAATGACACGTGTCTAAATTTGAATTGTAAGGTATTCCATCATCTCCAACACGTATTGCAATGACTTTAGTATGAAAGGAATGACACGTGGCTTTGTATGTTTGAATTGTAAGGTATTCCATCATCTCCAACATGTATTGCAATGACTTTAGTATGAATGGAATGACACGTGGTCTTGTAGGCTTGAATTGTAAAGTATTCCATCATATCCAACATGTATTTCAATGACCTTAGTATGAACGAAATGACACGTGGTCTTGTAGGTTTGAATTGTAAGGTATTCCATCATCTCCAACATGTATTGCAATGACTTTAGTATGAATGAAATGACACGTAGTCTTGTAGGTTTGAATTGTAAGGTATTCCATCATCTCCAACACGTATTGCAATGACTTTAGTATGAATGGAATGACACGTGGTCTTGTAGGTTTGAATTGTAAAGTATTCCATCATCTCCAACATGTATTGCAATGCCTTTAGTATGAATGAAATGACACGTGGTCTTGTAGCTTTGAATTGTAAAGTATTCCATCATCTCCAACATGTATTGCAATGACTTTAGTATGAAAGGAATGACACGTGGTTTTGTAGGTTTGAATTGTAAGGTATTCCACCATCTCCAACATGTATTTCAATGACTTTAGTATGAACGAAATGACACGTGTCTAAGGTTTGAATTGTAAGGTATTCCATCATCTCCAACACGTATTGCAATGACTTTAGTATGAAAGGAATGACACGTGGTTTTGTATGTTTGAATTGTAAGGTATTCCATCATCTCCAACATGTATTGCAATGACTTTAGTATGAATGGAATGACACGTGGTTTTGTATGTTTGAATTGTAAGGTATTCCATCATCTCCAACATGTATTGCAATGACTTTAGTATGAATGAAATGACACGTGTCTTGAAGGTTTGAATTGTAAAGTATTCCATCATATCCAACATGTATTGCAATGACTTTAGTATGAATGAAATGACACGTGGTCTTGCATGTTTGAATTGTAAAGTATTCCGTCATCTCCAACATGTATTGCAATGACTTTAGTATGAATATCCTTATTCTCTAAAATTATTCAAATAATCTCGTTTGAGCAATACTTGGAAGATCATGAATATTAAAGGCCCAATATAAAGTTTAAACCACTTTGTCTTATACAATGTTATCAAAGTGTGATATGTGAAACTTTATTTTTAATTTCAAAAAGTGTTTTTTCAAGGTCTTTTTGAGGCCACACATATCTTTTAATAAGCGATAATTCATACCAAGGCATAGCATTCATCCTCACATGTTTTTTGCCGAAAAGAGAAAATCTGATCATAAATATAAAGCGAGAAATGAAATCATCAATGCATGAAAATGGTTCAGAGAAAAATGCATTTCAAAATTTTAGTTCTCATAGAAACCATTGGAACAATGATATCTAAAAACATAATTAATATATTCTTTATTTTAACCTGGTTAGATAATCAACATTGATTTATTTTTGAAGTTTAGCATTTTTAGAAAAGATTGACATAGACAAGACAATTTCAATTTGTTCAAAAAGTTTTTGCCACCTAAGTGAGTCTTAATGACATCACTTAGGTTTCAAAATAATTTGATATGCTAAAACATTGATGTGGCACATAAAATATGGCATTTTATTATTGAAACAGTGTGCCCTTTGTTCAAACTTTGTAACGGTGTTAAAAAGATCATCTGTTTTGAAATGTATGGAGAAATATTTGATGATTATAGAATTTCATTTTTTGAAAAATGGTGGGAAATTTGAATACAGGGACAGGGTGACATAAAAAAGTGCTACACAAATCCTGTTAAATAACTTTTTCATCTATATGATTCATGACTTTCATTTTTTGCAAAGTAAAACTTAACTTCGAGGAGAAACTACACAAGAAGTTTCAGATGACAAGCTCAACTCGATACACTTTCGTGAGCGTTATTCGATTTTCTAAATGTTAAGCACACCTGGATTCTATGGGTAAAGCTATTGACAACCCTTACACATTTCCCCACAGAAATGGCCCTGGTCTTTCTTGTAATCTCTATCTTCAGGTGTTCTATGGTTTGGGGATTTGTTCCATACAAATGATTCTTCAAGTATTCCCAGAGATAAAATCTTGCGGGTTTATGTCAGGCAAATGTGGTCAATAACTTTGCCAGTAGAATCCAGAAGTGTACCTGCTATGGAATGGATGACATTTAGATCACATCTTGTAACCATCATAAAAGTCCACATAATTAATCTTGTCATCTGAAACTTCTTGAAGAGTTGCCCCATGAAGTCTAGTTTGAATGTGCAAAATATGAAGTCAGGAATCATATAGACAAAAAAGTGATGCAACTTGAGGTGGTTGGCACTTTTGTGTCACCCTGTATTTGAGAAATGAAAAGCTGACAACTCTTTTTTAAAAATGTTTTTCGTTTCAAAAATCTCTTCAATAACTTTTAAAGTCATGGCAAATAATAAATGAATGATGAAAACATATTTTCAAATTTTACACGGGGATTTTAACTAAATTCTAGGATGTAGATGGGGTCAATGGGGAGTCTGGAAAAAGTTTCCATGTACTAAATCATGCGGTGGAGGCATCATTCGTCAGACTAGAAACAGACAGAAGATATACGATAGTTTTGGAATTTCTTCGGAATGTTTTGGCAATTCGGAGGAATCCTTCGAAGGTGTATGTAACACAGGGCCATGTGAAGGTAAGTCCATAATTCAATCACTTTAACATAACATTTGTCCTGAACCAAAGCTAATTAAGTATCCTTGTGGTATTCTACTAAAATTCAGCTAAAATGTTGTATACATTGCAATGGTTTTATTTCCTTTTACATTAAACGTATACATTTTTATTAAACAAGTATAAAGGACCAGGTATTGTATTTAATTGCTTTTAGACAGCTTTATTTTTACTTGGTTTATTTCAGAACCATACAATCTACATCTTACATCAGAGTAATATGTTATCTTCTTCTTTAATCGTCTAATTTAAAAGTGCATAAGATAATAAATATCGATTGAAATACACCGATACGTCATGTTTTACTGAATAAGTATTATTAGTCCCCCATCTCATCACTTTTTCAAAAATGTTGGGCTAGAAGAGACGACCTCGATTTGTCGAATTCTCGAACAAAGTATTTTGCAATAGAAGAAAGCATCCATGACCTATCAGCATGATCTTATTGTATTTTGCAATAGAAGAAAGCATCCATGACCTGTCAGCATGAACCAATTTTGTTTTGCAATAGAAGAAAGCATCCATGACCTATCAGCATGATCCAATTGTATTTTGCAATACAAGAAAGCATCCATGACCTATCAGCATGATCCAATTGTATTTTGCAATAGAAGAAAGCATCCATGACCTATCAGCATGATCGTATTGTATTTTGCAATAGAAGAAAGCATCCATGACCTATCAGCATGATCTTATTGTATTTTGCAATAGAAGAAAGCATCCATGACCTATCAGCATGATCCAATTGTATTTTGCAATAGAAGAAAGCATCCATGACCTATCAGCATGATCCAATTGTATTTTGCAATAGAAGAAAGCATCCATGACCTATCAGCATGATCCAATTGTATTTTGCAATAGAAGAAAGCATCCATGACCTATCAGCATGATCTTATTGTATTTTGCAATACAAGAAAGCATCCATGACCTATCAGCATGATCTTATTGTATTTTGCAATAGAAGAAAGCATCCATGACCTATCAGCATGATCTTATTGTATTTTGCAATAGAAGAAAGCATCCATGACCTATCAGCATGATCTTATTGTATTTTGCAATAGAGGAAAACATCCATGACCTATCAGCATGATCGTATTGTATTTTGCAATAGAGGAAAACATCCATGACCTATCAGCATGAACCAATTGTATTTTGCAATACAAGAAATCATCCATGACCTATCAGCATGATCCAATTGTATTTTGCAATAGAAGAAAGCATCCATGACCTATCAGCATGATCTTATTGTATTTTGCAATAGAAGAAAACATCCATGACCTATCAGCATGATCGTATTGTATTTTGCAATAGAGGAAAACATCCATGACCTATCAGCATGATCGTATTGTATTTTGCAATAGAGGAAAACATCCATGACCTATCAGCATGATCGTATTGTATTTTGCAATAGAAGAAAACATCCATGACCTATCAGCATGATCGTATTGTATTTTGCAATAGAGGAAAACATCCATGACCTATCAGCATGATCGTATTGTATTTTGCAATAGAAGAAAGCATCCATGACCTATCAGCATGATCCAATTGTATTTTGCAATAGAAGAAAGCATCCATGACCTATCAGCATGATCTTATTGTATTTTGCAATAGAAGAAAACATCCATGACCTATCAGCATGATCCAATTGTATTTTGCAATAGAAGAAAGCATCCATGACCTATCAGCATGATCTTATTGTATTTTGCAATAGAAGAAAGCATCCATGACCTATCAGCATGATCTTATTGTATTTTGTAATAGAAGAAAGGATCCATGACCTATCAGCATGATCTTATTGTATTTTGCAATAGAAGAAAGCATCCATGACCTATCAGCATGATCGTATTGTATTTTGCAATAGAAGAAAGCATCCATGACCTATCAGCATGATCCAATTGTATTTTGCAATAGAAGAAAGGATCCATGACCTATCAGCATGATCTTATTGTATTTTGCAATAGAAGAAAGCATCCATGACCTATCAGCATGATCCAATTGTATTTTGCAATAGAAGAAAGCATCCATGACCTATCAGCATGATCCAATTGTATTTTGCAATAGAAGAAAGCATCCATGACCTATCAGCATGATCTTATTGTATTTTGCAATAGAAGAAAGCATCCATGACCTATCAGCATGATCCAATTGTATTTTGCAATTGAAGAAAGCATCCATGACCTATCAGCATGATCTTATTGTATTTTGCAATAGAGGAAAACATCCATGACCTATCAGCATGATCTTATTGTATTTTGCAATAGAAGAAAGGATCCATGACCTATCAGCATGATCCAATTGTATTTTGCAATAGAAGAAAGCATCCATGACCTATCAGCATGATCTTATTGTATTTTGCAATAGAGGAAAACATCCATGACCTATCAGCATGATCTTATTGTATTTTGCAATAGAAGAAAGCATCCATGACCTATCAGCATGATCCAATTGTATTTTGCAATAGAAGAAAGCATCCATGACCTATCAGCATGATCCAATTGTATTTTGCAATAGAAGAAAACATCCATGACCTATCAGCATGATCCAATTGTATTTTGCAATAGAAGAAAGCATCCATGACCTATCAGCATGAACCAATTGTATTTTGCAATAGAAGAAAGCATCCATGACCTATCAGCATGATCCAATTGTATTTTGCAATAGAAGAAAACATCCATGACCTATCAGCATGAACCAATTTTGTTTTGCAATAGAAGAAAGCATCCATGACCTATCAGCATGATCCAATTGTATTTTGCAATAGAAGAAAGCATCCATGACCTATCAGCATGAACCAATTTTGTTTTGCAATAGAAGAAAGCATCCATGACCTATCAGCATGATCTTATTGTATTTTGCAATAGAAGAAAGCATCCATGACCTATCAGCATGATCCAATTGTATTTTGCAATAGAAGAAAGCATCCATGACCTATCAGCATGATCTTATTGTATTTTGCAATAGAAGAAAACATCCATGACCTATCAGCATGATCTTATTGTATTTTGCAATACAAGAAAGCATCCATGACCTATCAGCATGATCCAATTGTATTTTGCAATAGAAGAAAGCATCCATGACCTATCAGCATGATCCAATTGTATTTTGCAATAGAAGAAAGCATCCATGACCTATCAGCATGATCTTATTGTATTTTGCAATAGAAGAAAGCATCCATGACCTATCAGCATGATCTAATTGTATTTTGCAATAGAAGAAAGCATCCATGACCTATCAGCATGATCCAATTGTATTTTGCAATAGAGGAAAGCATCCATGACCTATCAGCATGATCTTATTGTATTTTGCAATAGAAGAAAGCATCCATGACCTATCAGCATGATCCAATTGTATTTTGCAATAGAAGAAAGCATCCATGACCTATCAGCATGATCTTATTGTATTTTGCAATAGAAGAAAACATCCATGACCTATCAGCATGATCTTATTGTATTTTGCAATACAAGAAAGCATCCATGACCTATCAGCATGATCCAATTGTATTTTGCAATAGAAGAAAGCATCCATGACCTATCAGCATGATCCAATTGTATTTTGCAATACAAGAAAGCATCCATGACCTATCAGCATGATCCAATTGTATTTTGCAATAGAAGAAAGCATCCATGACCTATCAGCATGATCTTATTGTATTTTGCAATAGAAGAAAGCATCCATGACCTATCAGCATGATCTTATTGTATTTTGCAATAGAAGAAAGGATCCATGACCTATCAGCATGATCTTATTGTATTTTGCAATAGAAGAAAGCATCCATGACCTATCAGCATGAACCAATTTTGTTTTGCAATACAAAAAAGCATCCATGACCTATCAGCATGATCCAATTGTATTTTGCAATAGAAGAAAGCATCCATGACCTATCAGCATGATCTTATTGTATTTTGCAATAGAAGAAAGGATCCATGACCTATCAGCATGATCTTATTGTATTTTGCAATAGAAGAAAGCATCCATGACCTATCAGCATGAACCAATTTTGTTTTGCAATACAAAAAAGCATCCATGACCTATCAGCATGATCTTATTGTATTTTGCAATAGAAGAAAGGATCCATGACCTATCAGCATGATCTTATTGTATTTTGCAATAGAAGAAAGCATCCATGACCTATCAGCATGAACCAATTTTGTTTTGCAATACAAAAAAGCATCCATGACCTATCAGCATGATCCAATTGTATTTTGCAATAGAAGAAAGCATCCATGACCTATCAGCATGATCCAATTGTATTTTGCAATAGAAGAAAGGATCCATGACCTATCAGCATGAACCAATTGTATTTTGCAATAGAAGAAAGGATCCATGACCTATCAGCATGAACCAATTGTATTTTGCAATAGAAGAAAGGATCCATGACCTATCAGCATGATCTTATAGTATTTTGCAATACAAGAAAGCATCCATGACCTATCAGCATGATCTTATTGTATTTTGCAATAGAAGAAAGCATCCATGACCTATCAGCATGATCTTATTGTATTTTGCAATAGAAGAAAGCATCCATGACCTATCAGCATGATCCAATTGTATTTTGCAATAGAAGAAAGGATCCATGACCTATCAGCATGATCTAATTGTATTTTGCAATACAAGAAAGCATCCATGACCTATCAGCATGATCCAATTGTATTTTGCAATAGAAGAAAGCATCCATGACCTATCAGCATGATCTTATTGTATTTTGCAATAGAAGAAAGCATCCATGACCTATCAGCATGATCTTATTGTATTTTGCAATAGAGGAAAACATCCATGACCTATCAGCATGATCTTATTGTATTTTGCAATAGAGGAAAACATCCATGACCTATCAGCATGATCTTATTGTATTTTGCAATAGAAGAAAACATCCATGACCTATCAGCATGAACCAATTGTATTTTGCAATACAAGAAATCATCCATGACCTATCAGCATGATCCAATTGTATTTTGCAATAGAAGAAAGCATCCATGACCTATCAGCATGATCTAATTGTATTTTGCAATAGAAGAAAGCATCCATGACCTATCAGCATGATCCAATTGTATTTTGCAATAGAAGAAAGGATCCATGACCTATCAGCATGATCTTATTGTATTTTGCAATAGAAGAAAGCATCCATGACCTATCAGCATGATCCAATTGTATTTTGCAATAGAAGAAAGGATCCATGACCTATCAGCATGATCTTATTGTATTTTGCAATAGAAGAAAGGATCCATGACCTATCAGCATGATCTTATTGTATTTTGCAATAGAAGAAAGCATCCATGACCTATCAGCATGATCCAATTGTATTTTGCAATAGAAGAAAGGATCCATGACCTATCAGCATGATCTTATTGTATTTTGCAATAGAAGAAAACATCCATGACCTATCAGCATGATCTTATTGTATTTTGCAATAGAAGAAAGGATCCATGACCTATCAGCATGATCTTATTGTATTTTGCAATAGAAGAAAGGATCCATGACCTATCAGCATGATCTTATTGTATTTTGCAATAGAAGAAAGCATCCATGACCTATCAGCATGATCTTATTGTATTTTGCAATAGAAGAAAACATCCATGACCTATCAGCATGATCCAATTGTATTTTGCAATAGAAGAAAGGATCCATGACCTATCAGCATGATCTTATTGTATTTTGCAATAGAAGAAAACATCCATGACCTATCAGCATGATCCAATTGTATTTTGCAATAGAAGAAAGCATCCATGACCTATCAGCATGATCTTATTGTATTTTGCAATAGAGGAAAACATCCATGACCTATCAGCATGATCTAATTGTATTTTGCAATAGAAGAAAGCATCCATGACCTATCAGCATGATCCAATTGTATTTTGCAATAGAAGAAAGCATCCATGACCTATCAGCATGATCTAATTGTATTTTGCAATAGAAGAAAGCATCCATGACCTATCAGCATGATCTTATTGTATTTTGCAATAGAAGAAAGCATCCATGACCTATCAGCATGATCCAATTGTATTTTGCAATAGAGGAAAACATCCATGACCTATCAGCATGATCTTATTGTATTTTGCAATAGAAGAAAGCATCCATGACCTATCAGCATGATCTTATTGTATTTTGCAATAGAGGAAAACATCCATGACCTATCAGCATGATCTTATTGTATTTTGCAATAGAAGAAAACATCCATGACCTATCAGCATGATCTTATTGTATTTTGCAATAGAGGAAAACATCCATGACCTATCAGCATGATCTTATTGTATTTTGCAATAGAAGAAAGCATCCATGACCTATCAGCATGATCTTATTGTATTTTGCAATAGAGGAAAACATCCATGACCTATCAGCATGATCTAATTGTATTTTGCAATAGAAGAAAGCATCCATGACCTATCAGCATGATCTTATTGTATTTTGCAATAGAAGAAAGCATCCATGACCTATCAGCATGATCTTATTGTATTTTGCAATAGAGGAAAACATCCATGACCTATCAGCATGATCTTATTGTATTTTGCAATAGAAGAAAACATCCATGACCTATCAGCATGATCTTATTGTATTTTGCAATAGAAGAAAGCATCCATGACCTATTAGCATGATCTTATTGTATTTTGCAATACAAGAAAGCATCCATGACCTATCAACACGAACGAATTTTGTTTTTGATTTCATGCGCTTTAATTGAATATAATGTAAGTTGTGGAATGAATGTTTGGTCTAAAATACTCCAAGTGATAAATAAAAGCTATCAAAATTGCTAGCATTTTTATGTTTTTTAGTTTTTCAGTTATATCTATACAGTGGCTCGACCCTTGAATTTGCTTTTAGGATGTAGATGGGCCCCCTGGGGAGGATGGAAAAATATACCATGCTCTAAATTGTGTGATGGCGGTGAAAACGGTCAAATGAGAACACGACAGAAAATCTTTGATGCTCTTGGAACTTCTCCTCAATGTCTCGGCGAATCAATGGAATCATTCAAAGGAGCATGTAACACGGAGCCTTGCAAGAGTAATGTCATAATTTAGTATACAATTATTGTAATTTCAAGGATACAGAGATCATTTTCACTAGAACTCAGATCTGAGTAAATGAGACCAAAGTCGGAAATCAGAAAATTCTGAAAAATGTTTGTCTCAAAATAGTTCTTCTACTTCTTAAAATATACTGAAATACATTTGCTTACGTGTCCTAATTTAGTAAACAATAGTTTAAACTTTAGGGATAAAGAGATCACTTTTACTAGAACACAGAGTAGTCATTGTTATTTCCTTGCACATGCGTACTTTGAATATTCTCAATCGATCTGTGTTTTTATGCTTTGGTAGAACACAATACATCAGAATGAAATTAATGTGGACATGTCCCTAAATGCTCATAAATGACTCTAATGAGTTGTTACTTTCTAGTGTTTTACACCAAATTAAGATAATTAATGATAAATTTGGGAGACCATCGTTACAGTATGGAGTTTGGGTTGTTATGATAACATTTTATGAGAATAGTTGGATATATATTTACATTAAATCGAATAGTGTTCCCATCATCTAACTACCTTTTCAAAAAATTTTCAAAATTTGTCAGATCCCCTCCCCTACCAAAAGCTGTCTACGGGCATTTTATTCTGATGTTCCGAGTCCGATATCAATTAATAAAACTATCTATATTGTGGCTCGACCCTTGAATTTGGTTTTAGGATGTAGATGGGCCCCCTGGGGAGGATGGAAAAGTATACCATGCTCTAAATCATGTGGCACCGGACAAACGGGTCAGAAAAGGACTAGGACTCAAATATTTGATGCACTTGGAACAGCTCCTAAATGTACTGGCCTCTCGATTGAATCATTCAAAGGTGTATGTAACACGGAACCATGCAAGGGTAAGTTGTGAATGATTTGTTATCATTCATGGGACAATCTGAATTATGAGAGTACATTTATTGTACACTGAACTATGAGAGTACAATTATGGGATGACCGTGAAAATACAATTATGGGACACCTTGATTTTAATTCTTCTGCAAAGTTGTAAACGACCAGTGTCTGAATGAGAATAAGAATCCTTAATTTGAACTCTAATAACACTATTTATTAATCTATAAACGTACTGGAATCAACTCATCATATATGTATTTGTCCAAACGTAACCGTAAATTCAAGAATGTATTTTAGTTGACACTGACCGAATTAATTTAATTTTAAATGTAATTGTCACATCGTTTAGTTTGTAGGACGGGTTTCCTTTGAAATACTCATACACCTCTTAAAATATAGTCCCTTTGATATCTCGAGCGTTATGATTTGATAAACAGTATACAGGAATGTCTCTTCATGTCTTTTGAAAATAATCGCAGGTTGTGTGTGGAGCAATTGGGGTGCTTGGCAGAACGCTGAGTGTACCAAAACATGCGACTCTGGAACACAAAGCAGAACACGATCAAGAACAAAACTTGTTGGTCCACCAAGAACTGTATGTCCAGGGCAATCTCAAGAACAGGGTATCGTTACCTGTAACCCCCAGCGATGCGATGTTCCACAAACCGGTAAGACAAACCAAAGAAAAGCAATTTATCAAACAATCTGATACGAGTATATCAATTTGTTTTCTGTATATTTGAGACTTGGTAACAAATGAATTGCCTATTGAATGATTTTACACCATTTTTTCTTAGGCTGTGGAACATGGCACCAATGGAGCCAGTGGCAATATGGTCCATGTATGCAATCAAATAGCCAAGTAAACACGGGCGTAGTTAAACACACTTGCTTTAGGTATGGAGTAAGAACATGCAAAAGAACCCGAACCTGTCAACCATGTGTCGGAAAGCGAGACACAGAAATCAACGAATACAAGAGAAGCGGTTTTGGTTTTCCTCCTCAACCTCAACAATGTGTCGGTATATCTATCCAACATAAATCCGAACAATGTTGTCTGACGAGAGGTAATACTTTAGTGCTCAGCATTAACGTAACTAGGTTTGAGGCAGACGAGGCAGTTGCATCGGCAAACGTTATTATTGTTATCAAAGCTTATTTACATTTAAAACCGTCTAATCAAATCTCATATTATTAATACATTTATTAAACACCTTAACATGTCTCGTCCTGAATTCTAAACGTACTCGGTATTTACTGATTTTGTTATCCTTCTATTACCTAAAATCGCAAATATCAAGAACGCATACTAGCAAGGGTGGGTGGTTTATCTAGCATAAATAGATTTATATATAAAGTAGTAACGTTGTTCTAGGTTCTTTGGAACGTCTTTTTCTTTAAACATTGGAAAACCTTACGTAGTATTTCATAAAAATTACTGTCGCCTAGCTTTTCACGAAGAGTGAACCTATAGATATATGAGCCTGGCCATGGGAAAACTGGTCTTATCACAAAAATTAAAATTGTGCTACAGAGCCAATAATGTGCTCAAGATTAAAAGGAAAATGTGCTGAATTCAAATCAGTCTTTTTGGTCTATACCTGCAAGGAAAATTTGTTAAGACACAAGCCATGGCTCATTTGAAAGGTCTCCTTGTGCTTTTTAAAATAAACAAAAAATCAAAATATTGAAAAAATCTGTGATAAGACCCCTTTTCCTGTGGCCTGGCTCATATATCGATTTCTCTTGTATTGATATATTTCTAGATTGTACCGCTCAATTTGGAGCATGGTCGAAATGGATACTTGGTACATGCGTTGGAGGAATTAGAGACCAGTTCGGGGGTTGTGCTATAAAGGGAAGGCAGTTGTGCACACGCACTCGAGTTTGCCCTAAGTGCCCCGCGAATCCCCTTCTTCCGGGACAATGTCTTGGCGCTGCTACCCAAACAAAGACTCAAGAATGTTGTGGTCAGATACAACGTAAGTATTTTCATGAGGTAATGGACATTTGGTGTAGTTTCAGACAAAAAACTAAGCACCCGTTGGCTGACAAGAGATAAGACCAACAAGGGGGGGGGGGGGGGTGCGGAAAAAATGTTGGGCCCCATAAACCAAAAAGTGGGCCAACATTTTGAAATTTTGAGGCTCTTTTTTCAAAAATTGACCTAAAAAAAAGGCCTAAGAAGGCCCCTTTATGACCAATAGGCCCACTTTTTGGGCTTTAAGGCCTTTTTGTCTCAAATTTATTTGGGTCCAATTTTTTTTCTGGGTCCAGCCCCCGATCCGCCAGTGAAGATTGTTAGACCATGCCCTAACGAGGAAAATAAACATAGATGTATTACTAAAGGTCCATGTGCAGTATGGCAAGTGATTTTAGGCAGTCATATCTTTCACCATGAGTACTTTCTGGCCATAAATATAATGTTTTTTATCAAAACAATATGTTTTCTTTCAAGTGAATTCCCCATGATAGTAAAATATAAAACCAACTCTCTGAAAAATCATAGATTAGGGCCCAGCCTTGGCACTTTACAAAAAATATTAGGCTTATTTTCTCAAAAGATGATCTTGTTTTTCTCAATTTAAACGTATCGAAAGTTTCTTCTACACAATATTAACAATTTCTGAAAAGGGGATGCGTATTGAAATATGTTAAAGTTAAAAACCACATATCCCATGTTATTTTCCCATAGGGAAAACTCGTGCTATCCATTGTTTTCAGCATCATTTTGGTCATCGAAAATTGATATCTTCAAAACTAGATCACTTTCAATACCATTGTATTTTGAAGATGTTTTCGACACCTTGTTGAATAATATTTTCATGCAATAAAAATCAGAAAAAATGAGATCCTCATATAGGTTCAATATTTTGAAAAAATGTTGACATTCATAATTTTTCGAATTGTTCGATTGATATTTTTATCACCATGGGGACTTCACTGTAAAGAAAACATATTGTTTTAATAAAAACCACTGTATTTATGCCCAGAAAGTACTCATGGTGAAATATATGACTGTCTAAACTCACTTGCTGTATTGCACGTGGTCTTTTTATGTAGTTTTGAATTTCAAACTCGACAGTTTTTCGCTTATTTCATATTATCCCCGTGCATCAATTTGCAAAGACTAGTTTCCAAATTTACATTACTGAATGCATCACCGAATGCGACGCTTCCATAAATCCTTCATGCTTTCATTGATACACAGTAGTAGAAAATAAAACACCAACCTTAGCTTTCTGTTCCATCGCGGCCATTTCATTGGATAAATCGGCGAACGTAGCAGTCCAGCCTCATTTTCAGAGGTGGCGTAACCGTCATGGTAATACATGGTGAATATGTTTAGCACTGAATCCTATACATGAATATGTTTTCGATGGGTGGGTGGTTTTCACTTTACTGCCTAAAATCGCACAGATCTAAAATGCATACTAACAAGGTTCGGGTGGTTTATCTAGCATACAGAGATTCATATATAAAGTAACAACTTTGTTCGAGGTTAGCTTATAGTTTATTCAAATGTATTTCAAGAAAACAAAATCCCTGCCCTACCTCCTATCAAATATTCTGTTAAAGAACACTTGAGCTTAGATAATATGTGGTTCAAAAAGTGTCACCTAGCTTTTCACTAAGCGTGAACATATAGATATATATTGACTTTCTTTTATATTGTTATATTTTTAGAATGTACTGCTCAATTTGGACCATGGTCGAAATGGATACTTGGTACATGCGTTGGAGGAATTAGAGACCAGTTCGGGGGTTGTGCTATAAAGGGAAGGCAGTTGTGCACACGCACTCGAGTTTGCCCTAAGTGCCCCGCGAACCCCCTTCTTCCGGGACAATGTCTTGGCGCTGCTACCCAAACAAAGACTCAAGAATGTTGTGGTCAGATACAACGTAAGTATTTACATGAGGTAATGGACATTTGGTGTAGTTTCAGACAAAAAACTAAGCACCCGTTGGCTGACAAGAGATAAGACCAACAAGGGGGGGGGGGGGGTGCGGAAAAAATGTTTGGCCCCATAAACCAAAAAGTGGGCTAACATTTTGAAATTTTGAGGCTCTTTTTTCAAAATTTGGCCTAAAATAAAAAAAGGCCTAAGAAGGCCCCTTTATGACCAATAGGCCCACTTTTTGGGCTTTAAGGCCTTTTTGTCTCAAATTTATTTGGGGCCAATCAAGGAGGATTGGCTCCCAGAGTGCACCACCGATATTCTGTCCCATATATGGGTATGTCGTAATACAAAATTCGAATTCAAACAGCCGCCATTTTGTTCACTTCAACATTTAAATCGTGAATTTTGGTCTTATTTCCAAACGAAAAATTCCAAAACTCACAAGAAACGATCGAGATATTGGTTCGAATCTTTTGAACTGTTTATTTTGAATTTATAGTCGGTTTTAATTTCAGAAAATAACGACATTTCGACGTTTTCATTGTTGGAAAATATCGAGTTTCGATCCTGGGAGCCAATCCTCCTTGGGGCCAATTTTTTTTCTGGGTCCATCCCCCGATCCGCCAGTGAAGATTGTTAAACCATGCCCTAACGAGGAAAATAAACATACATGTATTACTAAAGGTCCATGTGCAGTATGGCAAGTGATTTTAGGCAGTCATATCTTTCACCATGAGTACTTTCTGGCCATAAATACAATGGTTTTTATTAAAACAATATGTTTTCTTTCAAGTGAATTCCCCATGATAGTAAAATATAAAACCAACTCTCTGAAAAATCATGGATTAGGGCCCAGCCTTGGCACTTTAAAAAAAATATTAGGCTTATTTTCTCAAAAGAGGATCTTGTTTTTCTCAATTTAAACGTATCGAAAGTTTTTTCTACACTATATTAACAATTTCTGAAAAGGGGATGCGTATTGAAATATGTTAAAGTTAAAAAACACATATCCCATGTTATTTTCCCATAGGGAAAACTCGTGCTATCCATTGATTTCAGCATCATTTTGGTCATCGAAAATTGATATCTTCAAAACTAGACTTTCAATACCATTGTATTTTGAAGATGTTTTCGACCCCTTGTTGAATAATATTTTCATACAATAAAAATCAGAAAAAATGAGATCCTCTTTTGAGTAAATAGGTTCAATATTTTGAAAAAAATGTTGACATTCATAATTTTTCGAATTGTTCGACATCATCATGAGGACTTCACTGTACAGAAAACATATTGTTTTAATAAAAATCACTGCATTTATGCCCAGAAAGTACTCAGCATGGTGAAAGATATGACTGTCTAAAATCCCTTGGCATATTGCACGTGGTCTTTTATGTAGTTTTGAATTTCAAACTCGACAGTTTTTCGCTTATTTCATATTATCCCCGTGCATCAATTGCAAAGACTAGTTTCAAAATTTACATTACCGAATGCATTACCGAATGCGACGCTTCCATAAATAGTTCATGCTTTCATTGATGCACAGTAGTGGAAAAGAATGCACAAACATTAGCTTTCTGTTCCATCGCGGCCATTTTATTGGATAAATCGGCAAACGTAGCAGTCCAGCCTTATTTTCAGAGGTGGCGTAACCGTCATGGTAATACATTGTGAGTATGCTTAGCACTGAATCCTATACATGAATATGTTTTCGATGGGTGGGTGGTTTTCCCTTTACTGCCTAAAATCGCACATATCTAAAATGCATACTAACAAGGTTCGGGTGGTTTATCAGGGGCGGATCTGGGAACCAACAAGGGGGAGGGGGGGCCCAAACTTGTGGTCTGAGAAAAAAATTTTGGGCCCCATAAACCCAAAAGTGGGCCCAAATTTTGAAATTTTGAGGCCCATTTTCTTCTAAATTTGGCCTAAAATTAACAAATAAGGCCTTACAAGGCCAATTTATGACCAAAAAGGCCTACTTTTTGGGGCCTTAAAGCCTTTTTAGGCTCAACATTTTTTTTGGGCACAATTTTTTTTTTCTGGGCCCACCCAAGGGGGGGGGGGGCGGGCCCCTGGGCCCCCCCCCCCCCATATCCGCCAGTGTTTATCTAGCATACAGAGATTTATATATAAAGTAACAACTTTGTTCGAGGTTAGCTTATGTTCATTCAAATGTATTTCAAGAATACAAAATCCCTGTCCTGCCTCCTATCAAATATTCTGTTAAAGAACACTTGAGCTTAGATAATATGTGGTTCAAAAAGTGTCACCTAGCTTTTCACTAAGCGTGAACATATAGATATATATTGACTTTCTTTTATATTGTTATATTTTTAGAATGTACTGCTCAATTTGGACCATGGTCGAAATGGATACTTGGTACATGCGTTGGAGGAATTAGAGACCAGTTCGGGCGTTGTGCTATTAAGGGAAGGCAGTTGTGCACACGCACTCGAGTTTGCCCCAAGTGCCCCGCGAACCCCCTTCTTCCGGGACAATGTCTTGGCGCTGCTACCCAAACAAAGACTCAAGAATGTTGTGACACGATACAGCGTAAGTATTAAATGAGGCCATGCACCTATGGTGTTGTTGTCAGAGACACGAACAGATGTAGCTGTAGCTTGATCAATAACATACCATCCATATACTCAAGCTCTAGATCAAATCAGATTTCCTTTTATACAACTTTTCACGATGCCTCAAATTGATTACAGAATGTACTACGCCTACTCCATGGAGAGAATGGTCGGAATGGGTATTTGGCACGTGCACAGGGTTCGCACATGACCAGTTAGGCAATTGCATTAGGCAGGGAACTCAATCGTGCACACGTAATCGAGTTTGCCCGAAGTGCCCCTTAAACGTCAATCTTCCTGGAAATTGTGCTGGTGCTTCGAGAGAAACAAAGATACAACAGTGTTGCCCTATAAAAAAAAGTAATGTAACTGTTATCATTTACTATATCTAAAAACCATTAAACGTATCGAATGTGAATAATCTTAACTACGTGGGTGTTTGATTATTTTATCATTTTTATTAAACAGCTTGTAGCAAATGGACAGAATGGGGGAAGTGGGTTTTTGGCGATTGCATAGGCGCCGTGTTCACAGCCCCAGGCGTAATTCCACGACGATGCATAACTCAGGGATGGAGAACATGCAATCGTACGAGGCACTGCCCGGCCTGTCCGGGAGACATGCGAGGCATGCGCGACATTGACCTCGACAGGAGAAGCGGGGGAATGCCAGGAAAGTGTGTCGGCGCTTCTGTTGAGCATAAACAAGAACGCTGTTGTATACCACCACCAGTACCACCAGGTAAATCACATTTGTTGTATTTTCCTCAAGTTGTAGAGAAACACACTTGAGGGACACAACAATATAAGACAAGACAGACACATCTAAACACTGCATTGACTTTAACTCATATTATCCTACACTTAGTGTACTAAATGTATAATAACATTAAAAAATAAATTTGATATCTATTGGCAAAATGAATAACCGGAGGATATCGTGATGATATACTCCGGGCGGAGGATATCGTGACGATATACTCCGGAAAACCCAATAAGCGGAGGATATTGTGACGATATACTCCGCTTGTTGATTTCCCGCCAAATTGACTCTATTTGGCATGAAATTCATTTTGCAATGATATTATACATTTAGTACACTCCTTTTAAGTGTAGGATAATAAGAACATCCTATGATTTTTTTTCAGAATATCATTTTAATCTACTCGGTGATATTGATATATGCACTCGTTCGCTTTGCTCTCTCGTGCAGATATCAATATCACCTCGTAGATAAAAATGATATTCCTCAAAATCATAGGATATCTTTTAAGTATGCCTATACCACCAGCATATGCGACTGAATTGTCCCTTTGCTAGTGCTTGATGTCGAAATTATTGAACATGTTTTCGATCAACGTCTATTATTAATAAATGGGTTCTTTACGACAACAAGATAACTTTAGTAGTATTTTACTTGGAATAGGGGTCAATGAATTCACCCATGTCGTCATGATTGCTAATATCAATTCGAAAATGACTATATCCACGCCTGCTATAAACTGTGAACAAAGCCAACATTTCATGTGTGATGTCATAACGGTGGGCCGAAGTAATAGCGGACCATTAAATGAATATTCGAAAAACCTAGGGCTAGGTACACACGTTTTCTGTACCCCGAACAACCGAAGGGAGTGGGTGGTTCGAAAGCTTTTCGTCGATATGACACCTGCTTTTCGGTCTATATTTCTCAAATATAAAGTAATTACTTTATAATAGGTAATTCGGTTTTCTCCCTTTCTTGCCCGGCCTATAAGTCCCGAAGATAAGTCCTATTTGCAAGATAAGTGAAAAATAGATTTTCAAATGACAGCGGAGTTATTTGAGAAAATTCCATTGGATTATTTCTCATTGATTTCCAAAATCAGGTAGATTAATGGGAATGTTCTCCTCACATTCTTTTACCTCAGAATCTGAGTGGACTTGCAAACCATGGTGATATTAACAGTTAACTAGTGTTTGCTCTACCATTATACAATCGTGATAGCAATGTGTAATGGTTGCGTGAAGAGTTGGGCACAATTATCACAATACCATATTCGATACTCGAACTTTTGACGATGCAAAAGCGAAACGTTCTTTTTATTTTGACGAATATATTTGCAACACAAGTTGAAATATATGAGTCGGATGTCTCAAATGCACAGTACCAATTTTGAACACTTCGTTTATAGGTCCAACAACAACTGTAAAACAAGAACCACAATGTAATAAGTGGGGGCCATGGGGACCTGTCGAAGAGACAGAATGTACTTTAACCATATTCATGCAGAAACGTCAAGCGGCAGCCATAGTTTGCCCAGCTGGTACTTATGGGACCAAGAGGCTCACACGAAGGCGCGTGTGCCCACCGTGTGTTATAAACAATAACCCGTTAGCTGGTAAATGCGAAGGAAAGAACGAGGAGGTAACGTTGAAAGTGTGCTGTGTATCCCCTGCAACGACACCCAAGGCGACAACCACCGTGAAAGCGACAACCACCGTTAAAGCGACAACAACAGCAAAAGAAGGATGCAAATCGGTATGGTTTTGGTTGAAAGAGATAGAATGCCAAAGCGAAGGCGACGTACGCAGTTGTTATGAGTTTAATAATGTGGCTCAACCCGGCAAACGTCAACTACCAAATTGTCGTATGGGATTTAATGTATGTACGCGAGAGAGGAAGTGTAGACCATGTTTGCAACCAAATGGCGATTGGATTAAAGGAATATGTGAAGGGCCCACTATAGTTAAATCTTATCCGCCTTGCTGCTTACCAGGTTTGTGCTTAATTTTCATATGGATTCGTGCTGAACGACTCGCAGAATAGACTTACTTATCATACAAAATAACGTTTTACAATTGTATGATTTTTATTTGTAAATTACACAAGAACAGCTCAATACACTGGGCGACATTTTAAACATTAGGGGGGTTAAGCTATACTTGTTTACAACGTGTTCGTAAACGTTTAGAATTATGGTCGTATAGGGATTCGTTCTTCCCTTGGTATTACGTAGCTGCCAAATTGAGAGTAAAGGTATAAGGGAAACAGTTGTAATTCGTTCACTGTAAATATCAATTGAGGAGAGGACAGTAATCAATGGGGTCATAATATTACACGTAACTCACGTACAAGTTCTCTTAAAACGTGTAGCTCCCCTTCCCTATTATTTACATTTAATTCGTTGACCTCAACTAAAAGGTTAAGCATATACTGCCTCGGTTAGTATGTTTGTTTTTGCTCTCAGGTTCGTTATTAAGCTTGAATTGTTTTATATTGTCATGTATTGAGTCCACCTGCTATGGCTCAGTATCGCTTGGCCCTGTATTCGATTCCCGGTTCAGATGAATTGTTTTTGCGTTTTATAATTCTGGGTGTTTGACTAAGTGGTCCACATCTCGTAGAAATGATGTTTAGTTGTACGTGCCGTGTGTATCAGTGCACATGGAAGAATGCGGGCTAGACTCCTCCTATCTGGGGTTACTAGCTCTGTCTTCGATTGGAAAATGCGTAATATACGAATTATATCAATGAGGTATTGCTCAAAGGTTCCAAGAGTTGCACGATTGACTCATTGGTTTCATATCGAGTTTTAATGATTTTAAAGAAGAGTTGAATATGTTGTCATACATGGTTAGTCTAGATAAGATATTTCAAGGCTACCTCGCTCTGAGTTAAAGGAGACGCTAGAGGCAACAATCATACACTGCACCATTGCACCATTAAAGTTCTAAAGAATCAAAGTACCTGGTATTTTAACCCGCTTGGTTTGTCTTTTATCACGGAACACCTGGTTATTTTTATGAACTTGTAATTATGTATTTATTTCAGTACTCGCGCCGGACCCTGGCAAATAAAGATAATACTCACAATCAATTTGTAAGTATGGTTCATTCCTTAGACACATACCGGAAAAAATATTACTAAGTCAATCAATTATTTCTAATAGAATAATTCAGCACCATTTATGTTTTTTGGGTGTCATATTCATAAGTTTTTCTTCTCATGGCAGTATTTCATTGTCTGTATTTGTTTATTTATATTTCAATGACTATATTTTATGCTTGTAGGGTTGTAAAGAGAGATATAACGGACATCAAATAATCTAGTCATGATCAATCAATGAAACAAACAAACAAACAAACAAATTCCAAAACAAACATATGAACAACAAAAATGAACTTAATAATACTGAGTACTATGTACAATAATCAGAAAAGAATAAATGATTTGCAATATAAGCGAAATGTTTTTTTAATTTCGATGTACTTTACTGGATGAATACCCTCCCGTGTTTTACTTCAGCTGCAAATGTAAGTCACGTTGATTAAGAAAAAGAAGTTTGCGCGGATACAAAATATATTGAAATGGAGCACTACTTTCTTCGCATACATTGCGAAGGTGTGTGAAGTGCACAATGTCGAATCAACATCTTCACCTAAATAATACACGTACAGAACGTTCAATAAGTATTGCTAATTTTGCTTTAACTTTTTTTCTTCATCAAACTTTCACAACATAAAGACAACATATATTTGCTCTTATTCTCGAAAATATTCCTGTTAATCAACTAAGTACGAGGGGTGATCCAAAAGTCTTGGACGCCCTGCTCGAATTTTGTTTGTTTTTGATAAAATTACTTTAAACTCTCCAATAATTAAGACCAACAACCTAACTACTTTGTGTAATAATTCCATGGTGACATGAAATGATATATTTTATGCAGTTTTCTAGATAGTTTTTAATATAGGGACCCTGCTACCCGCTATCAACGTTTATATAGACAGGGACTATATTATCTCGGGGCGGACTTTAGATACCCAAAGATGGTCTCTAACTAGTCACAACGGACCATATTTTCTGGTTATAAATGTCCAACTAGTCACACCGGACCATATTTTCTGGTTATAAATGTCCAACTAGTCACACCGGACCATATTTTCTGGTTATAAATGTCCAACTAGTCACACCGGACCATATTTTCTGGTTATAAATGTCCAACTAGTCACACCGGACCATATTTTCTGGTTATAAATTTCCATGGATATGTATATAAATGAAGTCTCTGTGTAATTAATAGTTCATTGACATACAAGACTGTTCATGTAATACCCAAAACCAAGGGAATTTATTCTTTCACAAACAAAAAATCAAACGGGCGTATTGGTGCTATATCTCTAGTAATGATTCAAGTCAGTGAATCGAGTGCAATTACGCATGCCAATATGCCCACGTATTCTAATATAAGTTATTTAAAATGTATGACAAATGTAAAAAAAATTTTGTTTATTTTTTTTTCTCAATATATAGATTTTCATTACACAAGACAGGATACAACTGTACAAGTGATTTGCTATGAGCCGTTGTTACAAAGGAAATAGAAATACAAAGAATACCAAATTCGAAACACAAACCCATTCCAATCACACGACATTCATTCATATCATGCATACCACACACATACAATCACTCATCAAAAATATTTTCCAGTCTGAGACCTTCGTTTAGATAGGCTTGAAATCCAACACAAGTCAGTGGCATGTTGGAATAATAAGCTCTATTTATATCCAAAGAACATGTGTACGTTTTATAGATTTTATTACATAAAATATAACATATTACAATTTAACCTTTTTGGCATGGGGAGACGGCTATCTATCGATCAGAGCTTGCGTAATTGTATACCAAAGAAACGATTACGTAATCATGAGATAATGTTACGTAATGACAGCGCACAATCATGATTATGCAACCTTATATAATCATTAATCTTTGGGATAAGAGCCCAAAAACAAGTATACTCGTGAACGGAGTTTAAATAAAAGCTCTGTGAACGATAGGATACGCCGTTCCCCCAAAAGGGAAAAGTTAAACTTTCTAAAATGTTTCCTATCGAAATACCCAACAATGACGTGTTGCTCATTTAAGTGTATATCCTTTTCTCTCCATTGATCTCCGAAATATTTTAAAAGCATTTTGATGTTCTTGCACTCCCAAAAACGGTGGACAATCGTCTCTTTTTGGCCGCAAAAATCGCATTTATCATTCGTACGTATACCAACAAGTTTAAGGTACAAATTTGAGGCATAAATATTATTAATAATCTTATACTGTAATTCCCAAAAAGCGTGTTTTTTTGTTATGTCATATACCATTGAACACATATCTCGAGCGTTAACATATATTTGCAACATAAGCGCTTAACGCTTATTGATTCAGAAAAACATTGTTGATTGATGTACAATTGAATCATTTTTGTATTCAAATTTTTGATGTGGACCGTTTTGTTACCCATAAAAAACTGTTCGATGCTTTCAGTATATCCAGTTTCACACTTCGCTTTCGGATCGCTTTTTAAATTGATTTCCATTTCTTTGGTATGGAAGATATTAGGCTAATGTAATCTAAAAAGTTTATGCCCACCTGGAACTTGTATTTAAAATCCTTCAGTTCCATAAAACTAGTTGCATCAGAGAATATTAGTATTGTAGGCATTTGTGAAGCTGGGAAGTATACGTATGATGTGATTGACCAACGATTTTCTCTTGGTGATGATTTTCATCCCCCATTATACAACCCAAACAACAGGGGATTATTAATTTATGTTAGAAGGGAATTATTATTAAAACCAAGACCTGACTTAGATACTACAGACTGTATCTGGGCAGAGATAAAATACAAAAACACCAACATTTTATATGGGATTTACTACAAATCACCCAATTTAGATAGAAATCAAGAAAAACTAGTTTTTGAAAATGCTGAATATACTTTTAAGCAAGCCTCTAAATGTCAGAATGATTATTTACTTATAAATGGAGATTTTAACTCCAAGAACAAAAAATGGTGGTCTGATGGGCTTACTGATTCAAATGGGGAAAGACTAGATGAAATTTTGATTGATAGTAACCTTGTCCAAATTATTCATGAAGCCACGAGAATAACCAACCAATCACGATCATGTATCGACCTATCCATCCACCAATGCACCAGACCTTTTAAGAGAAACTAAAGTTACACATCCAATAGGCTGCACTGACCACTCGACATTGGAACTAACATTTCCAATGAAAATTGTAGGGACCTCAAAATATCAAAAACGTCTTTGGAAATTTTACCAATCTGACAGAGAAGAGATAAACAGACAAAGGACAAGGTGCAATTATTGGCAAATATCCCTATGGTCAAAATGAATCATTCGTAGGTGTTATATGAAGAATAAAATGTCATATAATACTTTGGAAAATATTAGAGTGCTCAGACACACATAAGCTGAGATAGGGATCATTTCGTTCAGTAAGGCTGTATTGACTTACATGGGGCTGTGCACCATTGACTTAACATGAGGATATCAGCAGATCCCAATAGAGGCCATTGGTTTCCATTGATTATCACAGAAATACCAAAAATGCACTATATGACCTGAATCGATTGCAAACTTAATAATTTCACAATACGACACAAATGGTTTATCTCATCAAATGTGCAAATACGAAGTTTGCAATCGATTCAGGTCATACTTAAAATTAAAAGATTGTACATTTTTTCATCATTTCTTTCCCTACAAAATGGTTATAGAAAAATGCTCCAAAAACAACTTTTACACTTATCAAATATCATACAAGTTTGTAAAACCAAAGATTATACTATTATATTTCATTATGTAGTAACATATTTGGATAAGATGCCGGGATGCGTAGGATGTAAATGGATTTTGACAGACACAAAAATACTTCCTGGTTTGGAATCTATGCCTCTACACTTCATGATTGAATTATGACCCTAATAAGTGGCCTATACATCAATACAGTGCTGAATATAGGTCAACAAGATACTAGTGTGCATATAAATGTAATAATTGAAGCAGAATACTCATTTTGAAAAATCAGATGAATTATTTTTTTCCAATGGGGAGATCCCAATGGAGGGTGTATACGGTCCTTTTTGACATTAACATTGAACAAAGATATAGTGAATGTAAGGATATTGATAAATTAACAGAATCATTTACTAGAGATGTATTTAACATTTTCGAACAAAACATCCCAAATAAAATAAAAACCTTCAGTTCTAAAGACCAACCATGGATAAACAAAAACATTAAACACTTGATTAGAAAAAAATCACAATTCTATGAAAAGTTCAAAAATTCGAATAAACAGATTGACCATGACAACTATAAACTCTTAGCTCAGCAAGTGAAAGAAAAAATCACTGAAGCCAAAGAAAACTATCACTCCAAAATATGTGACAACCTTGAGACAGAAAATAATGGAAGCAACAAATATTGGGAAATCATTCAAAAACTTTTAAACAGAAAATACTACAGTGGTTTCCCCTCTTTGAAATTTGGGAATCTCCTTGCCACTACAAGCTTTGAAAAAGCGAACCTGTTTCTGTCATTTTTCACATCAAAATACCATTCTGACCATAATTTTGACAACCCACTTCCGCATTTCAATAGAAGAACTCAAATCAAAATTGCCAACCTAAATACATCACCGGAAGATGTTAACCTAATTATAATATCATTAAAAAAGAACAAAGCAGCTGGCCTAGACTATATCACTAATGAAATGATCAAACTAGCCTCTCCATCATTATCAGTTAAGCTTGCTGACCTATTTAACCTGATCTTCAAGGTTGGAAAATTTCCAGCTATATGGAAGGAAGGCAACACCATACCAATTTTCAAAAAAACGACAGAACAGCTACTGAAAATTATAGGCCCATAACTCTACTTCAAGGACTTTCAAAGATTTTTGAGACAGTTGTGCATTCAAAAATCACTGAACATATCTTTACAAATAAATTACGTTTTGCAAAACAATCCGGATTTCTAGCTGGTCACAATACCGAACTCCAAATTACGGGTATCATTGACTTCATTATAAATGAATTTGAAAAAGGGAAAGGTGTGAATGCCTGTTTCCTTGATATCAGCTCTGCTTTTGATTCTGTTCCGCACGTGTTGCTCCTCCATAAACTTGAATCCTATGGAATCTCTGGTATGACCTTATCACTCCTCAAATCCTATCTCTCAGAAAGAAAAATCTGTGTAACAGTAGACGGTGTAAAATCTACCGTCTCTAACTCCGGATATATCAACACAGGAGTGCCTCAGGGATATGTCCTTGGGCCACTCCTCTTCCTTATCTATATAAACGACCTTCCTGATGATCTACGATCAGAATGCTTCATCTATGCTGATGACACGTCAGCATATGCGTCATTTAATATTGATGGTAACCAAACTTTTGACCTGCAGCATGATCTGAACAAAATTGAACAATGGTCTGCCAAATGGCACATGCAATTTAAGGCATCAAAAAGTGCCCATATGATATTCCAACCTAAAAATATAAATAATTTTGACATAAGTCCGCTTTATTTTGAAGGGAATAAAATTCCATACAAAACTTCCCACAAACACTTGGGATTCATTTTTGACAATCGCTTAAAATTTGACATACACATAAATGAACTTGCCAGCAAGGTGCAAAAACAGCTCAGCCCACTGAAATCACTATCCTACAAATTAAAGTCAAAGCACCTTGAACTTATATATAATTCCTTTATTTTATCACACTTAGATTACTGCAGTTCAATTTATGGCTCTAGCACAGCTCAAAACCTGATAAAACTTGACAGACTGCATTGCAAAGCAGCACTCAGCTGCTCAGGGGCTCTTCATGGATCAAATACTATAAAAACTCTTAATTGTCTAAAGTGGAAGCCACTTGAATCCAGAAGAAGAGATAAAGATCGCATTATCATGTTTAAGATTTGTAAAGACATGGCACCCGATTATATAATTGAACTTTTTGACCGTTATAAATCTGAGCCAAGAAGGACTCTTAGAACTCACAGACCTTTCCAAATACCGGCAAAATCAAGCACTCGACTTAATGCGATTAATTTCTGAATGGAACAGGTTATCTCTAGAAGATAGGTCTATTCCCACCATATCAATGTTCAAAAGTAAAATCAAAAACAAAACTTTAAAATTCACTGACTTCAATACAACATCAAAACTAAATCTCGAAAACAAGAAATCATCCTAAACAGAATTAGATGTGGACTTTATTTTGAATCACAAAAGTTTGCCCATAATTTTCCTAACACATCTAACCTATGTGTCTGTGGTTAGAGTGCAACCCAAAAACATTTATATATATAATTAATTCTGCATTGCAAGCGCCATTCTACTCAAAGAAAACGCCTTGAAGAATCCCTCGAACAGTACAACCTATGGACCCCACTCAATGGACAAGAAAAAATTGAATCTCTAATTTTTCAAAATTCCCTTTCACTTGGAAAGGATTCTGATTTAAAAGAAAAGTTTGTTGAATTCGTTTCTACTATAACTTAATTCATTTCTTCCTGATTTACTGTTGGCATTTAAGCTTACTGGCACTTACTCACTCGCCTTCCTTAAATGTTGTTTTATGTATAACTTGAAATGCTAGCCTATAATGCAAAGTGCGCTAGGCAGCAACTACTGTAATTACTGTATACCTTTGAATTGAATAAATATATAATGAAATGAATAAAACTACCATTCCTATTTAGTAAATCATTTATTTGAACAACCCCTATTTCGAAAAGGCTTTTTTGAAATATCTGTTTACCCTCCCTAAGTATGTATTTATTATGCCATAGTATCTCGCCCAAAAAATCACTATGACTTTTTCTATTATTGCAGACATTTATGGGTAGTTTATTGACTAAATTACACGAACAGGCACATTTCTAAAAAATCCTTACTTGAAAATACTTAACCGTTAGATTCCATATACAAAAAATTAAAATGTGTTGGTTAATGCACGCACATTGATGAATACTGGTTATCAGTGGTGTAGCCAGGATTTGGTGACCGGGGGTTCTATTTTTATGTTATTCACAAACCCTTCATTAGGGTTCCTCAAATAATGCAATCGATTTTTGAAAAATTGCAGATTTAAAAAACGGTAGTTATGCGGAAGATCTTGAAAAATGCGATAGTTTACGGTATATTTTGAAAAAAATGCGGACATTTTTTGCGGTAGATTTTTGGAAAAACTGTAGTTTTGCGGAAGATTTTGAAAAATGCGACCTAGTTTTAAAGTAGATTAAAAAAATGTGGTACTTTTTGCAGTAGATTAAAAAACTGATTTCGCGTAGATTTTGACACACTTCAATGAATAAATAATTAAATATGTTTTTCTAACACAGCATTCATGGAACTCTTTCATAAACAGACGAACAATTTGAAAATTTCAGTGTTTTATAACTACAGCAGAACATGGTAGTTGAACACTGTGTTTTTGCATCACGATACTGCCCACAGTGTGTTGACTGATGACACACCAGCTTACTTAGTTACTTACTAAGTACACAATAACCACTGTCACAGACCTGCTGAAACCTTTTTATTTTCGGGTTGGTAATGGAATATTACGAGGGCAATGCGGGAAGAATTTCCAAATAATAACGGTAGTTTGAACAAGAATACTGTTAATTTCAGCAGAAATACGGTAGATTTCTAAATACTTACGGTATATTTTACGGCCGTTCTTATAGAAAAAATCGAATTTTAATAAAATATTTTACGGTAGATTTCGGTAAAATTACGGTAGATTTTTTACGGTCGTTTTTACGGGAAAATGGTAATTTTTTCACAGTAGTTTGTCATTTTTTACGGAAAAACGAAAAATTTAACGGTAGATTCCCGTAAAAATACGGTAGGTATGCAGGTATGGTATTACTGATGAAAATATCTATTATTCAAATAAGTGGGTCTCGGTTATATTATTTTAAAAAGTTAAAAATATTTTTTTGGACGTCCCCAGAGCTCAGTAGTTAATTTTTATTATGTAATTTATTCGCTAAACATCATGACATTAACATAAAAATGGAGAGCAAGTTAGCTGGAACGATAACAATTTGAATTCTATACAATCTCTTAGATGAGTGGAGTGTATCTGAAAAAAAATCATTTTTTGCAATGATTGATTTTCCTTTGGAAAAGTGATGGGTAAATAAATACTGAAGAAATGAAAGAATGAATAAATTTGAACAAATGCTTGTGTTTATAAATGATTACGCTTTTAAATAATTCATATAATATATATAAATATTTTAAATTTTAATTGAAATAACAAGACAGAGAATGATGTAGGCCTACACATTTGAAAGAAAATGTGTTTCATCAATATTACGACTATTCTAGATATTTATTCGTCAATGTTGTAAAAACGTCTGCATTGTTTTCGATAACCTTCCATAAATTCCTATTGGACCAGAACTGGCTTAAAACAAAATTCCTACAAAGCACTGATTTAACCATTGCCCAAGATGGGTTATTTTGTCCGAGAAGAATCAGCCTTTAAGTTATTTCTAAATGTAGAATCTAATGCTCTGGGGTCTTGCCAAAATTAAATCTCACCCCGTGCTTAAGGTTGCCAAACGATTTGATGGAAGTGTAACTTCACTATGACATGTTTTTAACAAAATAAGGCTCTCGTGTTCACCATAACATTTATATCAATTCATTTACTGCTCATATATGTAGTTTTCAAATAGCACAGTAATTTAATGTTTCTGGTTATCTGCATTTTTTCCGCAAAATGATATTTTGGGAAATCCTGACCGGGGGTTCCTTCGAACCTACCGAACCCCCGCTGCCTACGACTATGGTTATGGTTCTTACACACTGAAGTACAAATGATTTGCTTATACTCTCCACCCTTCCTTGAATTTGGTTGCTATGGCAACCTCTTAGTCAACAGTAAAAACTGATAACCCAAAATATTATGTGTAAACAATCAATCTAATTTCAACTTTAGCTGTGGCCACCTTAACCTAGAGTACGCGACGCAATATAAATATCTGGGATTGAAGCTTAATGAACACATGGACATGACGAAATCTGCAACAATCCTTGCAAAGTCAGGATCAAGAGCCCTGGGAGCAATAATGGCAAAATCACGAGCCAACGGTGGTTTAAGCTATGAGGTTTACACCCATTTATTTGACTGTCTAGTTGCACCAGTGTTACATTATAGTGCCGGCGTATGGGGAACAAACAAAACAGTAGGCGCAGCCGCAACTATTGTACAGAACAAAGCCCGGCGTTTCTACTTAGGTGTCGGCCAACACGCGTCAAACATAGCTACACAAGGAGATATGTGTTGGGTCTCAGTTAACACTAAGCAAAAAGTGGAAGCAACGAGATTGTGGTGTCGACTCAAAAACATGTCAGAACACAGAATAACAAAGAAAATTCACCTTTGGGCTCTGACGCAGCATAACTCGTGGGAATATAAAATGCAGCGTTTGTTACGAGAGAACAACAAACCAAATCTTATCACTGATGGTGAAATCTCCGGTGTAAGATCTATACTACAATCAAGACCATCGTATTGAGGTCGAAGCCGACGAATGGCATGCCGCACTCTGGAACGACCGTCATAATCCTGAAAACGGTAATAAACTCAGGACTTACCGATTACATAAAACACAAATGGTAACGGCGGAGGAATATGTTAGAATTCCTATGCATAAACATGAACGGAGCAATCTAGCCTTAAGAACAGGCACTCTTCCCATTAACGTTGAACTCGGACGGTATAGCGGTATCCCCCTTAATGAGCGACTGTGTACTTGTTGTAATAGAAATGCTGTCGAAGACGAGATGCACTTTCTTATAGACTGTGACTTTTATACTGATTTGAGAACAACACTCTTTGAAAAAGCAAAACAGTCTGTACACGATTTTGATTCACTACCAACACTTGTTAAATATTGTGTAATACTAACTACCACTTCTTTACAACGATTACTTGCTAAAACCATTGGACACATGATAAGGAAAAGAAGAGAATTATTTTAGTAATTACAAGTTTTAAGTCTCTCATAAGCCGATGCCGGCTGGGCTGCTGTTTTAATTATTTATTGATTTTATATGATTGTAAAAAATTCAGCGTGAGACTCTAATAAATATATAACTAACTAACTGTAAACTAAAGGTAAATGGTGAATATATATTCTGTAAAATAATTCAGATTAAAATGTCAAGAAATAAAATACAAAATGAGAGCATTTTGTAAGAAACTTTCTGATCGGGCCTCGTACGTTGTCACAGTGTCGCCATCGAGTTTGCAATTGATTCAAAATTCTAAATCACATTCCCCGTCCGGGCAAGTTAATGAAGTTCGCACACAGTTTAAAGCCAATTCAGCAACGTTTTGAAGAACGCAGTGACAATTGATTTGGGTGTGATAGCTATTTTTGTTGATTCGTTCATTTATAATCCTCTTAAGTACGTTGTCACTCGTTCTGATTGCAGAACGTGACGATCACCAGCAAATTTTGAGCATGTTCTAAGTTCTGGAAGACCAACTCGTTCGAGTAGTTTCAAGAAGTTTGTAAACATATCTCAAACGGTTCTTAGTACGTCAAATCCGTTCGTGCACAGTTTATGCCCGTTTTCGAGAACGTAGTGAGAACTAGTTTGGTGTGATAGTAGGGTAACCCATCAAAACTACGACAGAGTCAAATCAACGTAAACCCGACGTGCGATCACCATGGGTCCTTTCTGCGGTCTGGCAACAGCAGAAATGAAAAGATTATAACTCCGAGTTATAATTTATACGGCTACCCTGCTACCCTGTAAGTATTATCGACTTCATTCTATGTACAGGGTGATCATAAAGTAAGATCAAAAGTGCTCTAATTTTTGTAAACATCAATGAATGTGGCTCGGTTTATCACAGAATATTGATCTAATAATTATGCAAACACAATTTAAATTTCAACACGTTACATTTAATATTCTGCGTTCTTTGGTAACAATAGCAATACATGTCGAGGGTAACCGGAGCAGTCAAAAAAGAAAGGAAAAGTTATGATGTTTTTGTTTTCTTAATGGTTTTGTTACATTCAAAGCATTCTTGTACATTCTTATTTTCTCAGATGTTTATTTTAGGTGTTCTATATGTGTGTGCTACTAGTATTATATTCAATATTATATTGGTGATGTTTAATCCAATTCATGAACACATGTCTGAATGCCATTCGCAAGAAAAGACCAAAGTTGGTAGATCACTTCATCCTGCATTGGGATAATGCACTTTTGCATACAACAAAAATAACACGTCTAAGCAATTGGACAGTGTGGGGATCAAACAACTAAACTTAACTGGGAATAGGCCCTAACTGACCAGACATGGCCCCCTTAGACTTTTATTTCTATGGGGACTTAAAATCTGAATTCTGGGGAGAGTTTCCAAAGACAGAAGAAGATCTGGAAAAGGTGGTATTACCCCCCTATCACACCAAACTAGTTCTTACCCGTTCTTACCAGTCCTAAGAAAATGTCGTAAAACGGGCTCAATCTGGCTGTGGTCGGGAAATATGTCTGAAATAATTAGCTTCTTCGTTCTTAAACAGTCTTCAATACGTCCATCTCGTTTGCAGTTCGTTCAGGTCGCACCACGTCGGTGTGCAACGTCGTAAAACGCGTCCCTTAGTCTAGAAGGTCAACATGACCTGATTACAGAACGGTATGGTCGCCATCGAATTTTGAATCGATTCAAAATTCTAAAATCACATTCCCGTCTGAGAACGTTCATAAAGTTCGTAAATAGACCTTAGAAAGTAGCAGCTACGTTCATTCCGTTCGCACACAGTTTAAAACCAGTTTTGAAGAACGCAGTGGCAACTTGTTTGGTGTGATAGCTATATTTTTGCTAACTCGTTCATATGCAGTGTTAAATACGTTCTTAATCAGTTTAAACCCGTTTGCAATTAGTTCTACCTCGTTCTCAACACGTCCTCAGACAGTTCAACTCGTTGTTAAAACGTCCCTAGTAGGATTGAAGTACGACGGTTCCGTTCGTAGTACGTCCAGCTCGTCGTTAGTACGTTGTCACTCGTTCTAATTGAAGAACGTGACGACCACGAGAACATTTTGAGCATTGTCTAAGTTCTAGAGGACCTACCCGTTCGAGTACGTTCGATGAAGTTTGTAAATAGATCCCAAACGGTTCTTAGTAGGTCCAGTCCGTTCGTACACAGCTGAAGCCCGTTTTCGAGAACGTAGTGAGAACTAGTTTGGTGTGATAGTAGGGTTAGACAGAGTGCTTGTGACGAGTGGAGGTGGCTTCAAACATGTGTTCATGGTTTGGATTAAATGTCACTTAAAATGTGTTGAATATAATCATCTAAAATGAACATCTGAGAAAATATGAATGAACAAGAATACATTAAATGTAATAGAATATGGTGGAATTTCCAAAGTATAAAACCATTAAGAAAGAAAACATCACAATATTTTTTTCCTTTTTTGACTGCTCCGGCTACCCTCAACATGGGTTTCCATGGTTACCATTGAACGCAAAATATAAAATATTACAGGGTGAAATTTATTTTGTGTATGTATAATTATTAAATCAACATTCTTTGAGAAAATGAACCAGATTCATTAGTGCTTACAAAAATTAGAGCACGTTTGATCTTATTTAGTGATCACCCTGTATATCCATACTGCCTATTTATCCTGTCATAAAATTAAAAACTTTGTCAAGGTAGAACTTTCAAATAAATGTTAGTAGTTGCTGTATGTGTAACCTCTGTCCTCTGAAGATTTCAAAGCTCTTGGAATTACAGTTTTCGGTGTACTCTACATTTGACAAAAAGTAGGACATCATTTTCAGGGAACTTTCTCATGTTTAAAGTCAATGGCAGGTTTTGTGATTGAAAACCGTTTTTAAGTAACTAAGTAACTCAGTGCCTACCTATGTCTTTGTCTGAATAACTTAAGGTGCCGTGGAAGTTAACATGAAATGACAAAACAGGAAGTGAGAAAGCCATGCTGGATTTCAAACATTTTTTGAACCACATTATGTTTGGAAAGGATAAACATTGCACAGCTAGGAAAATCTCTTTCTGTCAAAATTATTTTCTAGTTATTTACTAGGTACGGTGTAGTTAAGGTGCCGTGGAAGTTAATACGGGAAATGACAAAACAGGAAGTGACAAAACCATCCTTGATTTCAAATATTTTTTGAACCAACATATCAGAGTTCTATTTTGACCCCCAGTCAGTTAAACTAGTTCCACATAACATTTACATGACCATGATCGCAATGGCCATGGTCAGAATGACCCTAAACATGATGAAATAATTTTTACAGCCCTAGGCCTATACAAATGTGACTAAAAATAGCTAAAAGTAGGAGCTTGGGAATGGTTACGGAACAGAATCTTTTGAATTTTTCAGAAAATGTGCTAAATATATTGCTCTAAATGATACAATCTTTGGAAATTTGATATAATTCGTTGAAAAATGAAAAAATAAAAAAAACTGAATTGAAAAGCGATCTATTTTCCTGTTTATCATCGCCATTTTTGTTTCAGACAATTTTCTAACATTTCAAAGATTGTATCATTTAGAGCAATATATTGAGCACATTTTCTGAAAAATTCAGAAGATTCTGTCCAGTGACCTTTTCTATGCTCCTACTTTTAGCTTTTTATTCAGTATCCCATTCAGAGGGCTGAAAAAGTTATTTCTTCATGTTTAGGGTCATTCTGACCATCTACATTGTGATCCTAGTCATGTAAATGTTATGTGGAACTAATTAAACTGACTGGAGGTCAAAATAGAACTCTGATATGTTGGTTCAAAAAATATTTGAAATCAAGGATGGTTTTGTCACTTCCTGTTTTGTCATTTCCTGTTAACTTCCACGGCAACTTAACTACCTAGTAAATAACTAGTAAATAATTTTGACAGTTTGACAGAAAGAGATTTTCCTAGCTGTGCAAAGTTTATCCTTTCCAAACATAATGTGGTAACAATTCACTGTTGGAGTACAGGGCCGTGGCTCCTTTATTCTTCGTGAAAGTGGCTATAACTCAAACATAATCAAACGTAGAAATTGCTTCATAAACAGACACGTAATCTAAAAAATGAATCATGTATTTCATACAAATAAATATATTACAATAAATAATCACAAGAATACACCATGGCTTTTATTCTCAATCTAAATATATTTCTAATGTTTTGAAAATAGAAAAGTATTGCAAAATGCGTTATACTTTTTTCTCGGCAAGGTAAAATGCTTCGAAGTATGTATATGGAACATGTTTCAATTTCACAAATCCAACGCTTTCAATCATTTTGGGCAGTTCAGTTTTTTCCTCGTATTCCCTCATGTATGGCTCTGGTCCGTGTGGTCCTGTCGTGTTCCATCGGTAGCCCCATGTCTGCGAGGCGACGTTTACAACTTGCTCAACGGGATCATCGTGGAATGGAACTAAAATTAGTTCAACGGTACTATGTTACTGTGGGGTAACCTTTAGGACGACTTAATAGTTTTCATAAGTAACATCCCATTTTTAACACGTCATACAATCGAAAGTGTTCGATGTGTTCTTGGTGATCGTTTTGATGTAAAATGTAGCGATGAAAAATCACTAATGTATACAAGAAACACAACTGCGTAGCATGTTGGATTTTTCTGCGAGTACCAAGATTCATGTTCTTTTAAAATATCAAATTGAATAGATACTACCGCCAATATTTACCAGGGAACACGTCGTGCATTTTTGGTAGGTCGTGTTGAGAAGGGGTGTGCACGTTGACGAGCAAATATAGATTATACCCTTTCAGCCATCTTGAAAAAGTATACCAATTAAAGGCAGAATACTAAATTTCCGATCTTGACTTGCACATACGATGACACCTTTAATTGTCACTCATTTTCTTCATACTAAAAAGCTGTATTTTCTCAATATACAGTAGAAATATGTAAAGATACATTTTAAAGTATTATACTACGTTACCTTCAAATCCGCTCATTACGCCCCCGGGTTTCAGAACACGGAGTGTTTCTGAGAGAAATCGTCTGGCGTTAACGGCAGGCATTTCGTGCAATACATATGTATATTGAACTATGTCGAAATGGTTATCAGGCCAGCTAAGATCTTCACCATTATCTTGGTAGAACTTAACGTTCTTTACACCCAGTTTGTTGGCCCAGAGTCGACAGAATCTAAAATATTCACATTATATCTATAGCTGTTTACTAAACCCAGACATCCGATAATGTTGGTTAGCTCATATAATCTTCCCATGGGGCTTCTTGGAAACCTATGATCGTACTTACTTGACCGTTACCTGGACTTGTTTTCTTTTAACGTATACAAACTGTTTTTAGCTCTTCCATGGTTAGTTTCATTTAGTTGACAATATACAGGTTTAAATCCCACTTAGGTAGGGGTAGTTTATTTCAAAGAGTGTACAGTTGTAACAAAAAGAGTACATTCTTCTTCTGTTGTTTTTAAAGAATGGACACCCGGCAAGCAAAAACCAGTGTGGCACAAAAGACGATTAACAATTTTTGATAGTTTCCATCATTAAAACAATATCGGGTGCCACTTTTTGACAAGTATTATCTCAGCAACTGATCAACCAAATTCAATGAAAATTTGTACATAATAGCCCAAGAGTATCGGTAGCAAGGTATAAAAATATGAAAAAGATAAAGTAAAGGTTATTATGTGAGTACTAAGAAATTCAAGATAGCATGTCATAATAGCCCATACCGGAGAAACGGATTGAGAACTTTATAACGTTTCTACCAAAAAATGGGAAGCGATTTGACAAGTAATTTCTCAGCAATAGATAAGCCAAATTATTTGAAAACTTTACCCGAGGCACTTTAGGGTATCTTCTGCTAGTGCCATAAATATGTAAGAGATTGATTTCATATTATGTGTGTATTTTAGAATTAAAAATAACCAATATCAATGTATAAGTCACTTATTAATCCATTTCCAAGCAAAAATACTTTTCCGTATTTATTCTAACAATATCACCTCCAATGAATTTGAGAATGAATTGGATTTTGGATATTTGGGATGAATGAAAAGAATTTATCAGGCATCACTCGGGTCCCATCGAACGCAGTGAAGAACGAGCGTGCGTAGATGATAGCTGGTACAAACACTATAGAAGTCTTATATCAGAACTCCGATATGGGACTTTTTGACATGCTATTTTGAATTTGTTAGTTCTCACAGAATATCCATTTGATCTTTTTTATATTTTTACAACTTGCCAATACTACTCTTAGGCTACTTCATGCAAATTTTCATTGAATTTAGTTTATCAGTTGCCGAGAAAATACTTGTCAAAAAGTGGCTCATTTTTGGGACACCTGATATACTCGTCTTTTATTACTGTGTATTCTTTAAAATTAAACAAGTCATTATTTTGTGTTTCTACTCGCTGTAATAAGCTAAGCTAACTTACAAATTCTGTAATTGGCCTGCTACATGCAGCGCACTGAAGTTGAGGAAATTACACCCCACTCACTTATGTAACCCATTATTTCACCCTAATACCCAGTACTCATGGTTTATCCAGTACACAATTAGAATGGGAAACCACTGAGAAAAACAGGGTACATTTAAAATAATAGATTCACCTGATATAGGGGGCAGCAAGATCGACTCCAATGACCTCGGCATCAGGGAAGACTTGTGCGAATCCTAGAGCAGAGAAACAGTTTCCGGTTCCAACATCTAAGATTCTTTTTGGTTTTCTATCTCCATGGAATCGCTTGATGGCTGGCACTAAGTTGTCTTTGTTAAGGAGGTTGAACTTGTTTTTCCCAAGGTATGAAATGCGGACAGTATGCCCGTTTAGATACCCGCCTGGTAGGAAGTGCACAAAGGTCTTGGCGTAGTGATATGGTATGGAGATGGGTTTAGTTGCGGAAGGTGGAAGAACGTCAACATCTTGAGCTGGTCCGCTGAAACTTGGAGTTGTATCAGTGTAATTCTTGAAGAAGTCTACGTAGGCGGCAAGTGTTGCGTCAGTGCCACCGTGTCGGAAAGCTTTTACGTAAACATATGCTTCAAATGGCGTCTCTGGACGGAAGGCGTCTTCGACCGAACCGAATGTAGGGGGTTCCGGTGCAAACTCTGGAACTCGTGCCGTGAGCAGCATCTCAAGGAAGGTTTCCATATCAGCAAACCATTTGATATCAGACGCATCCCAGTTAATACCAAGAAAGTCACTTACCAAGTCAGTTTTTCTTAGAGCATCATCTTTCATTACTTTCGCTAGATAGTCATTCATGGAATCGACATCGGCACTGCCCTGTGTTGGGACGTCAAAGTCATAGCCAAACAGCTTCCATGGGCGTGCATCATTCAACTTCTTAAACTCGGCGTAGGATCGATGTACGAAGCCAGACACAGTTTTACCCTCTTTGTTTTTCAGTAAATACTGAATCTGATAGAGGGACGTCCCTCTGTAGTCGGGTTTATCTTCACGGAGAGCGACTACATTGGCCTGAACTGGTTCTCCAAAGATTCCCGTAGGGAAAAACGATGTTTGTGCATGTGCAGCAGCTAAAACGCCGGCTATGAGGACAGCCACTAGTTGCATCTCTTTGTGTTAAAATGCCTAATTCAATAAAGGTATGTAGCTTTAATACTAAACTATCTTATCTTCAACTTTTATTATCAGCGATCATAAGATTCTCAAAGCAGTTGATGCAACGTGCAACATTGTAATATACGTGATATTTATCAACCGCGTGATGTGTCCATTCCCAAATGATAAAATTGTGTAATATTAACAAAACTTGATTTAGCGTTTCTGGGTACTTTTCTGACTTCAATTTTCACTGACTGTCTTTACATGATGTGTAGAATATGTGGATAGAATTAAGTCACAAATTGTTTTGTTATATGTCTCTGCACGGAAGAAGTATGAAGGATTTAGATCGCATCACAAAGTGCAGAGAAGTGCAGAAGTTTACATACCTGGCAATTTAGTAAAACATTATTTTTCTAAGTGAAAATACTAAGTCTGTACTTATATATTATGAATATGATTTTATACTTATCATTTGTAGTAAAGTATTGGCCGTAACCTAATGTACCTGAAGGTGCCCCCAAAGTTTCATTGAAAATAATATGAAAATAGTTACTTTTATCTCAACTATGAACAGATCAAAATTGGAATTCGGTCATTTGGATTAAAACTAAGGTCATTCAGTGCATTTAAGTTTGACTACGCAAATCATTCTAAATATAATTTCAAGGGTATATTAGTCTTCATATATGATCATTTTAAGTATGTTGAGCATTCCTCAATCGATATATCAGAACATATTGAAAACACAGTTCATAAAAAACTAAAACTTAATATATCTTTTGAAAAAATTCCCGGGGAAAAATTGCCGGTCCATATGGGCCACCACTATGACGTCACACATTTCTCAGGTCGATATAGTAAAATGAATGCCTTCTAAACTAGCACTAAAACCCCTAGAACTGGCCCGGCAAGGTGGGACACAAAGGGCAACATACTGAAAACACAAATTATAAAATAACCCCTAAAAATAATATATCATATGATAAATTGAACCTTGTTAAATGTGTTCTGAACAATAGTACCATGATCACCCTTATTTTACATGAACACTAGCAATGTTCATTGAAACAAATGACTAGCCGAAACATATTTTTTCGATTATCAGACTCATTGCTTACATATCACATGTTCTAATAGTATACCCCATGAACAGATTTTTGTAAAACATATTTTAGGTTAACTGTGATTTAATTGCTTTATTGCAAATGGCACATGTTTTCTGTATCCAAATTATGTAAATAATATTTTGTAAATAATGAAAATCTAACAAATTCATGAATAAGGTAAATGAAAAAAAAGAAAATAGCTAGCTATAAATAAATGTAGTTTTACTTGGAAACTTATTTTTTGTAACTTTGTATAACATAATTCACAAGGCTGAATGTTTTGAATTATAGCAAGGCCACTTCCGATTGGCATAATAATTAAATGCAGTTTGAATTACATGTATGTTGATTAATTGTTAGGTCCATATTCTTGCTATTTCCTCTGGTTTTGCAACTCATTTATCACATTGCTATGATCCATTCTCTCGATTTTCATTGTCGACGCTGCTTTTATCTTCTTTGCTGCTAGAAAAACCACATTGGACAAATTTAGTAAAATAATCCCAAAATGAATTAATTGTGCAAAAGTCGTCCACGTCTGCTTTGTTCTTGTTGAACAAACGCCTAGAGAAAGTTTCAGGAAAGTTTTCAACGTTTTGGAAAGTGTATTTGAGCAGACAGCAGAATAGCAGATAAGATACGAACATTATTATGGCACTCCTGTTCGAAATGGATGCTAGAAATGATGGCATGTTAGGTTTTCATGGAGTCACTCAATAGGAATATCGACAACCATAAGCAAGCACTTATCAAATTCCTTTATTAAGACGGACGGGCAAAGAGTCTGGCTTGTCAGATACTTGGATAGGTTATGAAGAGAAAAAGAAGAACTTTTTCCAACATTATAGTGTTCGTTTGAATGCTTCTAATGATTCCGAACACGCAGAGAGTGCCAAATGTGCATTTCAATCGGCAGCAAAATCGTGTAAAATCTTATTGCAAACGCAGTAATGGTACGTTGTCCTCTATAATCTTCTTCAATTTCCTTCAATCATTGCAGAGATACGTCTTCGCGTCTTCAGACTTGAGTCACCTTTTTCTTCTGAAAGCATCCGAATTCAAATCCACCTGTTTTTTTTATTGCCAATCCTGGAACACCCCAAAAATGTTATGGTTGTAGTTGCTATTATATCAGAATAGCTTTGTTTTCGATTCACCTTTATCGATGGTTGTTTTGATGAGTGTGAATCGATGTCATCTCTACCCCAGGACATATAAGACCCTTGTCTGCTGTTCTAACTGTACAAATAGATATATTTAAAAGCAATATACAAAAACATCCAAATACAAGGAACTGTTGTCACGATTGGATTGGATAGACTTGGGCTTCACCTGGGTATACAAAATCTCAAGTAATGCGTCGACATTTCCACCTCGAACACTTATATTATTTTTATCTTGACATATTGGAGTAGTTTGGAGAAATAAACCGTGATCACCAAGTAGATTCATGATAGCCTATACAAAAGCTATAAAATATATCGCAAATACAAGACATACATGTATAATCATGGAAAAGAAAAAAATAGCTATATTTTGCGACCTCTCTGTTTATCATTTTATTGTCATTAAACACCCTATGCAGACAGAGCCTGTGGGAAATATTGGGTGCGGAGCAAATGAGCGGAGGGTGCGGAGCTAACGGTTATTTTTGAATTTAAATTTGGGATATTTCTGAAACTAAGCCGTTTTGGGACTTCAAATATACCAAGATATGTGTATTTGACACCAAATATCAATACAATTGTGAAAATAGTAGCGCAATTCATTCTATAGCGACGCAGTGTGCCTTAAACCTTTCCCAGACCTATATATTTTGAAATTATCCTTTTAATACTGAGTCCCCAGCATTCATAAAAAATGGTGTTCAAGGTGCACTATCTATACAAATTATTTTTGCATCTTGGAAGCCAGGCAGTATCTGTGTGATTTTATAAAAATTCGGAATTTTTTTCAGATATGAGCCCCCTCTAAATATTGGGTGCGGAGCTACGTTTATGGAGCTGCTCCGCACCCAATATTTAGAGGGGCTCATATCTGAAGAACATTTCCGAATTTTTATAAAATCACACAGATACTGCCTGGCTTCCAAGATGCAAAAATAATTTGCATGGGTAGTGTATCTTGAACACCATTTTTCATGAATGCTGGGGACGCAGTATTAAAAGGATAGTCTCAAAATATATAGGTCTGGGAAATGTTTAAGGCATACTGCGTCGCTATAAAATGAATTGCACTACTATTTTCACAATTTTATTGATATTTGGTGTCAAATACACATATCTTGGTATATTTGAAGTCCCAAAACGGCTTAGTTTCAGAAATATCCCAATTTTAAATTCAAAAATGACCGTTAGCTCCGCACCCTCCGCTCATTTGCGCCGCACCCAATATTTCCCACAGGCTCTGTCTGCATAGGGTGTTAAATATAATTCTACAATGATTGAGATGTGTAAGATAATGAATTTAAAACAGTGAATACTTAAAAAAACAATAAGTTAAAATGATATAATTGCAGATGTTTACCTGCAGTAAAGTTAATGAGTATCTACATGTTCTATATTAATACTGACATGGTTTGATTCAATTTCTTTTTTATGATGTATAACTATCTTAAACGTACCTGAAAGTCCGGATTGCTTGACTAGCTAGATAAGTCGAGTAGTTTACAAATTGTTATTTTTTGATCCTGTGATAACTGATTTGCCCAATCTAGAGAAACTGAATGAAGTGACATTATTAGTTCATCTGTTAACCACCGTACTCCTTCTTCGCTGCCCATTCGTTACAAATACATCATTATAACAACTACATTTTGAGTGTTGACCTTTGAAACCTATTATAGCGAGATAAAAAAATATGAGTCAATATTCCATTCAGAATAAATTCATTAGAGGGTTTGTAACTTTGGACTCGTTTATATTATTTTATCAAAGTGCAAATATTTGAGATTACGTTGTGCCTTGCTCTTGTTTTAATCTAAAAGCATTGATACAAAAATGGCACATAGGGTCATGACTGTCCCTAGAGCTACCTATATTAAGTTATATGTTATCGTATTGTTGAATCAACCTTGTTCATACCAAATTTAAACAAATTGGCACAAAATAAAACAGTTCATAATCTAAGGACGCAAATGAGCTAATTTTGAATTTATGAAAGTGCTTTGTGTCACATTTCATATCTCAGCCCCGGAGTTTTGATTTAAAAATATAGAGAAAATTGGAGAAGAGAGATAAGCTTTCCAACGGTGTGCTCAGATCGTGGAGGTTTGATTTAATATTAGTATAAAGAAAATGACAGAAGACGGAATAAGCTTTCCAACGGTGTACAGAATATTTGAAATCATAACAATGCACAATAGAAAACTGTACATACGAGGGGTGATCCAAAAGTCTTGGACGCCCTGCTCTATTTTTGTTGGTTTTTGATGAAATTACTTTAAACTTTCCAATAATAAAAACCAACAACCTAACTACTTTTTGTATTAATTTCATGGAGAAATGATGTATTTTATATAGTTTTCTAGATAGTTTTTAATACAGGGACCCTGTCACCCGGAACGGTATTCGCACATGGCAACTTTCAGCCTTAAATGTTAGTCTTGACCACTATATTTCTTTGAATTTTGAATGTTAAACCATGTTGGTTTACTTCCTTTGTTACTAGGCAACCAATTAATTGTGTTTTAATTATAATGTCACATATGACAATGGCCGTACATGTCAAATTCTAAGAAAATGCCATCAGACAAGCAACCCTCATTCTGGAATCATTTTTGCTGCAAGATGGTTGCTGAAATGCAGAGCACAAAAGAAATCAAAGTGGAACAAAGAATACTACAAGATATTTTCAGTATTATTGACCTTGAGCAGCTACCATATGCACGATACAGTCTATCCAAGGGAAAGATCAATACCCGGTGATTTCAGCGGGAAGTGGCGTTTCGTTCAGTGGATGAGCTGCGCGCGCACGCATAAATGTGATTATCCAATATAATTAGGGGAGGGCTATTTGAAATAGTTTTTGGTCTCAGGCGCGACCCAGGGCTGTTGTCTTAAGGACATTTCGTTGAAAATGAGCCATTCGGCTGATAATTGGTAAGAGTTTGCGATCTTATAATGTATAACTGTTACTCAGACACATATTTTGACACGATTCTGTTGGAAATAAGCTTTGAACCGAGAGATATTCACGATTGATATGCACATTTTTGATTGTGCCATTGCTTTTCCATTGCACAATCCATGTATTGATAGAAGAAACATTAATAATGCAGATTGGTTTACCTTCAATACATGGCAGACACTACATATCGGTCTATTAATACCAGTCTTAAATAGTTTTATATTTCCATCCACGGCCTGGAGCCTGGGTGTGTTTGTATCTTATGTGTATGCTTGTGCATGGACTTCTAATCACTAGCAGAATTTAACATGATGCAAACTCGACATTATAACTCATGCTGTAACATTTTGACTTCGCTGGAAAACAATAGGAATTATTTTTCTTGCCAATCAATCATGAATCAAAAATCAAAATTTCAGAATGAGCAATCAGGCAATGATCCAAATCAAGTTATAACATTATATGATATTCAGCAAGAAGTCCGGTAGAAATACAGAATATTTAAACATCAAAGCTGAAAGTTAAAAGCTAATCTGTCAATTTTCTGTCTGCAAAAGAGCGTTTACATTTGACACAATAACAGACTGAGGCTTTGAAATCTAGGATTCCCCAGGAAAATATGACGTCATACTAATTAGCATAAGGATTTCCCTATTGGTTTGGGTCGAGCCTTGTTCGAAAACACAATCCATAAATACATGCTAATTTCTAAGGAGATAGGAAGTGTATAACGTGTTTATCGATTTTGTTTAAATATTTAATCAATTATCAAATTGTTTAAGTGGATAAAGTGGTCACACTTTCTTCAATTCATAGCGAAATCGACGGATAGAAACTGACCGAATTCCCGATATCCTACCCCGTATTACTGTAGGCTATAAGCACATTGACCTACAGAGGGCGCTATCACAAACAAGTACTGCACGAACCGATAAATTCCCGGATATTGTAACGCCCTTGGTCTATCTATGGCTCCGTGTGATTTTCTTACTTTTCTCCAAGTTGAAAGGAGAGTTGAAAGAAAATGTTTTTTTACTCATTGAATGAGGTTTAGAGTAGTACTCTAGCAGTATTTGTATCATATAAGCAATGGCGGTTTCATTAATGTCTTCCATTCATTGGTAAAGTGGGATGAAAAATGTGTTCAAATTCGTGGAAAATATGTTAAAAAGTAGGTCTTAATATGTGAAGATGATGATGGCAAATGACACTCAGATTGAAAATCGAAAATTCTCTCATATCATGGCTGGTATTAGGTTGTGCACCTGCACCTAAAGTATTTGCCATATTATAACAGTTGTGACATGATTTGCTATATTTAAATACCGTTCCGGGTGGCAGGGACTCGGTATTAAAAGATATTTAGAAAAGTAGCTAAAATATATTATTTTCTGTTGAAACTTATACATAAAGTTGTTAAGATGTTGATCTTTATTATCTTAAAGTTTCATGTAATTATATTAAAAGATAGCAAAGTTAGAGCGGGGCGTCCAAGACTTTTGGATCTAATCTTTTCGTACATCTAATGTTGCGAATCGGTGAAAATATTTTGTCGTCAATTGTAACAAATTCATGCGTTATTTCCTGAAGATTTCGTTTATGGCATAATAAAACGTTATATGTTGTCAGTCTGCATAAATTATTTGTCATCTTGGAATCGTTTGCGTTACACTTTGTGTTCTCAGTTCCTGAAGGTATAGTAGGATTTATATTGGTATGGTTTCTCAGTCTCTGAATATTTAACTTCAAAAGACGACTAAATGATTCTAAAAGACAAGATAAGCTTTCAAACGATGCGTTCCATGTGTATTATGTAGCTAGCTATTTTAGACCATAACATTAAAGAGGAAGTTATGTTTAATAACTTAATTAAATAGCCTAAAAATGTCAAAATTGGCAGTTACCCTTCGCCATTTAAAAGAGAAGATAATCGCAGTTTCCTTCCAGTACCTACCCCGGAATACTTGCGCCATCAAAAAACTTTGGTGTAAAAAAATATATTGTTATACAATACATGTGTATAATTTATATTGATATCATGTATCATGCTCACATAGTTGATAATTTTTCTTAATTAAATTAATTTGAAAACGACATCTTGTCATTCCACTTAAGAGAGACCGAGTCCCTTTACAATGATGATATAACAGAATTAATATTTGGTATTTGATGGTATATATTATGTATTCTTGAATTGTATCCATACGAGCAATGGTCATGATGCTACCAGGTGGACTACTTAAACCTTCTTAGCGCACGTTCCTGGAAAGAATTGCACCATACGTTAAATTGAATTCATATAAATAGTATATAATATACATTGATTTGAATCGAATTGAATGTTTCTTTGGTGTTAAATTACGTTGGATAACCTATGAGTATTGGGTAGTAGGTGGAACAATTGGTTTATCTAATTCAAACCCCACACTGACTCCTATGATAGATAGACGCATCAAAAATATTTTATAGAATCTTACAAAATGTTTAGGCCCTATACTCGTATTTACCTATTTCGCCGAGGGGGACATCAATGATGCCATTGCCTTTGCAAGTTAGCCCCGCTCCACAGGGACAGTTTACAAACACAGCCGATGACTTGTAGTCTACATCGTTATTTCTCACCATGCAACCTTTAAATTTGATCATAAACTGTGACGACAGATTTCAAAATTTTATCGACATACTGCTGGCAAGTGATCTTAATTGTGCAATTATCTTGCTATTACTGGTCATACTATACTTTCAATTTCCAAGTTTTTCTTAATAATTCAAATTCCTAAAAAATCGGTTATACATGTAGCCATATACTTAATAGCCTTGATCCATCCCTGCACGTCCAATACAAACGGACAAGAAGATTTAGACTTGTTGTGAGTCTAAGGTATTCAGTACCCCCTAAAACCCTTCTGGGAAATTATCCAACGTGAGAATATACGAGAGGTGATCAAAAAGTACTGGACGCTTTTTTTACACAGATGCTTTTTATAGACCAATCCTTTTGATTTTCTTACCAGTGATACATCATTCAATTATATATCAACTCTGAAGATTTGAAAACAAAATATGTAATATATTTTGATATATCTTTATTTCCGTGTTGGAGGTATAGGTACCCCGGGAGCGACATGACGTCAAACATTCTGAAGCTATTTTACCTTGTTTAACAATTAACGCAGTCGAATTCAGGCTGAACAAAACAAACCATTATAGTTATGAATTACCCCATTTTGTTATGCCATAGTTGATTTTGAATATTTTATCATCATTATTTGGTATTCATGCCACATTCATTCCTTAGGGCCCTCTACAAAGGTTCCATCAAGTCCTACATGTACACAATTCCTCATCCTCTTAACTCAAGGTTGTGAGACAAGGCTGAATCCATTCTCTGGCATGGTAGCAAGATGCAGTTGCACGGGTTGTTTTATTTCATCAATGCCAATAAAACCTGCGTCCTTTCTCTATAGAGATAAGTAGTATAGAAAAAATGAGTCACATGTGGGCAGATCTAGACAATATGGTGCATTGGCCGAGAGCTCAATTTTGAGGTCCAGGATATTGTTTTCTGAACATTTTGAGATCTGTGCCACAGATTCTGTGGACAGGTGCATTGTCCATATGGAGTAGGGTGTTTCCTTCTCTCACCAACTCCTTCTTCCTCATGCTTTCTCAAATTGACCTGCAAACCCCAACCATACAACAATTTGACATCACAATACTTACCATTTATGTGTTACTAGTCAGCAAATTATTTCAAACAACACAACACTTGTAAGCATATCAAAAAGTTCAAATCTAATGAAATTTGCCAAATTGGATATGTGACGTAAATGTCGGTCCCGGGGTACCTGTACCTCCTTTACGGAAATAAGGATATATCAACATATATTATATATTTTGTCTTCAAATCTTCAGAATTGATAGATAATTGAATGATGTATCACTGGTAGGGAAATCAAAGGGATTGGTCTATAAAAAGTATCTGTATAAAAAGCGTCCATTACTTATTGATCATCCTTCGTATGAGCTTCGTTCAGTACGTTATCACTTACAATGCAAAAGTTATACGTACATGTACGTGACCCTCTCCATTAAGAAATAATCTAATTACTCGACTAAAATAAAATTGTATTTCCTACCAGAATCTTCTGTGCCTATTGGCTGGCAAGTGCCGATAGTTAGTATATTTTCTAGGGAACTGCGCTTTCCAATTGGTCTATCCGTACTGACGCAGCATCTAGGAGCGTCGACATCTGTGCAGTCCGCCCCGGTGTTACAATTCTGTGCCTAAACGTAATGTACATCTCCCTACATAAGTTTGGCAACGGGAAATCATAATAAATGTAAATGTGTAAATGTTAAAGGGGTGCGTTTTCTCAACAATTAAGAAGGACGTTTCGATAGATCTACATATAATCATGTTCCTAATTAAGCTTTGATCTCTCCCTGCACGTCTCATACAAACGTACAAGGAGATGGAGACTGGATTGATGCAATGTATTCAGTACACTTAACATGTAGATCATTACACGTATGTCTGTTTACTTGAATGCAGGAACTATTCAAGGTAAGCTTTGGAACATGCATGTAGTGTCTTCCAAACAGTATGTTCGCAGCCTGCCTTGTATATAGCCATTGTTTGGTCAACATACCCAAGCAGCTCCAACTAACAAAAATATTACTATAGCGACTTTCATTCTCAGGGAGGTAGTGTTCGTTCAGTGTTATATCAAATCGACTGGAAAGAAGAGATGACGTAAAGGTATGTACAAATACAGGCGCAATATAAACACGGGGTACCATCGAATAATTTTGGCAACGTACCGGAGAACGACATTTTACTAAGAAATGGCAATGATTTAGCACAATATATTTTTTAACTAGAGTTCTATTTTGATTTTGACAAAAGTAAGTATTCCATGCAATAACTATTTCATTCATGAGTTTGTAGGAATTCTGTTGGAACCCAGTTCTGATCAAGTACGAAGTTATTGAAATCGGCGCAGACGGACTTTACTCCGAAAGATGGTTTTTCTATTATAACTTTTCACAACATTTAAGTATAGACTTTTGAAAAAAGTATAGAATAGTCCTTATACTTTTGAATAATTCTGTTATTTCTGATTCACACGACTCTGATTTGTTTAATTCAAAAAAAAGTTTTAAAAATATTACTTAGGAACGTAACCGGAGCTGGGAACGTAACCGGAGCAGATCAGTTGAATTATTTAATCAAAAAAATTAAAATATATGATTTAAAGCACATATACTAATTTAAAAACATACGGGATTGTTCGAATGCGTATTTATTAATATATATGCTTTAAATCATATATTTTATTTTTTTAAATTATATAATTCAACTGATCTGCTCCGGTTACGTTCCCAGCTCCGGTTACGTTCCTAAGTAATATTTTTAAAACTTTTTTTTAATTAAACAAATCAGAGTCGTGTGAATCAGAAATAACAGAATTATTCAATAGTATAAGGACTATACTGTACTTTTTTCAAAAGTCTATACTTAAATGTTGTGAAAAGTTATAATAGAAAAACCATCTTTCGGAGTAAAGTCCGTCTGCGCCGATTTCAATAACTTCGTACTTGATCAGAACTGGGTTCCAACAGAATTCCTACAAACTCATGAATGAAATAGTTATTGCATGGAATACTTACTTTTGTCAAAATCAAAATAGAACTCTAGTTAAAAAATATATTGTGCTAAATCATTGCCATTTCTTAGTAAAATGTCGTTCTCCGGTACGTTGCCAAAATTATTCGATGGTACCCCGTGGTTAACGACCAGGACTGAAACAGTAAGAAAATCTTACGCATTGAACGATATCTAATTTCTAATTTAAAAACATACGGGATTGTTCGAATGCGTATTTATTAATATATATGCTTTAAATCATATATTTTATTTTTTTAAATTATATAATTCAACTGATCTGCTCCGGTTACGTTCCCAGCTCCGGTTACGTTCCTAAGTAATATTTTTAAAACTTTTTTTTAATTAAACAAATCAGAGTCGTGTGAATCAGAAATAACAGAATTATTCAATAGTATAAGGACTATACTGTACTTTTTTCAAAAGTCTATACTTAAATGTTGTAAAAAGTAATAATCGAAAAACCATCTTTCGGAGTAAAGTCCGACTGCGCCGATTTCAATAACTTCGTACTTGATCAGAACTGGGTTCCAACAGAATTCCTACAAACTCATGAATGAAATAGCCATTGCATGGAATACTTACTTTTGTCAAAATCAAAGTAGAACTCTAGTTAAAAAATATATTGTGCTAAATTATTGCCATTTCTTAGTGAAATGTCGTTCTCCGGTACGTTGCCAAAATTATTCGATGGTACCCCGTGATAAAAGTCATCTGTTCATTGTATTCGATTAAAAATTTAGGCAGCGTTCGCGAATGCGGCTGCCGGTTGCTGGCTTCACCCCCGACTCATAAGTAATCTACATAAACTCGTTAGTTTGAAGTTGAAATAACGATCGAACCGCCAGTCGACTAACAGTGATCACATGATTCTTATGCAACCGTAACCAAGGGCGTTACAATACCCGGGAATTTATCGGTTCGTGCAGTACTTGTTTGTGATAGCGCCCTCTGTAGGTCACTGTGCTTATAGCCTACAGTAATACGGGGTAGGATATCGGGAATTCGGTCAGTTTCTATCCGTCGATTTCGCTATGAATTGAAGCAAGTGTGACCACTTTATCCACTTAAACAATTTGATAATTGATTAAATATTTAAACAAAATCGATAAACACGTTATACACTTCCTATCTCCTTAGAAATTAGCATGTATTTATGGATTGTGTTTTCGAACAAGGCTCGACCCAAACCAATAGGGAAATCCTTATGCTAATTAGTATGACGTCATATTTTCCTGGGGAATCCTAGATTTCAAAGCCTCAGTCTGTTATCGTGTCAAATGTAAACGCTCTTTTGCAGACAGAAAATTGACAGATTAGCTTTTAACTTTCAGCTTTGATGTTTAAATATTCTGTATTTCTACCGGACTTCTTGCTGAATATCATATAATGTTATAACTTGATTTGGATCATTGCCTGATTGCTCATTCTGAAATTCTGATTGTGATTCATGATTGATTGGCAAGAAAAATAATTCCTATTGTTTTCCAGCGAAGTCAAAATGTTACAGCATGAGTTATAATGTCGAGTTTGCATCATGTTAAATTCTGCTAGTGATTAGAAGTCCATGCACAAGCATACACATAAGAGACAAACACACCCAGGCTCCAGGCCGTGGATGGAAATATAAAACTATTTAAGGCACAAACTGGTATTAATAGACCGATATGTAGTGTCTGCCATGTATTGAAGGTAAACCAATCTGCATTATTAATGTTTCTTCTATCAATACATGGATTGTGCAATGGAAAAGCAATGGCACAATCAAAAATGTGCATATCAATCGTGAATATCTCTCGGTTCAAAGCTTACTTCCAACAGAATCGTGTCAAAATATGTGTCTGAGTAACAGTTATACATTATAAGATCGCAAACTCTTACCAATTATCAGCCGAATGGCTCATTTTCAACGAAATGTCCTTAAGACAACAGCCCTGGGTCGCGCCTGAGATCAAAAACTATTTCAAATAGCCCTCCCCTAATTATATTGGATAATCACATTTATGCGTGCGCGCGCAGCTCATCCACTGAACGAAACGCCACTTCCCGCTGAAATCACCGGGTATTGATCTTTCCCTTGCCGTAACGATCAATTGCGATAGTCACTTGGTTGAATTAGCGAAAATGAGTCAGTGTAGTTGTTCCTTAAATAGGCAGATAACCGTCATTTAGATCAAGGATCGGAGGATCGGGTTTGACAGATAGCTAGCAGCCATCGTGATGCACGGAATTCTGGCTATCTGCAAACCGTCAGCTATATTCACGAATGCTACCTCAGTCTATTCACTGCTTTTTATACTGCCAAGTGTCGACTACTGTTCATTGTGCACATGCGAAGGTAAAAAATATTAGCTGCACTTGTCAAAATATGCTATTTCAAACGTACCTCTTTAATTTTACAAATACTAAAAATGGAACATTTAATTTAGATCTTTGTTTGGGACACATTGCCATGAACATTTGATTACAATTTAAATAGATAAGAACTGTGATAAACAATGGCATATGTTATTTTCACATTGACAGAAAATCTATGAATTTGTTTAATGTGGATTCGAGTTTCATTAGTACAATAACGTCATTTCTAAGGGCAATACAGTGAAATATTGGACCGAGGGCCTAAGGCCCAAGCTCCAATATTTCACTATATTGCTCGCAGAAATGACGTTATTAGTATTATTACCACCGTTAACGACCAGGACTGAAACAGCAAGAAAATCTTACGCATTGATCTAATTTCCCGGGGAAAATTGCCGGTCCAGAATATATTCTAGACCGGTCCATATGGACCACCACTATGACGTCACACATTTCTCAGGTCGATATAGTAAAATGAACGCCTTCGTAACTAGCTCTAAAACCCCTAGAATTGGCCCGGCAATGTGGTAATAATTGTCCTTACTTCATTTTGATTGGTCAAAAAGCGTCAATCGTTTTGACTTTAAAAGTGCAACAATTAATAGTGCACTGACTGATCATCGACCAGTGTCAAAATATATTTAAGTTTGGATATTTCATCAAGACTAGCATATATTTTTATTATCTACAAAGAAACACCCTGTATGATCATTATTTCAGGTGATATTCCTCTTGAAACGTGGTGAATCTTAAAAATCTATAAGTGGGACTCCCTTTATATCTGAAGCTTTGAACTGAATTTACACCTCTTAATGCTGAAATTGAGAGTTTATTCATGCATTTTAAGAAAATAGGTATGTCAAAGAAGATGTTAAAGATGCATTATGCCATAGGTTTCTCCCCCAGACAATCAATGATGTCCTATTGTTATTGTTCATATAATATCTCACAAGCCATGGATATATCTTGAGAATAACTTTTGGGTATATTATTGCCGAAATATCGGAAATAATCAATAGAACAACCAAACTCCAGAATTAAATACAATCGATTCCTCGACTATCGAGGGGAATCCCCATTGAGTCACACAAGCGCCTTGAACCAGGGAGCCAATCAGGTTTATGATAAACAAATTCAACGACCAATCAGATAACAGGAGGACTTTCCCGGAATATTCAAACTTCAGCTTGAATTAATTTCTTCGAAAATAATTAGATCGGCCAGTACAATCGCAAAATTAACACTGAACGAGGGGGATTTGGGACTTCTTCTTTGGCAAGTAGATGGGAATATATGTGGTGAAACTCAATATTCAAAAAAGTCTCGAGGGGTCTTGATTGTGCTATCCTATGGCATAGAGCCTCTTTAACCAAATATTGACCTGATAGCTGAGAAAAAAATAAAAATTGCGAATTTTCTCTCTACAGTCCTTGTTGCCCCTTCAACTTCAAGTCATCTAGCGATATTCCAAATGGGGGCTGATTTTTTATGTTTTTTTATTTTATCGAAGTTTTGTGATAAAGGCAACGCTAAACATATATTTCATGTATAAGGCCCAATCCCAATTGGTTCGAATCACAGTGGGAATAGGGGTCCTTTAACAACTTGGTTTTCAGAGCTTTGTGGTTATATCTACACTGTACTTAGTATATGTTTGCATATTTGCAGACCTTGGAGTATTAGTATTACATTCACATTTCAACAAAACTGCATAATTTTTGCATCAATTTATTGTTCTTTTAGATGCCATGCATAAAATTTGCATTCATATGCATTTTTCAAATGAGTAAGTATATCTTAAAACTTAAGACTTGTACACATGCAGTAAACGGATGGCGTATGCTATTGAACTATGAGTACGACGTGAAACCAGAATGGGTACAAACGTACAAGTATAAATAAATATAAGTGGAATAACAGCGTTAATAATAGCATTTATAACAGTATTTTCAAAAAATCATCACGCATATCATATGGATGTTATATCAACCAAATACGACAAATACTGATCTTATAAGTTGAATAACCAATAACTTTAATAACATTATCGAATGATACAATGTATACATTTTGGAAATTTTACTGATACTGAGTAAACATGTTGACTTGATTCTTCTTTGACTTGATATCACTTTTAATTATCAACTCTCGCTGCAATTCATATCACTCGACATAATGAATTCGTACAAGTACAATGTACGCGATACACAACAAGGCCCACTAGCTGAAGACCATTTGCTAACTTTTCTCTGTAAGCATTACCCCTGCTCCATAAATATTCATTTTCTTGAATCAAGCAAAGCAATCGTTTAACTCTCAATATAGAAATAACTGCTAAAATACTCGCATATTTAAATCCTGTCAGTTCATATGACACGTTTCCAACTTTAATTAATCTTTTTTCGATATTTACCCATCATATTCTTTATAATAATGATATAGTCCCTGATTTCCCTGATTTTGATAGGTTTCTAGAAATGCAAGTCCATGGTTATATACTTAGGTCTATAGTAATGGAGATCTATAAAGTAGTAGGGCTCTATTAGTGGTGAGCTACAGTAATGTGAGTATGTAATAATGGAGAGTCTATAGTAATGCAGGTCTTTATAGTAATGTGTATCTACAGCAATGTCGGTGTCAAGTGATACAGCTAGGTCTATAGTAATCTCAATCAACAGTAAAATAGGTCTATACCAATCTTGATCTATAGTTACATAAGTCTATATTAAACCATGTAGTAGGTCATCAGTATGTAGAACTATTGTAATGACGGTCAACAGTCATGTAAAAGGTATATAGTAATAAAGGTTTATTGTTATGTAGACCTACAACATTATAAGGCTATAGGAATGAGGCGCCATAGTAATCTAGGTCAATAGTAATGAGTCTCCAGCAATGAAGGTTTAAAGTAATGTAAGTCTAAAGAAATTTAGGCTATAGAGTGGAGGTCTACGGTCTGTAAAGTAATCTAGATCTACAGATATGTAGGTTTATTGAAATGCCCCTCTCCAGAAACACAAGGACATGACTAGTGTGGCTAAGGATGAGGTAAGAACCGACTCTACTCCTGATGTTGGAATCTCTGGACACTTTTTGGATGTACAAGTCCCATCGTCTTCAAGAGCAGCCTCGTTATAATTTTGAGCAAAGGAATACGTGCAACCTCGTGCCATATATTTTGGAACGTGTTTCTCTTCACATTCTCCTTCGAGACATTTCTTTATCCTTAAAGCTTCTCGTTTCCCAGAGGTATATTTAGCGGGAATAGTGCCATAATCAGTGAGAGAGAATCCACTTCCGGCGAAGAACACTTGCTCTATATTTGCTAAATACGCCATTTTGGCATCATTTGAATAGCCAAATGGGAATGTAGGATTTGCCGATCCTTCAGTCGGTCCAGATTCTTTCCTTACGAATAAAAAGTCAGTTGGATTTGGAACCGCATCGTCTCCGTACATCAGACGGAGGACTGCAGTAGCTTCGCGGCGCACAACGTCTGCGTGAAGCGTCGAAACTCTGACAGCCTGATCACCAACGAGAGTAACGAGTAAAATGTTTGATCTCTCTGGCACAACACCTGCAATTATAAAAGTGGATATTATCAAACAATGTGTAAACACAGGGAACTCTTGGTTACGACTTATTCGCAACTTAACCTCTCTGCCAGAGATATTTCGAAAATAAGCTTTTCCTTTCCTTTCCTTTTATTTTCCTTAAAACCCTAAAGTAATTTTCACAATGATATACAACTTTAACAGTCTATATACTTTGACACACAATTACATTTATGAATGCTTAAAAGAAATTCACACTTAGTTAGGAGTATAACAAGTTCCAAAATTAAATATTAAAAGACAATTATTAATAAACATTTTCAAGCTTATATGATTACAGCAAAGAAGTTATCATTATGAATTATATTTAAAGGCTATCTGGCCTAAGTATAGAGAGAAGTAAGGAATTTAGAGAATAAAACTATTCTTTTTCGATGGATAAGTACACCTTTTTGCGAAACGCAACATTCACTATACGAGGCTCGATCAGAAAGTTTCTTACCAAATGCTCTCATTTCTTAGAGATTAATAACCAAATAGTTTTACAAACTATGCTTTAGTTTTAGTATGCAAATATTATTTTGGGTATTAAATATTTACTTTTGATTAAGGGGTTGCCATAGCAAACAGATCTAAGAGAGGGTGGAGCAGCAGTATTTCATAACTTAGACTAACTTTCTTTTTTCTCTCATAGCAGTCACATATTAGTGGTATAATAGCACCATGAGATTACTATTTGTCTCATGAGGCTAGATGCCTCTCTTGGATTGGGATTTGAGGACAATGAATCAATAATTGAAGGCTTCAAAAGCAGCCTCTACAAAATACGTGATTCAATGAATATCTCCTTCATGTATTCAAATATCATGTTCCTAGATGCAGCATCTTCTAGGGAAATAATTTTGAAGGCATGTGATGAGTTTTCATATATCCCTTGCACGTAGCAATGAATGGTGTAAAATCACCTTAATACAGAAATTGAGACAGCTGCTTGACCCTGCCTGATTTCGAATAAAGAAACATCTATGTTTTGTGTATATCTTACTCAATTAATAAATGATTTATGTCATTTTATAGGCAATTGTGCATGTACATCCTGTGAAAATTTCAAGTCAAAATCTCAAGAAACAAAAAATGAAACCATTTGGTAAGAAACTTTCTGATCGTGCCTCGTAGTTAATACTTATGTTATACTTTCACTTATGAGCGAAATCTCTCTGATTACAACCATTGTTTTATAAATCGATTTAGTTCATATCGCAAAAAGGTTAAACCTAGAATGTCCATGAAAGAAACACTTAGTTTTAATATCTATATTATAACAGACAAACTTGGACAAAGTATGTTTTAATGGGTTTAAAACCTCGTGTATAATCTCGAAAACTAGAATCCAATTAAGGAATACAATAGCTTACCAAGGGCCTCCAAATCCTGCCAGATTGTGTAGTACCCTTTGACCTCACTGGGATATAGAATATAGGCATTATCATCCCAGAACTTATGTTCAAATTTCATGAATATTTTGGCTCTATAGGTTTGCTGGACAGCGTATATGGCCTCCTTCTTCCAACGAGGTAATTCCATTTCAATGATATCCTGAGCAAGGAGATGACTGCATACGGTCAACAGTACATAGTCAGCTTTATAAGTTTTATTTGCAGCTGTCTTCACTTCAACACCGGAACTACCGTACTCAACCTCATCGACATATTGTCCTGTCACTATTCGTGCATCAAATTCATCCTCGCGAAATTCATTAATAAGTTTTTCCAATATCTGCAACGCGCCACCAGAGTTTGGTATACGGTAGTCAGTTTCAAGGTTTTCAAATAGTTCGACGGTTTTCTTAAGAGACATCGTTTCAGGTGGTGTGTTGAACGTCCAATCGTATTCCCAGAATTCTATAGCATTCTTCAAAACGTCAGTGGCAGTTGGACGCCATCCAAACATGCTGAGCGCATTTCTCGATGTCATATCAGGTTCGTCATTTTCATTTTTGTCCTCACCCAATTCATCAACTTCGTCAGCAACGGGATAGTACAATGTTTCGTATCTAAAACAGACGTTGGGGTGCATTTAAAATACGTCGTACGTGTTATTTCTTTTATTTGGTCTCATTTTGAACGTTTATTTTGAAAGTCCCTTTCCGGGAAAAAAGTTTCAAAAAGGCAAATCAAAAAGATCTAGGACATTTCAGAAATTGAGACCCATATTTCACCTGAACATGACCACTGTTTAGAAATGAAGCATACATGTATTTTGAAAACTAGATCCTACTAAGGCACACATTGAGGTCCAATTGATAACACATATACAAGGCATTAACATGACAAAATGTCACCACCTAATTGCTCACAATATTATGATCAGATTTGAATTTCGAAAACTTAGTAGATGATTTTGAAAAATATATTGGTCAATTTGAGAAAAGACCTTGTTGACCTTGAGAAGGTAATTGAAGGTCAAATCTTTTTTGACCTTGAGAATATAATTGAAGATCAAATCTACAGCCAGATTTGAACTTTTGAGAACTTGTAGATGATTTTGAAAAAGAATTGGTCAATTTGAAGCAAGTTGAAAAAGACATATTTGACCTTTTCGACCTTGAAAATGTCATTGAAGGTCAAATCTTAAAAATAAAATCAGATTTGAACTTCTGAAAACTTGGGAGATGATTTTGAAAAAAATTGAAGTCAGTCTAAACAGCATTTGTGAAGTTATTGGAAGTTGTAAGAATTTGTTACAGACGCCCTGACCGCCAACCGCCAATCGCTAACCACCAACCACCGTCAAAAAACGGAGACGATTAATAACATGTCACCACCTTTTGGAGGTGACATATAAACCTAATGAATATACATTAATGAGCATTCTGATTGGTCTAGAACATAATCTCGCCATAACAAAGTTCATGCCCGGGAGTTCATGTATTTGAAACTTACGTCTCATCAAGGATTCCAGTCATATTTGAACGAGGATTATCGCGGACAATGTAGTCCTCAGATTCAACACTTGCAGTAGTAATATTCAAACGTTCTAATTCTGATAATAGCTGAAGTAGACCATCTGAAGCTTGCAGAAGCCTAAAAGCACATTTACTAGGCTACAAGAACTAGCTAAAAACACAGATGAACTAGTAAAGCAGCTCAGGCATGAGGTACGCTACAATAGGGAATATCAGTAAACCGTAGAAGAGTAAACACAGGACGCCATACATCGCTTGCCCAAAGATGCAACCCATAGGAAAATCAAAGATCAAATAGCATCTACAATAAAGAACTTCAAGAGAAGCAGAAGGAGAAGCAGAATGAAGAGAATCGTCTAAGTATCTAAAAGCAAGCACATTTGGGACATACTTGTGCAATATCTCAGACGTCAAATTTTGACTTCCGTTTCTCATTATGAAATTTTCAAAATCTGCAGTTGACGTCATGTTGATCTTCATTTTTGAGAGAAGTTCAGCAAAGTCGTCATCTTCTTTGGTTTTCCGGATTATTCTATAAAGTAAAATGAAAAGTATGATGATCACAATGTATATACATGTACACGTATGTATTAGAACAGTAAGCGTTATATTGATATGTTATGTTACATTCTAAGTTGTTATTCTGAGTTTAATCTCAGTTCATCCGCTAGATAAATACTCTTATGATTGTAATTCTCAATTATGCTAAGTTTATAGGTTAACTTAACTCTGGGTAAACTGTTTTAGTTAGCAATACTCGAATACTCCTGAAAAAAGAAAATGTAGATACTTACTCATCCGCGACGTTAACCGAAATACCCCCTAATTCCTCTGGACGAAGACTGCCTCCAACTTTGTCCGCAGCTTCTAAGATAACAAAGTTCGTAATCCCTGCTTTGTTGAGCTCATATGCAGCAGTTACGCCAGCTAACCCGGCACCCACTATGATCACTTTGGAGTTATCTATGAAAAAACACGAAGGCTATAAGTGGTTTCAGAGTACATGTTCAAAATGCAATTCAGATTTTTAAGAAGTAGGATAATCACAAACAGCCTTTCAACACTTTAAAAATTGATTTATATTCTTGGAGTCTGTCATCGCCAGGATTCGAAACAGAGGAGGCAAACGTAAATATTAAACAGGGAGGCAAAGCCTGAACCACTTTGTGTGACATGATCTTGCAGTTAAAGTCAAACCTGATGTATGTTACCTATTTTGTCTAAAACATGTATTTACTTACAAATGTCTTTATCGCATCTAATGGAGTCTTCCTTCAGATAGCCGTCTTCGCATTTGCATACGTCTTTTCCGTTGTGATCGCCACATTCAGCGTGTCGTATTCCCTGGCAATCAGACACGTCATCACACTCCTTGTTCTCTAGCACTGCAAAACAATAAGACTTCTGATAGAGAATACATAAATATGATGATCAAGATTCAAGTTTGGTGATTTATGTAGATCTATGTAGTTTTGATCACTGTTTCCTGGGAAGATTAAGTGGGGTGATCAAATGATAAGGACAGAAAATGCTTATAAATACAGTCCCGAGAATACAATTTCCTGATACCCCAACAGATGATTTAATGGTCCAATGATCTCTTTCCCCTGATGTTTAAAGGGGACTGGTCTCCGTCCATGCACCTTGGACAACCTATAAGTGCCCGACCCAAATCAAAGGTCGAAATTGGTTCAATTTTTTATAATTGTCACAAAATACTATTTTAAGCTTTTTAGTTTTGAAATTTGCAAATACCTTCAATACAGTCCGCTCCTCTGCCATAATATCCTGCGTCGCATTCGCAAGTTGTAAAACTACTGCCTTCTTTCTGGACACATGAGGAGTGGATAACATCTACACAGGCGATATCGCTGAAGCAACTATTCCCAAGAACTAAAAGTACAGAGAGTAAGCTATGCCACTTGTATTTTATCGTGTTACAATTCTTATAATTATATTGTTGTTCAACTAATGAGCACATACGCCACACGCTATAACGATTACATTTACATAAACGTTACGAAGACCCAAGATGCACGAGAATCATGAACGCAGTAATACCAGTAAGTGAAAGATGCATGGATGAGTATAAAGCATTTTATTTTTAAAGAATGTGTACAAATGACAGAGCGCAAAACACATTGCTTAAGAACAAAGTCAAGATATACAACATATATGAATATACCTTCTTCGCATACATCAAGCTTCATGGTATATTTGGCAGCACAACCACACTTCTCGCTCCCTGCAGTTCCTGTGCAAATAGAGTACTCCACTGAGGAACAATTAGAAGAGTCGGTACACGCCAGATTCCCTAACACTACAAGTACAAATACAGAGTATATATAATATATGACATCTCCGACAATATCCTAGATAGTAGATTAAAATTTTATTTTCGAAGAATTTGCAATTGGAAGATACAATAATTACACGATCATTGGTAAATTGGATGTAAAAAGAAATAATTATCTGCTGTTACGAGGCAAGAAACAAACAGGTGTAATCTATGTTCATCTGGTATACAGGAAACTTTAGATATTGAGTTCCAAATATATATTTCACAATCGAAAAATACAATTACAAGACAAAAGGTTTGACCAAAAAGTTGTGAGATGACGAGAGAGGTCAAACTCGAACTTACCTCTCAAACACCTGTCTCCAGAAGTAAAGTAGCCCGTCTGACACCTGCATACATCATCCTCACATTCAGCTTTTAGTAGTTCATTACAGTCATTAGACTCGGAACAAGCCATGTTGTCAAGCACTGAAATAGCAGGTCATCAAGGTCAATAAAACAGAACACGGAAATGAAACATCTAAGAGTAAAACCAATCATAGGGGACTTAAATCCCAAACGTTGATCTCAAGTGTAAAGCAACATGTCTGATAACCCATCCCTCCCCTCCCCTAACATACACAAATACCATTCTGAAAGCATACCCATAGCCAGTCAAAATCAAGACCATTGACATTTAACTCATACCGAAACAATTATAATACATGTTGAAAAATAAATTGAAAATGAAACAAACAAATACATGTACAACTGTTATGTTATTTGAACTGACATCAAAAATAGTTGTACAAACTAGTACAGAGTATAGTGCGTCCAGTCTCAAATGAAGATTTTCCTCTTCTTTTTCCTAAGCGTTTTTTATCGAGATGATGGTATCATGATAAAATGTGTTACAACTGCTCTTGACAAGCTTTGTCAAACTGGGGTTTTTGACTCAACACTTGGCAACAAAATGGAGCAACTACTCATTTATTCGTCAAACTGTGCTCAAACGAGGCAAATTCCACTAATCTCGTATTTTGATCCACAAGTGATACGCAAGTGGCATATATGATAAGACTTTCCATCTTGTCTACAAACTGTGTTAGAATATTTGAATAGGCTACTCAACTAGTTGCCATACAAATGACATAATGTACTCATTTTGACAACTGTTTATACTCACTTTGTCTGCATGCTGCCTCTGCTGTGAAATATCCAGTTTTGCACGTGCAAGTGAATACTGTGCTATCGTCCTCGTCATGGTCGTCACAGACAATGTTGGCGATGTCATATGAACAGTTCTGGGCGGCATCAGTGCAAGGTTTGTTATCTAGGACTAAATATACAATCGTGGAATTATTACATGAATGAACAAAATAGAGATGTATTATGGTGCTAAGAGAGGTGCTATAAGAGATTTTCCTGGAGAAGTTTCATATTGATTGTAGTGTGTCATCGTGGCATAATCTTAATGCTCCTTCAAGAGACCTCTGGTTAATATATGTATACATACAGCTACTTCTTGACCATTGTATCTATGTATCTATTTATTCTGATACTCATCACATCCTTCTGCCTTCATCTATAAATATTTCTAGAGAGAAGGCCTGGTCGTGATTTCACATGATGGTATTTATTAGTGTCGCTTAATTGCTTGTTCCAGAAAACAACCATTGAGAGAGTGACCATCATGTAGGAATATAAAGTATAATCAACCTGCGTGTGGTGATTACCTTGTTTGCAATCTTCTTCAACCTGGTAATATCCTTGTTGACACGCGCACCTGGTGTCAGTGTCAGGGTTCGAGTCATGGTCGAGACACTCCGCATTCTCTATGGCATTACAATCGCCTTGTCCCCTGGTGCATACAAAGTTTTCCAAAACTGCAACAAAAATATTATAATTAGAAATTATCTAATTAGGGTTGACTTTGGTTTCAGCTACCGTAATCCTGAATAGGCCTAGCTGTCTTAAAAGGCCATTATTATTGTTCAAAACGTTATTGTTTTGTTGATAGAATTATGAAATCATTTGTTTCATATCCGATCATGACTATGAAAATATAATGAGAAACCCCAAAGTGCCACACGAAGTGTAACTAGAGATTTGAATAGTTTATATCCAATTTCTTTCAAAAATGTTTATAATTAATTGTTATAACTTCTGATCACTTATTTACCTCTTTGGTATCAAGATCCGCATAAATGGCAATGCAGTATATAATGATCAAAAGGAACGGGTGTTTTAGGTTGTCGTGTTAGCCAAGCGGAATTGGTCTTTAATCGTAACATAGAGGTTTTGAGTTCAAGGGGCGTGTGCTCCCTAGTCTGTTTGATTATTTCTTTGATATACTGAACAAGAACATTAGCTTACCCATGGAACATGTGTCTCCTGTAGTATAATATCCTGACTCGCACTTGCAGATTTCATCCTCACACTCGGCATCTTCAACTTCATCACAATCACTGGATTCAGAACACTTCATGTTGTCAAGCACTGGAATGAGAAATAACGTATTACATAACTGACAATTAAATCACTCATTTCTATTTTAGTCCATTCCTCATTCATTTTCTTTTGTATCATTTAAGTTTGAACTTCATTCGGCACAAACGATATTTGGAGTATGGAAATACATATTTAAATTAGCCAAACCACTTTTTTAGCTTCGCACTTTTTAACCAATTGTGGAGTAGCACATTAAATCAGCCTTTACTCACTTTGTTCACAAGCTGCATCTTCCGTGTAGTACCCACTTTTGCATGTACATCTGTCCATTGTACTTTCATCATCATCGTGATCACCACATACCATATTCGCGATGTCGTATGTACAATTTTGGCTAACGCTTGTACATGGTTTATTATCTAGGACTAAAGTAAAAATGGCGATAGGATTTGTTTTCAGTAAGAAACGTGTAAAATAAGCAGAAAGATAATATATCGTGAGTTGCCCATTGGCAAATAGTAGAACATACACGTACTCAAACTCACATTAGGATTGATGAAATTCATTCATATGTTGAAAATCATTTATTACAATCATGCATGCATATTAATACTATAATATGCCAAATATATATGGAGATAGATCGTTCTCAAATGAAATGTATTAAACACAATTGCATACCTTGCCTGCAGTTTTCTTCATCAAACTGGTAGTATCCTTGTACGCATGCGCATGTGTTGTCAGTGTTTGGATTCGAGTCATGGTCAAAGCATCTTGCATTCTCAACAGCAGCACAGTCTCCCTGGTCCAGGGTGCAGGGGAAGTTCCCCAAAACTAAATAAAGCAAACACAATTTCAATAATACACTACATACGTTTATACTTTGTTTTGGTAGATTAGATTTGAAATTAAGGAACATATCCTTCTGCGTCTCTTATAGTTTTTTCTTATGTCAGGTTTGTACCCTCATCTGGCGCTTATTATGTCAAATCGTAACATGTAAAAAGTTTGAAGATTGATGTTCAAATGTTTGCCTTGAGAGGGAATCGAACCTTGAAGATACTTACTAGGTATACACTCATAACCACGGAGATAATATTTGTCTTCACACACACAAAGGTTGTCGTCGCCACACTCAGCATTCTCCACAGTGCAGTTAGCTGATGTAGTACACACCCTTACTCCAATCTCTGCAAACGAATCGTTATTCCGATCAGTGGTATAAGTGAACAATTATTAAGCTTTCCAGGAATTGTCAACATTGTATGCCTCATTCTGATACTCATAGCATCTTTCTGTTATGAATCATTCCAGGGCTGAGAAGATTTGAGATGTCATGGTTTATCATGATGTGTATGGCTTACATAAGCAAATTCTAAACCGAGACTGGGTAAGCCTCCTTTGCACTAAATATGGAGTTGGTCATTCATCGGTCAAGCCAAGTAACTTAGTCAACATTCGATATTCGTATGTTCATCAATATTAACTAAGAATGGTGCCACAATTGAAGTAAACCTCTGTTTAATTATTTTCAATTAACCTATCAGCAAACGTGTAAATGATAAATTTGATGTTCTGTTACATATTGGTGAAGCAATCTTGGGGATATGGCCTAAATTTCTGAATTTCCACTATGTCCCTGTATACCCCTAGTTCAAAAGATGTATGTTATTGGTCATTTTTCATTATGAATCAACCATTATGTATTTTTTCTTGTTTACATACAGAATGGACTTTCTGTTTTCAAATATTGAAAGATGGTACGGCATCTATTTTTTCATGATATGGAGCAAACAAATGCGTGTCAATTTACACTGTAATATCCCACATACTTATATTTCAAGGGTAGTTTTGAAGAATAATCAAGAAAATCCATGTTTTCAAATGAATTCATCCTTGTTAAAGAACGTAAATGAGGATGTGCGGTTTGAAAAACTAACAACATGTTTTAAGTTCTTACAATTCTTGGTTAAAACAAATATTTCGAAAGTTGTGATTTCGAATGTAATATCCAACTCAATGAAATTTGTTGATATTTGTGAATTTTTTCTTTCGGAATGCACATTGCTGGATCACAGAACATTGTCTCTTTCGAGATGCACGAAAAGTGTATTGCTAATACTTGACGTCGTCCGGATATTTGGATGTGATTGACGTTTTTGTTAATCTCCAACCACTGTAACTTCCAACTTAATTTTTGAAAGCCAAATATGATAGTCACGAATTGATATTTAAGTCACACGTTGATGCATATACATCATGTGTGTACATTAACTGTCAAATGCATGCCGACTTACATTTATATAAATATCCACAGTTAACTCAAATTATCAACTCTCGAAACGGTTATCAAATAACCTGGTGAGTTTAATGTTTCATTTTAATTCATAATTATGGTATCGGATTTGAGTATGATATTAGTCGAGGCTTAAACAAAGCAATAAAATTGCGTGAAACCTTTTGTGAAAATTCGAACGATTTTTCGAGAATCTTCCTTCAAAGTGTTACCACAGTGCTCCCCGGGAGTGGAAATTTCGTCTTGTGTAATCAAAATAATAGCGGGTGGTTTGAATTTTTGTTTGAGTTTATAGCCCAGCATCTATAAATTTAAAAATGTGTCGCCTCATTGAGAGTTACATGCAGATTTTGGCGATCTATCATGATAAAAGGCTACATTTTGTGCAAAAACAGGAGTTGACACGCTTACATTTGGAAATGAAATTTCCTACATAATTGTCGACTCGTGTTTAAAAGTCATGAAAACAAGTTTGAACACAAAACAATGACCTAATTACTGTCTATTTAGCATGGGATCACTTAGGGAAATATTATTAATGACTTAAATCGTTAACAGTTAAGTTGTATCCCAAGAAACTTATCAATTTAGAAATGCAAAATGTTCAATTTTGTTTTTCAATTATAAAAATGGCACCTGTAGAGAACAACGTTTACAAAATTATTTAAAACGGAGATATTTACTTATGTAACATTCGTTGGCATGTGCCAGCGAGTAAACAAGAAGAATATGCATATGATTATATATCTTGTTCCCAAAGGAGTTTGTTAAGGAGCGGTATATCTTAATGTACTTTTATCATCCCGAACTCAAATATTTCGAATACTTATTTCGAGAACGCTTTGTTGAGAATGGATTCGAGATGTACTCAAAATTAATACGTTAAAATGTGTATTATCGTCTTAATAACCACCTCACAAATTATTTTGGAAATCAAAGATGTACGATTTTTGAGATTTTTATTTTCGAATGTTGACTTACTCGGCTTGACTGTCATGATAATTTATGCGACAACAGGTATTTATAAGGATGTGACTATCTTAAGAATAAGGAAAAAGACAGGTGAATCTAGGCCTTTGCTCGGTTACACCGGGGCACTCTTGAAACTTCCATAAAATCTACTCTAACACCGTCAAAAAACGATTTTATACGCCATTGAGAATTACTTTGAGCGACGTCAAAAACGATTTCGAACGGCGTAAAAAATGATTTTTCACACCATCAAAAATGATTTTGAACATCAAAAATATTTGACGCCGTTCAAAATGATTTTTGACGTCGTAAAGATGATTTTTAATGGCGAAAAATCAATTTTGACGGGATTCAAAATGATTTTTGATGCCGTATAAAATGATTTTCTAAGGCGTGCAAAATTGTTTTTTACGTCTTGCAAAAAATATTTTTACTGGCTTACAAAGTATTTCTTAACGACTTAAAAAAGTTGACTGCGTTAAGAGTAGATTTTACGAAATGTAATAAGTATGACGATACATTGGTGCTCAGCTTTAGTAAAAACGTTAATGACGTCACCCACCTTGGTATCGCTCGTAGTAATCTACTGAGTTACACACTCCCACTGGGGTCTCATCGGAGTTAATCACGCTACTAAGTATGCATTGTTTATCTGCCGGAGCATACTCCGCAGACCGACACGGCAGATTGGTGACGTCATCTATACACGCCTGGAGGCAGTCTGCCAGTTCATATTCCCCTGAGAGTTGCCGCTGGTTGTTTCCTATGATACAGGAACGTTCGTATTTCATCCATGACGTATCGGCAAACGTATAACTAACTGATGGGCGCTGTCCTGGAAAATATGTATCAGGTGTATCAGCTAAATAGAAGCACGGTGACAATAGTAAGATTGAAGGATTCAGATGATTATAGGTTTACTTGAATAACATTATCTAGATTATTATCCTATAATCTTATGCTATTATATATCAAATAACCTTCTAACCTGTATTCTTTGATTTAATCATGAAGACAAAAATTCAAATTGTATTCATTAGCCGTCATCATCAATTAAACATTTGGTAAGTAAAAAACGCATTGAGTAAGCCCCCCCCCCCTGTATGCAAAATATGTAAATGGCATCAGTTAACCGCATTGTATTTTAATGTTGACTTGATAAAACCTACTTAAGGTCGTTTAGGGTGGCTTTCTTACAATAAAATCAACATGTTCAATGTCACCTCTTAGTAGAATGAATATTCTTCTTGCATATATTTGTATATAATATATATACCCTACGTTTTTCATCTCTTAATTCTGACGCAGGACCTATCCATTTGTAATTAGTCTATTTAGTAAAACAACAACAAAAACAGGTAGATTGTGGTTTCTTCGTTGTTGAGATATTCGTATTACCTTCATACTATGCTTTTCGACGTATTTTCCAATAATCTGTTCCAAAATCTCAGTTAAATTTTGAAATCTCGAACTGTGAATAACTGTGAAGAATTTTCATACAGTTCAAACATACACATGTTTCATGCGAATCCGTCTGACCACTCTAATTCTTACTTTACTTGTTTTAATTTTGAGAAGCAGTTTAAATTTTTTAATCAGCAATCGCTGTTTGTGAATGACTGTAAACCAACCCCATTTTCTTGGCCTAAAAGCCTGACAAGAACGCTCACTGCAGGCTTTATAATATAAAAAACAACTTTGAAAAGATGTACAGTATATAAACTGAATTTGAACATTCTTCCACCTTAAATACTATATGGACACTATATAAATATTCCATACGCTGCATTTTATCAATGGTGTTTAATTCAAGCTTTCAAATATCAAATTGTATCGAGTGTCTGCAGATATTTGGGATGGTTTAGTTTTTATACATTTTTATAAAGGAAATGCCAATACGTCCTTCGTATTTTTCAAAATACTTGGTTCAGTAATTGAATTCCTGACACGGTGTCAATTCGGTTAACCTAATAAAGGAAGAATTAAAAATGAATGTTTTCTTTTCAAATAATTTAGCTGACAATCTTAAAGGGCTGTTGTTGAGTCCAATATTAGTGAATCAGAATTGGCCATGACTGAATATATTTTACTGTTTAAAAATGAATCAGCCACTAGGTTCAAACGTTTTACCAAGTTCTACGTTGTATTTATAAAATTTAAACCTGAATTAACTCCAAAGAATAAGTGAACATTGAGGTCCAAGTATGAAAATCTTCATATGCATATAGTTTTACCATCGTGTTTGCTTTTGTTTATTCAACTTTGATAGATGGAGGAGAATCTAATAGACTAGTACAATATAACACTAAAACGTGACTTTCTAACTAAAGAAAACGTTTTCATGACACAATCAGCTGTGCTGATCAGTATGCTACTACACATATCCCTTTACAATCAGCAATGGTAATGTTTTTGATGTCAACGTAGACCCTTTAAGGAGCCCTGTCTCGAACTCTGATTGTACAGTATAACAAAAATATGCAAGACTGCACAAAAAACGGCAATTCGCACGATGAACAGACCTTAATACAAACATACTTTTATGTAAGTATCAATGCTTGAAAAATGTCCTATCCTTCAAAGTAAATGCCATGACAAGCGTCAAACGCATGTCATAAAAGATAAATACCTTACCGTTCGAAGGCGATTAATTCACTTACTGCATGAAAAATCTATCATAATTTAATATTTACAAAACGTGAGGTTTGTATCAAATTATTTTGATAGGGCAAGTTATGAGTTGTTACGATTTTTAACTTTTGGTGTAATTTAGATTCAGCGTGAGACACTGATCCAATTAAAATGTGTTTTGCTTGAGCAGTGATGGCACATTTGACATGTGGTTAATATCATGTACTTAAATTGAGTGTTTGAAGCGAAACGATTGTTACTCTTGAGGTTATTAAGGGCAAATAGTTTTTTTAGAGAAAATGTAAATAAATGCATGTATTCGAATAAATTGGAATTTATATTTTCATCCCATGAATAGTCCACTCTTTTATGCTAAGTTCCTTACACCAATGTAGTAGATACTGGTCATAAAATGCTAAACCAAACAATTTGATTGTGTCATACTGTATGATGTATTAAACAAGCACATTGTTGGACGTTTAAATTAAAAGCAAAACTAACAGTAGAACTATTCATCATACATATCCATCATTGCATTGGCACACATGTTAACCAAGGTTTGAGGTATACATTTAACTAAAACGTGCCTTTATAGTACGGTGTGTCAAAATCTATGACAAGACTGTGGACCCCCCCAACCTATCTTCTTCACCAACACATCACATGTGGGGGGGTATATTTGGGAGGAGGGGCTAACAAGGGCTTGTACTGTAGCAGACTACTTTTCATAATTTTTCATTTACAGTGCAATGCAATGATGAACTTGTCATATGAAAATATACAAATGAAGTAATATTTGACCTAAACAACACAGTACTACTGATTAAGCACTTGGATAACTTTTCGTTCCAATCGCTGATTTTTCTTGGTACATATATAAAAATTATAAGTACACATGAACCGGTTTAATTGTGTGCGTGGACGAATGTATTGTCCGGTATTTCGTACTGTTTAACTATGAACATGGTAAAGGTTTTCTATTGAAAGACTACTGTATAGTTCAGTGCTAAAAACCGGCTTTAAATTCCGATAATAGATTGTTTAAATATGAAACTTTTGTAATATGGCATAGAACACTAGAACGGGTGAATGAATAAGCCTTATTCGTTTATATCACGGTTTTCTTTCTTAAATACATCATTATACCACATTGAGCCTTAAAACAAGTTACCATCATATATATACATTATTTAATAGGACCTATTTAATATACAATAAAACCAGCGAACAAAAAGTGTCTAAATCAATTTGTCAAAGCAGTGTAATCACGATTTATGAATCATTACTCCAAGTTCACCTTAAATTCAAAACCTGCCGAGAAAAAAACAATTATTGAAATGTAATTGACTAGACAAGTTTAAGGTAACTATTCCTACCTGTCGTTAAGCCAAAAAGGCAGATGATCCCGAGTATATTAAAGCTGATATCCATACTATTGCGGCACTGGATGCGATGAGAAAGTAACCTTCCTGATAGAGGTGTGGATATACCTGCTACTTCTATGCATAACCTTCTTGTTGTTCTGTTTGAATAGGCTTAGGCCAAGGCAAATAACGGGATATTATTATACATTTAAAGGTTTGTTTGACATACTCTTAATAAATAGGCTATGTATATTTAACATTCACGAGAAAACATGCTCACTTACTTTGATACAAATCTGGGTTATCATATTAAAATACATATTATATGGACTTAGGCTTTTTAGGTGGGGTCTCGCGCTCAGAGGATACATTAAGAAATCGCTGCTAACCGATGTAGTTCCTATTACTTGATTCAATTGGTTCTATTCAAAAGGCCGGGAACTGGCCGTTTATTGGTTTATGCCCTTTGAAAGACTGAAGTAGGATTGACCCATGCAGTCTTATACCATGTGGTTATAAAGCTGAAAACGTTAGACGAATGATGGTTGTAACAAAACAAACGTCACAAACGTGCTTTCGTTATATTCCATTACTGCAATTCTGATTTCAGGAGCATCATGGTGGACGTTAAAACGTAAATACATTCATTAAATGTTCATGATATAGTAAATCATAAACATAAGGAACGATAGCAGTTTGGCCAGAATAATGTTTATGTTCAACTGTCTCAGTATTGAGATTCATTGTGAATACATCCCGTGTCGACACTTTGAATCAAGACTTAGATTATGTACCCCAGTCACATTTGCTGTGACGGACGCGCGGTCTAGAATTCCTACGACCAATAACCGCCGTATAAGACTGTAGCATATTTTCCAAGTCGCATACTGTATTAAAGGTGCAACAATTTGTGCACGGAGGCCATTCAACGATCATTGACCAGTGTAAAAATATATTTAAGGGCACACTTTGGGAATTTTCAACATTTTTGGGCAAAATAAAGGCATTTTGAATTTCATAGTATGTCCAATGTGTTGATAAGAACCTTATCTTTCATTTGACATCAACAACAGCTCAAATGGACCACATTAAAGCTTAAAATAAATAATCAAAAAATATTTTCGATCTGTCAAGCTTTATATATCAAGTTTTTATCAATGTCATTGAAAGATGGCAGAGTTCTTTGTATTATATGATACATTCATTTTTATAGAAGTGTCGCCATCTTTTAAATCAACAGTAATTTAAAACATGCACTTTGTTTAACATGTGCAAGCATGTCTAATGATCTCTGAACTTCAAATGCTTTTTTCTATGTGAGTTACTTTTTCCTTGGTTCAATATTAAAGCAAATCAAACTTTGTGTCATATTTGAGCTAGTGTATGAGTAACATGTTTCAATGATATTTTTTTCTAAATTAAGTATAGTGCGGCTTTAAGTTTGGATATTTCATCAAGACTAACATATATTTTTATTTTCTCCAAAGAAACCCCCTGGATGAACATTATTTCAGCTGATATTCCTCTTGAAACGTGATGGATGTTAAAAATCTATAAGTGGGAATCCCTTTATAGAAGCTTTGAACTGAATTTACACTTCTTAATGCCGAAATTGATAGTTTATCCATACATTTTAAGAAAATAGGTATGTCAAAGAAGATAAGCCAAATATTGACCTGATAGCTCAGAAAAAATGAAAAAATTCGAATTTTGTCTTTACAGTCCTTGTTGCCCCTTTAAACAGTAACATATGAAGGGCATTTTGATTGTATTTTGAATTTAATGGGCGGAGAAAGCCTGCGGCAGACTCACCTTCACCTAAAGGCGTTACTGCAGCTGGACAGTTCGGCAACCGTTAGCAGTTTGACGCTACGGTGTGTCTAATTTTACGGTTAACATAGAAAGTTATATTCCGTGTTTCAATTCCGAGGCGACCCTAGGCATACGGCCTGTAAAAATTGAAAAATGCCAAAGGGTTATATTAAGGTGTCCTTATTTACGGCAACCTAGCTGCAAGCGAATGGGACTGAGGCATTAGCTGACATTTATACATCTTACCAACACCACCTTAAAGTTGGGCAGTTGATTGAAGTGTGATTTAGTTCAAGGTTCAAATATTTGATGATATTTTCCAAACATAAAACTGACGGTCAATCAGTTTATCATTTCTATCATCTTATTCAATTTGACTACCACCCTCATTCAAAGTCTTGATACAAGACTTTCGCACTTAAAATTATTCACAATAATAAAGTCTTCACAATTTATTGAGCCCTAGCACTATGTAAAATCCTATGATTAATACTTGTGATAACATCTTATATTGATGTTTAATTTGTTGTTTAATCCAATATCACAGAAAGTATCATTCAATATTATAACATCTGATCCGGACTCAAATATCATTAGAGAATGATACCCGATTAAACCAAAATATATTCCAGTTTAACCTGATATAATTTAAGTCAGGATCAGATTAAACAGTATTATACGCATATCATTTCTATTATAACAGGTTTCAAAGTGGTATAATACAAATTATACATATCATTTTTTGTATAATACAAATTAAACTGGAATATACCGAGACCAAACAGATGATACTGTATTATACGGTTCAGAAATTAATGGCACTTTGTTTTCATAACGTCAGACCTTAATTAAACAAGCTAACGTAAATATTTACATAAGGTAATTCTAGAAGTTTTTTGAAACTCATGTTTGACCATTTGTCTCAGACTGAAATCCCATATTGTTTTTTTGGCAATCGCTTACCCCCCCCCCCCCCCCAAGTTTGCTACGCCCCTGTACATGGCTAATAGGGGCACTATTACGCTACGTGCAGAGTCTAGTTATATACTACGAGAAGACGAAACTCTCTTTTAAGAAGTGAAGTCGAACGAATACAAAGGGTAGGGCACTATAGAAGAGGATCATACAAAAGCACGATCTATTTCACAATGCCTTTAATTTTTGCTCTTCAACTGTTGCCCTTTGTGCATTTAAAAAATAAAATATCTTAATCTAATTTGTTCAACCTTTCTTTTCGCTCAGTTCTGCAATATTACGTCCACATGTTATTTAGGCTTACATGCATGTCATTTGCGAAATAGCTGTAAGACATTATGAGAATGAATATGGGAATTTCGACGTAATATGTTGTTCACATGATTATATACACATATCTGCATAACAATCGGAGACAGAAGTCAAAATATTGTCCAATAAAGAATCTAACATTTAGTGATAACAAAAGGATTATTGCTATATAGTTCTCTTTGTCTTAGTCTTTGTTTTCTTAACTGGGGAAGTCTACCAACATCACCTAGATTACATAAAAGATCATCTAACAGTCTAAAATTGCTTTTAATCGCAAGTTAAAGTATTCCGACCAAAAGTTGTATACCTGTAATTTGGGGGGGGGGCGATGTTACATCACATAACTACAACGTTCATATAGAAATATACAATAAGCATGTCGTATAAAAGCTAAAATTATAAATACTCATTTCAAAGTCATTCTGTTCATGGAAGCGTCAAGTTATGAAAAACAATGCTAAACACTAAAATAAACAAATCGACTTGATTACTTTTGAAAACTTCTTGAGAGGTGATGGACAAATGTATTTTTTTAACTCATTAGAACGTCTGTCTGATTGAAATACTATTTTTTAAATACAAACATAAATGAATAAATCTTGGTCAGAAGTCTGAACATTGTCCAACGAAATAATAAGAATCTACATTTAACATTTAATGATTACAAAAGGATTAATTGCTATATAGTCTTTGTCTTAGTCTTTGTTTTTCTAACGGTGGCAGTGTACCAACATCACCTTGATTACAGAAGATCTAACAGTCTAAAATTGCTTTTAATTCCCGGGTTTTAATAACATTGTATAAATAGAGTTTTTTGCCTCTCTTCATTTTTAAACCGATCTCTGTTTCCGTATTTAACAATTTATTGTGATAAACTATTTCAGTTAGTGTCGAAATCAAAACGATTTTCTACATTATAGTCCCCTCCTCTTGCACTGACTAAATATTAAAATAAGCCAGTCTGATTGCGAATTTACAAATCCTATAAAAGTAGCTTCAAACCGCCTTTTAATCAGAGAAAACAATAAGTTAATTCATCTGATTGCGAAAAAACGAATCAATCTAATTATCTGATCTCCATGCTATTTGATTCGCGCATTATAGCCAATTGGGCAAGGGTGAAATTATTTCATTTGAAAACAGAAATAAATATTATAACCCCTCTAGCATAACTGTTCGGGAGAAATTCATACAAAAATAAGGTACACAACTGATGAGGGATCGCACGCAATGCACGCACCCCTCTCCTCCTCCTCCGTGTTTGCCCACACACGACCATATTTGATAATTTTTCAAAGGAAAAAGCATTTCCCCCCGGGAATATAGGTGAAGCGGTTGCCAGAAGTCGCACAGCTTGGGAGTCAGGGTATCCTGATCCATGCCTCATCGCCTGATTGGTCTGATATTTAGAGGGGGAGCAAAAATGATTAGGGGGGGGGTAAACGTGGAAGTTGCCAAAATATCCGTGGGCGTATCCAGGGGGGGGGGGTTGTGATGGGTGCGATCGCACCCCACCCCCCCCCCCCCTTAACAATAAAAATAAAACCCTGAGAAAGAAGAAGAAAGGAGCTTTAAAATGATGCTCAGGCCACAATCGTACCCTCCTGATTGAAAACCGAAATCTTTTTGGCGATCGCACCCCCTCCCCCCTGACTGAAAGCTGGCTACGCCCCTGATATCTGTTTTTGGTCATCAATAAAACTATATTTATATGGTGAGGATTTATGGGTTTTGATAACAACAGGCTTTATATATGTATAATGAATCCAAATTCATGTTGTATCATGTTGGCTATATCGTTTCAAGTGAAGAATTAAGAACTGAAATCGGGGTTGACTTTGTTTGAGCAGAGACATATAAAATATATATGTTTTATATGTCTCTGGTTTGAGTCAGGGAACAAAATCTAATCAGACAGACGGATAAATTAATATTTGTTTTAATAAATGAGTATTATAGGTTATAGGCAGGCCCGTATCCGGGGGGGGGTTCGCAGGGTTCGGGCCAACCCCCCTGGCCAAAGATTCTTTCAAAATCATGCAGTTTTTCACCATTTTGAGCATTTCTCGTGTGA